TCTTCCTAGCCAATTTTCTATTTGGTTGGCTGTTACCACTAATCGTCGTAGGCCCCATGGTGACTTATTTATACAAATAATACAAAAAACACCAAAAAATGCAAAGAAACACGAAATAGTTTACAGCAAAGTTCTGGTAGGTCGTATTTGTTTGGTCGAGTGCTGAGCTTTGTTCGAGCAGGGAGCTGGTAGTATACTGAGATTCCACTGTACAATGCTATGCTTCAAAGTTTCAAAAGTATTGCTCCTATACAATGCAAATGAGATATACCTTTGAACGATAAAGAGTGGAGTGTTTTAAGAAGTAGGGTCATAAGTTTTCCGCAGGCTGGTATCACATCACTCAATTCACCACTATTAACATCACTATCTTACTGCTTGAAGAATGCACACCTTCATCCACATTGAAGTCTTTAGTGCTAGAAAATTCATTAATCATTTTCTACATGAATGTAAACGTTTCAAAATATTAATTCATTGGAGATAAATATGCAACTTGCCCTAGGCCATAAGTTCAGTGAACTACCAAAGATGCCCCACAATAGTTTAATAAAGTAACTGGGATTTGAACCAATCATCCATTGCCTTAATCCATTATCCTGCAAAGGGTCTTATATACACTGAAGGCAACATGCTGATAATCTAACAGTGGGTTCAAATCCCAATTAGTCTACTGAATGTTACAATATGAGCATCGGAAGATGTACAGTACAGTATTCTGTCAACAATCTACAATATAATTCCTACGTAAACCCAATTCTGAGAATATCTTGTAATTATAATATAAAAGAGTCGTATTTTTATAACCCCACTAGTAGAATAAAATCTTTAATCTCTTTAGCCTTTACAGTTGAGATATGAGATTAAAATTAAAATCCCTTTTTTCTTTTGCTATTGACACATACATATAAAGGCAATAAAAAGTCCCATGAATGAATATATGGTACAAATACCAATGATTTCAAGAACACAATGGATTATGAATGTGAAAGCATGCTTGATGGCTCTAGTCATCAAAGGGAGTTGTATCAATGATTTCCAGCAGTGCATACTACACTAGAAATAAGTGAGTTACCCCAGACAGGTGCACTATAAATTTGCATAGCAAAATCAAAGTTAGCAAGCTTTCATTTTGAAAATATTTTGAAATGCCACAAGAGGAAGTGTGAAAGATCCATGAAAATATTTTGAAATGCCACAAGAGGAAGTGTGAAAGATCCATTAATCAACTGTATGACTCATGAAAATATATCTTAGTGCACAAGGCCCTCATTGTGAAATATGTCACAAGATAAATGACCGCATGCTCTTGTTTATGACATGCCACTGGAAGGTCACAGGAAACCAGTGCATGATCAGATAATACAATTCACTATTAAAATCATAATGTTTGTACAATTTAGTACCTGCATTTAGTCAAGAAAAGATCAATCCTTTTGTACACATAGCCAACAAATATGGACTAATAAATGTCAAGGCAAAATATAGGAAGCTGAGGAGAGGTAAGAATCCTTATATCCCAATTTTAAGTGAAGAAACAAATATACAATTATATTAGTTCGTTATTTAAGCTAACTCCATGGGGAAGAGGAAAAGAATCCTTCCTCCACAAGCCATGCGTGTCATAAGAGGCAGCTAAAATGCCAGGAGCAAGGGACTAGTAACCCCTTCTCCTTTATAAATTACTGAATGCAAAAAGAAGAAAAGCTTTCATTTCTTTCTTGGGTCACACTGCCTTGGTGGGAGATGGCAGCGTGTTAAAAAAAAAAAAATTACAGGCTAAGAGCCGCTGTCCTACCTCAACTCACTGTAAACTGCAGCCCTATCTAGGGTATACTACCACTCTCCACAATGTCACCCACAAGAAATGGCTCAACTCCAGTACCTAGTAAATGCTAGGTGAACAGGGGTAGCATGTACAGAAAGTCCCCACTTAACGTCATCGATGGATTCTCCTCGGAAACTGCGACTGTAAGTGAAACGACGTATAATGAAACCAATTTTACCATAGGCTAATTGATATAATCATCAGGGGTGCACAGTGCACCTTTAGCACTTACTGCAACAGGGTTAAGTCAAGGAATAAATGTTTGCAAAGCAAAAAATGTACAGAGCACTTCCTACCACCATGCAGTTCAAAAACAAACAATAACAAATATGGCAGGGTGCACTCACACACACCCATACTCACTCATACAGAAACAATTTAGACATGCCAGTTAACCTAACGTGTACATCTTTGGGATGTGGGAGGAAACCAGAGTACTCGGAGAAAACCTACACAGACATGGGGAGAACATGCAAACTCCACACAGACAGTGGCCCTGGCCAGGAATGTTTTTTTTATCATCACTGTTATAACGAAACAACATTAAGTGAGGACTTATTGTATAAGGAGCCATGCCCATATTATTTTTATACAAGGAGCCATGCCCATATCATTTCTATAAAAGTTGGTGTAATTAGAATGGAATTTATAATTATATTTCCTCATTTTTTCTATCTAAATTAGTAGTTTTAGTGTATGAACATTTGGTCATGAAATATAAATTTACTTTTCTACATTAATGTTGTGTGTTATTTAATTAGGATGTCAGAAATCTGAAAAAGCCTTGGTCTTGACTATGCTGGTGGTTGTGCTTCACTGCATACTCAAGTACTCTACTGTATATACAATTCAGTATAATTTTTAATGATATTTCTAAAAAACTATTAATATAAATATTGTACTATAATCTATTTACTAAAGTTATTAGCAGAAAGTCTTGTATATGAGATCTACAAGAATATTTCCTTAAATAATATAAAATATGCCACGTATGATGCCTGTGTTCTGTATTTTTAAATAAAATGATCTTATCTCCATTATAAGTCCCCCTGCCCTCCATCTCTCTCTCTTGTTAACCATATCTATTATAAAAGTCCTTTCTAATATTTGCCTTATATCTGACATTAAGAGATGATCAGCCTGATTTTGTAAATTACCAATCACTTTTGCTGTTTCCATGGTATATCCCTACTACTGAGTTATCTTAAATTTAAACAGTATTCTGATAAGAGGAATAGTTTGTAATTAAACTAGTATAAGCTATTTTCATAATCATTGTAAATTTCTGCATAAAATTAATAGAACTCATTAACATCAATTCAAATTATAACTATGTGGAGATATTTATTATGTGGGTTTTACTAAAATATACATACCTGTATATATCACAACAGTACAGAATTTATAAATGTTCTTTTTTTTTTTTTTTTTTTTAACAAGTCGGCCGTCTCCCACCGAGGCAGGGTGACCCAAAAAAGAAAGAAAATCCCCAAAAAGAAAATACTTTCATTATTCAACACTTTCACCACACTCACACATTATCACTGCTTTTGCAGTGGTGCTCAGAATACAACAGTTTAGAAGCATATACGTATAAAGATACACAACATACTCCTCCAAACTGCCAATATCCCAAACCCCTCCTTTAAAGTGCAGGCATTGTACTTCCCATTTCCAGGACTCAAGTCCGACTTATTATTTCCATTTATTTCATAACTTATTGTTTAGGCTTAATGCAAATGTCTGTAGAATTTCTATGCAGAAGTAACCAAGCTACAAAATGCCCATATGCAAATGACAATATATGTCAATATTAAAAGAAGGCCTACAAAAAAGTAGTTATAAACAATTATCCCATATGGTATCAATTGATTTATAAAATGCTCTTTAATAAAGGAAAATTGTTCAATACTAAAATAATCATAAATAAGTTGAAATCCATTAGCATAAGAGTATTACCATACTGTATGGCTACTATATCATTAACTGTTAAAACTTTTTCATGCAAAGGAATTAATTTTACAATAATGCATGGAATTTTTACAGCCCTAATAATGACATAACAGTCAAAATCAAATTTTCCAGAAAATCAGGCTGAACATTCCCTTAATCGATAAATTAGACATACGTGCAACACTTGGGAATCTTTATCGAGGAAACTTTTTGCCACACAATTGCTTCATCAGTCCAGTACAAAGAAGAATGGTGTAAATCAGGAGGAGATTGAAGTAATCAGTCCCTCTGCCTGGAGTCGATGTAATCAGTCCATCAATCTTGAAAAGAATACAGCATATGTATGAAGGGGCTTACATACTGCAGACAATGAGGTGAAAGAGTCATAGGCAGTGTTACCTTGGACAAATCAACAGGTGGAAATAAGTAATGCCCATATATTAGGCAAGTGTAGAGTTCCTTGTATCAAGATCCCAAGATGTTACTGTCTGACACCAACATTTGTCCTGAGTGTTTCTGCCCAAGGTGACACTGCCTACGACTGCTTCACCTCACCTGTCTGCAGTATACAAGCTCCTTCTTAGCACATATGCTATATTCTTTTGAAGACTGATGAAATGATTTCATCATCCCAGGCTGAGGGACTGATTATCTCAATCTCCTTCTGATCTTCTTTGTACTGGACTGATGAAGCCACTGTGTGGTGAAATGTTTCCTCAATACAGATTCCCAAGAATTTAAAAAAGTCTAATTTATCAGCTTGTTGGTTCTCTGAACCATTTATCTACATTCCCTTAATCCTATCTCTACTGCTATTTCTTTGTACATTATAAAAGTCCTATATCTGCAGTTAGCCATCTCTGCATAATAAAAGACCTATCTCCACAGTTAGCACTATTTACATTATAAAATTCCTATCACTACTGCAACAGATTATAAGTAATAAAATATTAAAGATAGGAAGAGCACTAAAATTAAACTGCTCAGAGACTAAAAATTAATAATTATAGAAGAACAGCATTTTTTAATTAATAAATATTTCTGTCTCTAGAAGAGCAAGTGGGAGTCAGTGAAGTTTAAGCTAAAGAAATCACGAAATGTCATTCTATGCGAGGAGTGGATGAGAGTGGAGTCTTCAACTCAGCAATCCAGGGTACTGGCACACATGCAGGGTGAGACTCCACTGGTAGAGCATGAATACCAAGAATTTGATCTTAACCTTTGACTATTTGAGCTTCAGTGTGGGCCCCTATCCACCATCATCATCATCATTACCCCATTTCCCACTTTCATGGGGTGGGGAGGCATTTGCCTGGAAAGGATGGAAAAGTAATGTAGGACAAGAGGGGTTAAAGGCATTTAGATTGATACATAACTTTTCACAATATTTTCCATACTCATAGCATCAAAGGAAACAATTAATACTACATTTTTAGAAACATGTACAAAGCAAGATTCCAGCCATTCTACTGGCTAGTTGTAAAGTACTAACACAATACCATATATTAATCAGTGATAGCTCCTAATGTGCTACTTCAATACATATTAACCATAGATAACATCTGTAAACTAAGTTCTCTCACACACTGTATCTGCTAGTTGCTATCTTGGCTGCCTTCTTCTCCTCACAGCCACATATTCAATTCACTCACATACATTGTCTTCATACTATTCTCCAGTGTTTCCATATAATTATACCCTCAAGAACTAGTGCAATCTTGGCTTATAAAACAACAATCATTTTGCCAAATGAACAAAGTGGAAATTCAGGGTTAACTCGGCAAAAATCAGTATTACATTGCATAATTAATATATTCCGCTAATATTAAAAAATACAAACTAAATTTAGGCTGACCTAAGATTACTGGGTAGAAATAAGCTAAATTTATTTTACAGCACAAATTATAAGAATGTTAGGTTAGACTGCCAAGTTAGTGTTGATGATATTATAAATTTGTACAAGTGTTATTACACAAAAATATAATTATGGTATTAATGCAGAGGAAAAATTTATCATTAGATATTTTTAGGGCAGTTTGAATTATTGAATCCACTCTACCAAAAAAAACATGACTTATACACTGAAAAAACAATGGAGACACTGCACATATTCCTGCATTCACATCAAATCAGTCAGCAGACAATTAACTCCTACATGGTGCTCTGTGTGTTTCCAAATAAAAAGACCACAGTTAAAGTGGACTTGAACTTCCAACACCCAAACTGTAATAACCAAAAGAATAAAAGAGACTACAGAACTACCGAACACTGACAAAATTCGAGCAACAATCAAAATATTGATGCCATGGATTTCAAAAGGATATGCAGAGAAAGATCAAGAGGTACCAAAATATCTAATCTGGAAAATGCCTGATATGTCATTACAAGGTCCAGTAAACTGCAGACAAATGGAAAACTAGAAACAATGTGTTGATATTTCAAGGAGCGTAGCAGAATAGACTTAAGAGATTATTATAAAAATGCCCATCCCGAATTCAAAGTTTATTCACATCTCTGATAAGTCTATATTGAAAAAAAGCATTATGCTGACAAGTAGAAAATACACACTTAATGCAGTGAAGTTTATGTTTATGTTCACTGTATCAAATGTCAATTTACCACCCTCAAATAAGTGCCACCTGGGCTGGAATATTTCCTTTAGTTGTAAATGGTTAAAAAAAAAAAAAAAAAAAAAAATCCTCTAGTGTTCAAGGTCTGTATTTTTATATATGTACTAGCCCTCTGGCACCTTCCAATGAATTTTTTTGGTTAATTTGTTCTTTACTGTTTGAAGACAATGAAGGGGTGAACAAATTTTCATAATACAAACTGTAAAAAATTAAATATATTTATTTTAAACAAGACAAAAAACGGTTTTATTTCCTGGAATAAAAATCTGACTGGCTGAAGTTTGTACAGGTCCATGAAATCCAATGCCAATCATTCAACCATAAAAATTCCAAATACAAAAATATATTGTAATTATTAAACTACACCAAATTTTTAATCCCATCTTGGAATAGAAAACAATGGTGACAGAAACATACCCTAGAGGCATTCCTAGCTTCCATTTCTTTCCGTTTGACTTCAATTCGGTTCATCACAAGACTTAGTTCCTCCTTCAGCCGTACTTCTTGCCACTCAGCCTAAACAAAAGAAGAAACTTCAGACATATCAAGTGTTAAACAGAATTTGAAGTAATGCACTTACTATAGTATGTAAATAAGACAAAATATGAGGGTTATGGTATTTTATTTATGAAATCATTTCATTCATTAGGGAATTTTTCAATTCAATGATAAAGTTCCTATTGATAAAGTCCATGGTGGATAAAATATTTTCACAGATAAAATACCACAATCTGCACAAAGTCCCTGGTGGATAAAATGTCTTCACAGATAAAATACCACAATCTGCACAAAGTCCCTGGTGGATAAAATGTCTTCACAGATAAAATACCACAATCTGCACAAAGTCCTTGGTGGATAAAATGTCTTCACAGATAAAATACCACAACCTGCACAAAGTCCCTGGTGGATAAAATGTCTTCACAGATAAAATACCACAACCCACCCCAGTGTCTTATTTGCCCAAATTTTGTTATGGGATTGTAACGATCACTAAAATAGTAAAAAACAGCGGGTAGAAGTTTTGTGGATAAATTTTTACTACAGTAGTACTGTGAATGATAGTGAAAATGTTTTTGAGGTCACTCTACTTCAGTGGGAAATGTCAGTGTATTAAAAAAAAAAAAACACTGATGTGATATCAATGGGCTTCACAAATACTAAAGTGCATATTATTAGCAGTAAATTCTCCACTCATCCCAACTCAATTTTTCATTGCTTTATATAGCCAGGGAGGTCAACTTTTATGTGATGAAAAATATAATATCAGTGTAATGTTGTCTATGTTCACCCATCAGCCATGTCCCACCAAGGTAGGGTGACCTGAAAAAAAGGAAACAGGACCATCACTCATTTAAAAAGCTGCTGGCCAGAAGTGCACAGACATCATACACCAAATGCCCCTCTGAACTCTAACATCCCTCTATCAGAGTGCAGGCACTTTACTTCCTACTTCCAGGACTTAAGTCCAATTAATGTTTCCCTTCATAAATACCTTGCTCACACTCCAATTTGCATCTCAAACTCCTAAAACCATGTGTGTCCACTCAACCTGATCAACAAGCACATAATCCCAAATTATATTGATCAGTGAAATGGTGGAGAATTTTTTTGAAGTAATCACACCAAAAGTATGAAATCTGATGAAAAACTTATTGAATTATGCATGTGTAAATTTAGCAGTCTAGGTGCAATTTATGCATTTGACAATTTCACCCACTTTGAGTCCTACTTTAAGCTAATTCCATTAATCCATTCGACTAAATTTTTAGCTATTTCAGTTCTATTGACTGAACACAAGAAACTGCTAATTTAACTATTACAACTACCCTATAAGGTACACAGAAGTCAGTAATTTGGCAAATTTTACACAAAATTAAAAAAAATACAAATTTAAAAATCAAGTCCAATGTAGGAAATGTATTCAGTAAGTTTGGTGTTCTACCAACATAAAGAAAACTTGTTCAAAAATGATAAATTTATCTGGGATACTTTATAAAAGAAAGTAAATAAGAAAATTAAATGAAAACAAAGACAAGACAGCAAAGCCTTTTATTATATTTACATACCATCCTCTTTTCATCCAAAACAATGGCATCAATTCCCTCACGTACAGCAGTGAATTGCTGCCTTAAGCATTCTTGCTGAGCTGCATCTGCAGATATTGTTCTGATACCTGAAGTTTCAAGCTGAGTCAGAAGAGGGTCGACTATGCCATGACCCAGGGTGTTCATGTGCTCCAGAGGTGTGGGGATACAGGTCATTACCCCCACTGTGTAACCTCCAGGCTGGTACAGTACCTGTCAAGATAAAATACAGAAAGATTCATATTTAGTACTCATTTAATGTTTTTAACATATCAGTTGTCTCCTACCAAGGTAATGAGACCTTACAAAGAAAACACTTTCAATGTCACTCATCAGTGTTGTGTCAGAAGGGCGCTGACATCACAGTTTAGATGACCCTTCAAATTGCAATATCTCCACCCCTCCTGCAGAGTGCAATCACTGTACTGTACTTCCCACCTCCAGGACTCAAGTCTGACTAACCAGTTTTCTTCTGAATCTCTTCACAAATGTTACCTTGCTCACACTCCAACAGCACATGAAGTGAAAGAAACTATTTACCTCCACTCACCCCTAACATGCTCACACAAACCTGTTGGATGTCCAAGCCCCTAGCACTTACAACTTCCTTTACCCCCTCCTTTCCTCCACCCCAGATTTATATGCCAGCCTAGTTATCCTATTTTCCCCCATCCTCTCTAAATGTTCTAATCACCTCAATAACCACTCCTCAGCCCTCTGAATAATACATCTGGAAACTCCACACCTAATCTCTTAACTCCAAATCTTCTGTACAATATTCACACTACACATTGCTTTCAAACACGACAGCTCTACTGCCTCCAACCTCCTCTTCGCTGCAACACTCCAAACCCGTGCTTCTCACTCTGGTACATTTTCCTTTTTGCCACCATGGATAAAGTTCTGTCTCCACAGATGCCTTAAAGCACCACCCACCTTTTTCCCTTTGTCAATTCTATGGTTCACTTCATCTCCCATAGAACTACTCGCAGAAAAGCCCACTCCCAAATATCTGAACACATTTACTTCCATCATACTCCATCCCACCAATCTAATTTCCAATCTCTCACTGCCTATATTTTTTTATACGCTCATCACTTTGCTCCTACCTGTTTCTTTCTTTTATGTGCCCTCTCATCTTCGTTTACCAACCTTTGCAACATCTCTTCTGAATCTTCCAAAAGAACTGTCATTGGCAAAGAGCAACTGTGACAACTCCCACTCTATACCAGATTCACTATCTTTTAGTCTAACATCTCTCTCTAATGCCCTATTCTTCATTTCTTTAACAATCCCCATCAATAAATATGTTAAACAACTGTCCTATAATTAACAGTTTGCAGTAGCTGTAGCACTTTCTTCTTCTTCCTGGATACCAGTCCAGCAGTTTTCTTCTCCATTTGCTTAGAAATATTTTTTATTGTGCTTTCAGAATATTTTTTTTCGTCTGCAATTGAGGTCACTCATTCTCCCTGCTGACTGTATACATACTCTGGAGTCTTTCACATGCTTTTCCCATATCTTTTGTTTCTCACATCACCCACTTCCCAATTCTTACAATACCTTCATGATCTTCTCTGTATTAACAAGCCCACTACCATTTTTCCAGTTTTACTTGTAGTTCATATTTTCAAACTCTGGGAATCATTCTGTAGTAACTTTGACCTTATCCCTGTGTGTCATCTCAACAACATTGTTCACCATTCTCAAACCCATTCATTTCAGGTGACAGTACTCTCATATAAGTCATGAACTTTCACATATTACACAGTTTCAAACCACAACTCAATAAATACTGTTATCAACAAATACTAAAGACTGAAATCTGTGACTCATAAGACTAAGAATTGTGCTATAATGGGATGATCATGTGGAATGCATGGTCAACATTCATAGGGTGGGGAGGTAACCATCCATAAAGAATGTTGTAGTAATATGAGAAGGTTAGATATAAAAAATGACATCTGATCATTCATACTACCTTTCATCACTAATACAACAGCATACTAGCACAATACTAGCAGTACAAAAATCCTAGTAACTAACATATTATACCAATAAGACAACAGTCAAATAAGCAAACTGTTAATGCACTCTAAAAATATTAGAGCCATTCCTCAACAATATGCAATCTCTATGTGGATATCAAGAATTTGATTTTGAATTTAAAAAAGTAGTAGAAAATTACTGTAAAGGACAAATTAAAGAAAAATTCAACTAAAACTTATAATTTGCAAAACTATAATCACCTGTGGCATTGGTGAAATAGTGGGTACTGGTCGTCTAACAGTTGGAGTGGTGGTAGTTTCTGTAGGGTTACTTGCTGAAGATTGGATAGGATTAGCAGGCTGAATCACAGTTCTTGACATTCTAGAGATAGGCCCAAAACGACTCACTAATGGTGGATCAAAAGGGATAAAATCATCCTTCCCTTTCGAGTCATCTTTTCTGGCAGTGTAAGTCCGGTAACCTGTACTTGGATCATAACTTTTTTCTATAGATTTGGAAGCAATATAAAAATCAGCACCAGATGTCCATATACTATACGTAGATGTAAATTCTTGTGGTTTGCTGGGCTCTTCACCATTTGCAATCTGAGTAGCAACTTGGTGTGTTGCTTCTTTTCCAACAATTGTCTCGAGCTGATTCAAAATGGCTTCCTTCCTTTCTTTTAACTCTTCCATTGATTTTGATGCAACATTTGTTGCTGTTGTCAAAGATGTAGTTGTTACTGTAGTATTTACACAGAATGTTGTACAATTAGTATCTGGCCAACAGGAAACTAAAGGGTGAAGTCCTGAATTGGTGGGTTTTGTATTGGCAATTGGGATACAAAATTCACTTGCATGGCCAGTAACATTATAAACTGGAGCTGTGTTCAGAAGCATCGTAGGAGCGTTCCCACCATATATGTCTGGAACTATTGCTGCTGCTTGGCCTGGAAAAACAGCAGCTGGTGCTGAAGGTATAGGTTGTTGTGGTGATGCCTGAGCGAATACTGGAGGTTGACATGGGAAGGAACTGTATGTATATTCAGCCATTGGTGCTGCATGAAAAGGTGTTGCAGCTAGAGCTGGTTGTATAATTGCTGGGGCAGGAGTCTGGGCAGGTAACACTGGCATTGACTGTGTATGAGTTGGGATATGCACAAACTTGTGGGGGTCAAATGGAGTAGGAGTTGTGGGCACTTCCCCACTTTGCATAATCTCTTCAACTGTACCTGTTTTCTGAATGACTGCAACAGGTGGATGTTCACCATTTTTTGCAGTTATGACTGCTTCCATGCTTCCTTGTGGATGCTGTGCTTGTTGCTGAGTTTGTGTTGGATGCTGCTGAGGTTGATGATGCTGTACCTGTGATTTGATGGCAGGAGTTGTAGGTGGTTGTGGAATGCCTTTGCCATGTTTGCGACTTCTATTTCTATATTTCTCAAGTTCCTCTTCGGAGTGAGCAAATGTGCAATTATTTCCCCTTGGGCATCCTCCTCTCTGAGTTAGGTCTCTGCACATGCTGGTCTTGTACTTAGCATTATGTGGGTGATGTGCATCTGGCATTTTTCGATTGCCATGATGCTGTATAAAATGTACCAGCCCAGTAACAACAGCCCTAACAGCTTCCATTGCAGCTGCACAAGGCTTCCAACCAGGAGGAGGAGCATCTGGGGAAGGGTCCAAGGCTGCCAACAATTCTAGTTGTGGTCTTAAAGAGGATAACTGACCTGGGTCTCCTGTTCTCTGTAGTGCTATTACCAGTTCCTGTAATGAAAATAAACTTGAGGTGATAATGAAATAAAAAACTTTTCATAGTAAGTAAATATTAGGGTTTGTTACCTGTATCTTTAAGGCAATTGTCAAACACTATCTCTTTATGACCTGCAGATGCTCCTCTAAGAAAAGTAGAGAAGCTTCTACAGAAACTCTACACAGTAACATAGTAATTTCTTTCAATAGAAGACATAAATTACTGACCTGTACAGACTGCCCAAAAGACTGTGGTGTCTGAAGCTTATCTATAATAGACTGCATGTGGGATTTATGGACAGTGTCACCATAGAGGAGAGACGACCACTGATCTGGTGCAATTCTAAGGCCGGCTTCTGTTGCAATTTGGACTATCTGGGCATCGTGTTCTCGTCTCAAGGCTTCATAAGTTCTAAATTCTTCCTTTAACTGCATGAGTGATGAGTCACCTTCTCTTTTTGAAACCTGGAAAAAAGGGACTTTATTAATAAAACTCAATACCGACACAGTAAATAATAAATTGCATCTCAATGACTTAACTGACAAATAGATTCAAATAACCTTAGAATTTAGTGAAAAACTATTAACATATAGAGCTGAAAACACGTGAAAACATCATTAACATGTTATCCAAGTGAATTTGGTTCACTGTAAAATGCTATCACTCATGTATTACTCTAACCATACAACATATATTAGGAGAATACCTTATACTACATCTCACTCATGATTATCAAAAAATAACTATTGTTCTATATTAGTACCCAATATTTATGTGATGTGATCAGAGCCTTACAAAATTATATCATATTTGTAATTTAGGGTCCAAGAGTTACTGTCATCGCTAACTTCTAATGATCTACTTATCTTTGCTTTCCTGTTTTTTTAATAGTTCTCATTCCTGAAGTTTATTTCTTTCCAATTTTAGGGAGCTAGTCTGAGTCCAAACAACAGAATGTAATGATCCCCAGAACAACCAACTACAGGTGTTCCTCAACTTATGATGGTTCAACTGACAATATTTCGACAGCAAGTCAATAACTTGTATTCATTTATTTACTTTTTAATACTGTTTTTTTCTTATTTTTTTTATTAACACATCGGCCATTTCCTACCAAGGTAGGGTGGTCCGAAAAAGAAAAACTTTCATCATCATTTACTCCACCACTGTCTTGCCAGAGGCACACTTACACTACAGTTATAAAACTGTAACATTAACATCCCTCCTTCAGAATGCCAGCACTGTACTCCCCATCTCCAGGACTCAATACTGGTATTTACAGTAATTATTTGTTTATTTACTTATTCATTGACAGTACAGCCTCTCCTCACTTAATGATGGAGTTCCGTTCCTAAGACCAAGTCGATAAACAAATGTGTCGCTAAGCAAGGAGCATACTTTAATAGTAGTAGGTTTGTGTCAAGCATTTCTGATACTGTTTTTAACCCTTTGACTGTCGGGGCCGTATATATACAGGAAGGCCCCGCTTTACGGCGTTTCACTTTACGGCGTTCCGCTAATACGGACATTTCAAATTATGACCAAAACTCACTATACGGCTCCCCCCACCTGACTTTCTAATACGGTCACCGTGCCCCACCCTGTTTGTTTACATTCTCCATGAGCTCAGTAAGCACTAAGTCTCTCCATTTTGTCTGGAAACTCCAAAATTTCAAATGTTTTTAAAAGTTATTTCATATTTTATATATACTCTGATAATTATACTTATGTATACCTGTACCTAAATAAACTTACATACATCGAGTCATTTAAATGTCGTATATTACGTTAAATACACATTTTCATTAATCCATCCATGATATTTTTTTCAAAATTATATAATAAACACGATGCATAACATATAAATAAGATAAATACACCCCACAGTAGAATAAATAAACATAAATGTGAGATGTGAGCAGACGACTTCCACAAGTGACGCCATAATAACAATACTCACCGAGTCTCATTAAATGTCGTATATTACGGTAATATACACATTTTCATTAATCCATCCATGATATTTTTTTCAAAATTATATAATAAACACGATGCATAACATATAAATAAGAAAAATACACCCCACAGTAGAATAAATAAACATAAATGTGAGATGTGAGCAGACGACTTCCACAAGTGACGCCATAATAACAATACTCACCGAGTCTCATTAAATGTCGTATATTACGGTAATATACACATTTTCATTAATCCATCCATGATATTTTTTTCAAAATTATATAATAAACACGATGCATAACATATAAATAAGATAAATACACCCCACAGTAGAATAAATAAACATAAATGTGAGATTGAGCAGATGACTTCCACAAGTGACGCCATAATAACAATACTCACCGAGTCTCATTAAATGTCGTATATTGCGGTAATATACACATTTTCATTAATCCATCCATGATATTTTTTTCAAAATTATATAATAAACACGATGCATAACATATAAATAAGATAAATACACCCCACAGTAGAATAAATAAACAAATGTGAGATGTGAGCAGACGACTTGCACAAGTGGTGATAATAACAATACTCGCCGAGTCTCATTAAATGTCGTATATTACGGTAATATACACATTTTCATTAATCCATCCATGATATTTTTTTCAAATTATATAATAAACACGATGCATAACATATAAATAAGATAAATACACCCCACAGTAGAATAAATAAACATAAATGTGAGATGTGGTAGCAGACGACTTGCACAAGTGGTGATAATAACAATACTCACCGAGTCTCATTAAATGTCGTATATTGCGGTAATATACACATTTTCATTAATCCATCCATGATATTTTTTTCAAAATTATATAATAAACACGATACATAACATAAAAGATGATAAATACACCCCACAATAGAATAAATAAACATAAATATAAGATGTGGGAGCCTGGTTTGTTTACATAACTCTGCGCCTGTTACCTCTCATGTACTCATTTCTTTCTCTCTCTCATTTATTCGTTTTATCTCATTTACTTACTCCTGACCCTACATTAAGACTACAAATATTTTAAGGTAAGTAATGAGTGAACTGTATATACATTTTATCGCTCTGGGATGCTTAAATATCATAGAATAGTATGTGTGGGTGGGGTGGCCTGGTGAGGTAGCCTGGCTATTACAATACATACCACACTTGATTTCTTACAATAAATACTACTTGTCTCACCCTAGATTAAGACTATAAATATTTTAAGGTAAGTAATGAGTGCACTATGTGTGTATTGTACCTTTTTATTGTTTTTTGATGCCTGGTTCTATTGCTAACTTAATATATGTTAGTGTAAACTTGTTATCTAGTGTTTGTATGCATTTATAAGTGGAAAAAAAGGGTGTTCCACTTTACGGCGATTTCCGCTTTACGGCGGTAGCCTGGAACCTAACCTGCCGTATAAGTGGGGCCCTCCTGTACGTCTTACGAGGTACCATGTTTGACATATATATACGTACTCATAAATTCTAGCGGCTTCAAATCAAGCAGGAAAAAGCTGGTAGGCCCACATGTGAGAGAATGGGTCTGTGTGGTCAGTGTGCACCATACAAAAAAAATCCTGGAACACGCAGTGCATAATGAGAAAAAAAAAACTCCGACCGTTTTTTTTTAATTAAAATGCCGACTTTGTGGTCTATTTTCGTATAGTATTTATGGTTGTATTCTCGTTTTCTTGGTCTCATTTGATAGAATGGAAAACATATTATAGAAATGGAGGTGATTTTGATTGATTTTACTATAAAAAGAACCTGGAAATGGAGCTCAAAGTACGGGAAATGTTTGATTTTTGCCAATGTTCAAAAGTAAACAAATGATGTCATTGTCCAATAAATGTCCAACTAGCCATTCTAATATGCAGTCATGAATGGGATGATGTTATTTATACAATTATTACAGTATTGCAGTAGTCTGCATAACAGTAAGTATTCTATTTTTTTGTTTGAATAAAAATTCAAATAGAAAGCAAGAGTAATATCAGAGGGGCCTGGAGACATGACTGATGAACAAAGAAAATGTTATTTTAGAGCCAGGAATGTCTGCATTGTTCATTCTGGACCTTATTTTGAAATTGTCATATTTTTTAATTTTCGTGAAATTGGCCAAATTGCAAATTTCTGACCACATTATTGGGTAGTTGAAATCCGTAAATGAGCAGTTTCTTGTACTCAATCGATAGAAAAAATGGAGTTCTAAAGAAATAGCTATGAGTTTGGTCGATTGGAACAACGGAAATAGCCAAAAATAGGGCTCAAAGTGGGCGAAATCGCCGATTTGAAAATATCGCCGAGGTCACTAACTTCGCGAGAGCATAATTCCGTCAGTTTTCCATCAAATTTCGTTTTTTTGGTGTCATTACAATCGGAAAAAGATTCTCTATCATTTCATAAGTTTTTTTTTTTTTAAATTTTGCAACACCAGGAGACACCTCAGGATTGGGGGTTGTGACAGTCAAGGGGTTAATGTCACCTTTGCACCATTTATAACATTTTTAGTATAATTTTAAATATTTAAACAGTAGTGTACTGTATACTGTAATGAACAGAATAGAGAAAATCAGCTCTAATATTCATTATTTAGGTATGCATACCAGTCAGAGAGCACATCATAATTCCAAGTCATCGGTAAACAAGTACATCGCTAAGCGAGAAGAAGCTGTAGTTATTATTTAGTTAGCACATCATATTCATATTCGACTTATGATGGGCTTGTCGGAATATAACCCCCATTGTATGTTGAGGAGCACTTGTGCTGAATTTTAATATTAATTTTAATTTTAATATTAGTCAGAGGGCTGAAGAGGGGTTGTTGAGGTGGTTTGGTCATTTCGAGAGAATGGATCAAAGTAGAATGACATGGAGAGCATATAAATCTGTAGGGGAAGGAAGGCGGGGTAGGGGTCGTCCTCGAAAAGGTTGGAAGGGGTAAGGGAGGTTTTGTGGGCGAGGGGCTTGGACTTCCAGCAGGCGTGCATGACCGTGTTCGATAGGAGTGAATGGAGACGAATGGTATTTGGGACCCGACGATCTGTTGGAATGTGAGCAGGGTAATATTTAGTGAAGGAATTCAGGGAAACTGGTTATTTTTATATAGCCGGACTTGAGTCCTGGAAATGGGAAGTACAATGCCTGCACTCTAAAGGAGGGGTTCGGGATATTATCAGTTTGGAGGGATATATTGTGTATCTTTATACGTATATGCTTCTAAACTGTTGTGTTCTGAGCACCTCTGCAAAAACAGTGATTATGTGTGAGTGAGGTGAAAGTGTTGAATGATGATGAAAGTACGTATTTTCATTTTGGGGATTTTCTTTCTGTTTGGGTCACCCTGCCTCGGTAGGAGACAGCCGACTTGTTAAAAAAAAAAAAAAAAAAAAAAAAAAAAAAAAAAAAAAAAACCTCTTTGATGGTGTACAACTTTATACTTTGCTTCCATTCAAAGCTGAAGACTAAGCTCACTCTTCTAAAAATATTCCACACTACACTTGTCAAACCATTTTTATTTTTGAAGTTCACTGCTCACCTTAAAGCAAGAAGCACGGTAGAGTAGCTGCACAACGTGTCCGATACTTGTCTTGGAGGCCTGCGGGAAATGAGGTTCCAGCCGCTGCACCACAAACATCACCAGCACCTTTCGTGAAAGAGCTGAACCATCTTCAAGAGCTAAAAGAACTAGCTTTAACACTTCTTCTTGCATAGCTGAAAATTAAACCATCTAATGTTACTTTCACAAAGAAAAATGAGATACTGATGAAGAGTCATTGAGGAAGGTATCTCCCTCCCAAACTGAACTACATACATCTCTTGAAACACATACAATTTTATGAAATTATTTTGAAATTAATAAAAACAATGTCAAATCTGCCACCAGGGAGCTTCAAGTCCCAACCAATATAATACATCGCAGGATCTTAATACATGTGTACCAAGTCTAGAGTGTTTTGGATCAAGCAGTGTCAAGATATAAAAAACTAGGACCTACCATACCATACAAGAGTTTTATAGAATCTTCAATATAGTACAATAGAAAATCATCAAACCATACTTGCTTAAAAGTCAGAAATTTTTCAGGAAAAAAACTGAATCCATGAAGGGGCCCCGAAATTTGTTAAGTCCTACATTACCCAGGACACAACAATACCACAGTACTATATACCCTCTTGGGTTTTTAAAATAGGATATAAAAAATGCCCAAGGATATGACAATGCTGTATATAAAGTTCTCAGGTTATACTGTATTTGACAATTGTTATCATTAATAAAGCAGTAAGGAATAAATAAATAAATAAATAAATAAATAAATATATATATTTTTTTATTTTTTTATTATCACACTGGCCGATTCCCACCAAGGCAGGGTGGCCCGAAAAAGAAAAACTTTCACCATCATTCACTCCATCACTGTCTTGCCAGAAGGGTGCTTTACACTACAGTTTTTAAACTGCAACATTAACACCCCTCCTTCAGAGTGCAGGCACTATATACTAAATATATATATACTACCGTCCTGCCAAGTGAATGTAAAACAAAAGCCTGTAATTGTTTTACATGATGGTAGGATTGCTGGTGTCTTTTGTCTGTCTCATAAATATGCAAGATTACAGGTATGTCTTGCTACTTCTACTTACACTTAGGTCACACTACACATACATGTACACGTTTATTTATACACACTCATCTGAGTTTTCTTTGATTTTATCTTAATAGTTCTTGGTCTTATTACTTTTCCTTTAATATCCATGGGGAAGAGGAATAAGAATCTTTCCTCCGCAAGCCATGCGTGTTGTAAAAGTCAACTAAAATGCCGGGAACAATGGGCTAGTAACCCCTTTTCCTGTAAAGATTACTAAAAGGAATAAGAAGAAGAAAATTGTCAAAGTGGGAAGTCTGAATGTGCGTGGATGTTGTGCAAATGATAAGAAAGAGATGATTGTGGATGTTATGAATGAGAAGAAGCTGGATGTCCTGGCTTTAAGTGAAACGAAGCTGAAGGGGGTGGGAGGGTTTCAATGGAGAGGAATAAATGGGATTAGGTCAGGGGTTTCAAATAGAGTTAGAGCTAAAGAAGGAGTAGCAATAATGTTGAAGGATAAGCTATGGCAGGAAAAGAGGGACTATAAATGTATTAATTCAAGGATTATGTGGAGTAAAATAAAGATTGGATGTGAAAAGTGGGTTATAGTAAGCGTGTATGCACCTGGAGAAGAAAGAAGTGTAGAGGAGAGAGAGAGAGATTCTGGGAAATGTTGAGTGAATGCGTGGGGAGTTTTGAATCAAGTGTGAGAGTAATGGTGGTTGGGGATTTCAATGCTAAAGTGGGTAAAAATGTTATGGAGGGAGTAGTAGGTAAATTTGGGGTGCCAGGGGTAAATGTAAATGGGGAGCCTTTAATTGAGCTATGTGTATTAAGAGATTTGGTAATAAGTAATACATATTTTATGAAAAAGAGGATAAATAAATATACAAGGTATGATGTAGCACATAATGAAAGTAGTTTGTTAGATTATGTATTGGTGGATAAAAGGTTGATGGGTAGGCTCCAAGATGTACATGTTTATAGAGGGGCAACTGATATATCGGATCATTATTTAGTTGTAGCTACAGTTAGAGTAAGAGGTAGATGGGAAAAGAGGAAGGTGGCAACAACAAGTAAGAGGGAGGTGAAAGTGAATAAACTAAGGGAGGAGGAAGTTCGGGGGAGATATAAGCGACTGTTGGCAGAAAGGTGGGCTAGTGCAAAGATGAGTAGTGGGGGGGTTGAAGAGGGTTGGAATAGTTTTAAAAATGCAGAATTAGAATGTGGGGCAGAAGTTTGTGGTTATAGGAGGGTGGGGCCAGGAGGAAAGAGGAGTGACTGGTAGAATGATGAAGTAAAGGGTGTGATAAAAGAGAAAAAGGTAGCTTATGAGAGGTTTTTACAAAGCAGAAGTGTTATAAGAAGAGCAGAGTAGATGGAGAGTAAAAGAAAGGTGAAGAGAGTGGTGAGAGAGTGCAAAAGGAGAGCAGATGATAGAGTGGGAGAGGCACTGTCAAGAAATTTTAATGAAAATAAGAAAAATTTTTGGAGTTAAACAAGTTAAGAAAGCCTAGGGAAAGTATGGATTTGTCAGTTAAAAACAGAGTAGGGGAATTAGTAGATGGGGAAAGGGAGGTATTAGGTAGATGGCGAGAATATTTTGAGGAACTTTTAAATGTTGAGGAAGAAAGGGAGGCAGTAATTTCATGCACTGGCCAGGGAGGTATACCATCTTTTAGGAGTGAAGAAGAGCAGAATGTAAATGTGGTGGAGGTACGTGAGGCATTACGTAGAATGAAAGGGGGTAAAGCAGCTGGAACTGATGGGATCATGACAGAAATGTTAAAAGCAGGGGGGGATATAGTGTTGGAGTGGTTGGTACTTTTGTTTAATAAATGTATGAAAGAGGGGAAGGTACCTAGGGATTGGCGGAGAGCATGTATAGTCCCTTTATATAAAGGGAAAGGGGACGAAAGAGATTGTAAAAATTATAGAGGAATAAGTTTACTGAGTATACCAGGAAAAGTATACGGTAGGGTTATAATTGAAAGAATTAGAGGTAAGACAGAATGTAGGATTGTGGATGAGCAGGGAGGCTTCAGAGTGGGTAGGGGATGTGTAGATCAAGTGTTTACATTGAAGCATATATGTGAACAGTATTTAGATAAAGGTAGGGAAGTTTTTATTGCATTTATGGATTTAGAAAAGGCATATGATAGAGTGGATAGAGGAGCAATGTGGCAGATGTTGCAAGTATATGGAATAGGTGGTAAGTTACTAAATGCTGTTAAGAGTTTTTATGAGGATAGTGAGGCTCAGGTTAGGGTGTGTAGAAGAGAGGGAGAATACTTCCCGGTAAAAGTAGGTTTTAGACAGGGATGTGTAATGTCACCACGGTTGTTTAATATATTTATAGATGGGGTTGTAAAAGAAGTAATGCTAGGGTGTTCGGGAGAGGGGTGGGGTTAAATTATGGGGAATCAAATTCAAAATGGGAATTGACACAGTTACTTTTTGCTGATGATACTGTGCTTATGGGAGATTCTAAAGAAAAATTGCAAAGGTTAGTGGATGAGTTTGAGAATGTGTGTAAAGGTAGAAAGTTGAAAGTGAACATAGAAAAGAGTAAGGTGATGAGGGTATCAAATGATTTAGATAAAGAAAAATTGGATATCAAATTGGGGAGGAGGAGTATGGAAGAAGTGAATGTTTTCAGATACTTGGGAGTTGACGTTTCGGCGGATGGATTTATGAAGGATGAGGTTAATCATAGAATTGATGAGGGAAAAAAGGTGAGTGGTGCGTTGAGGTATATGTGGAGTCAAAAAACGTTATCTATGGAGGCAAAGAAGGGAATGTATGAAAGTATAGTAGTACCAACACCCTTATATGGATGTGAAGCTTGGGTGGTAAATGCAGCAGCGAGGAGACGGTTGGAGGCAGTGGAGATGTCCTGTCTAAGGGCAATGTGTGGTGTAAAATATTATGCAGAAAATTTGGAGTGTGGAAATTAGGAGAAGGTGTGGAGTTAATAAAAGCATTAGTCAGAGGGCAGAAGAGGGTTTGTTGAGGTGGTTTGGTCATTTAGAGAGAATGGATCAAAGTAGAATGACAGGGAAAGCTATAAATCTATAGGGGAAGGAAGGAGGGGTAGGGGTCGTCCTCGAAAGGGTTGGAAAGAGGGGGTAAAGGAGGTTTTGTGGGAGAGGGGCTTGGACTTCCAGCAAGCGTGCATGAGCGTGTTAGATAGGAGTGAATGGAGACGAATGATACTTGGGACCTGACGATCTGTTGGAGTGTGAGCAGGGTAATATTTAGTGAAGGGATTCAGGGAAACCAGTTATTTTCTATATAGTCGGACTTGAGTCCTGGAAATGGGAAGTACAATGCCAGCACTTTAAAGGAGGGGTTTGGGATATTGGCAGTTTGGAGGGATATGTTGTGTATCTTTATACGTATATGCTTCTAAACTGTTGTGTTCTGAGCACCTCTGCAAAACAGTGATAATGTGTGAGTGTGGTGAAAGTGTTGAATGATGATGAAAGTATTTTCTTTTTGGGGATTTTCTTTCTTTTTTGGGTCACCCTACCTCGGTGGGAGACGGCCGACTTGTTGAAAAAAAAAAAAAAAAAAAAAAAAAATATATATATATATATATATATATATATATATAATAATATATATATATATATATATATATAATATATATATATATATATATATATATATATATATATATATATATATATATATATATATATTATATATATATATATATATATATATATATATATATATGTAGGTAGTAGGTTGGTAGACAGCAACCACCCAGGGAGGTACTACCGTCCTGCCAAGTGAGTGTAAAACGAAAGCCTGTGATTGTTTTTACATGATGGTAGGATTGCTGATGTCTTTTGTCTGTCTCATAAATATGCAAGATTACAGGTACGTCTTGCTACTTCTACTTACACTTAGGTCACACTACACATACATGTACACATTTATTTATACACACTCATCTGAGTTTTCTTTGATTTTTATCTTAATAGTTCTTGGTCTTATTACTTTTCCTTTTATGGGGAAGTGGAATAAGAATCTTCCTCCGTAAGCCATGCGTGTTGTAAAGTCAACTAAAATGCCGGGAACAATGGGCTAGTAACCCCTTTTCCTGTAAAGATTACTAAAAAGAATAAGAAGAAAATTGTTTTCTTCTTTTTTGGGTCACCCTGCCTCGGTGGGAGACGGCCCGACTTGTTGAAAAAAAAAAAAAAAAAAAAAAAAATATATATATATATATATATATATATATATATATATATATATATATATATCATATCATAGGTAGTAGGTTGGTAGACAGCAACCGCCCAGGGAGGTAATAACGTCCTGCCAAGTGAGTGTAAAATGAAAGCCTGTAACTGTTTTACATGATGGTAGGATTGCTGGTGTCCTTTTTTCTGTCTCATGAACATGCAAGATTTCAGGTATGTCTTGCTACTTCTACTTACAGTTTGGTCACACTACACATACATGTACAAGCACATATATACACACCCCTCTGGGTTTTCTTCTATTTTCTTTCTAGTTCTTACTCTTGTTTATTTCCTCTTATCTCCATGGGGAAGTGGAACAGAATTTTTCCTCCGTAAGCCATGCGTGTTGTAAGAGGCGACTAAAATGCCGGGAGCAAGAGGCTAGTAACCTCTTCTCCTGTATATATTACTAAATGTAAAAGGAGAAACTTTCATTTTTCCTTTTGGGCCACCCCGCCTCGGTGGGATACGGCCGGTGTGTTTAAAGAAAGAATATATATACATACAGACAAAAAATGACAAAGCTTATCAAATTACATACATTATTCGAAGTTGTAAAACCCAAGGTTTCATGCAGTAATAATGCATGCATAGGTCCTGAGACTATGCAGTAACAATTCAATAAAATAGAATTGGAGTGAGTGGAGGTCAGTATTTTTTGAGATTTGATGTGCTGGTGTAGTGCAAGTATTTACTTCTTTGGTTTACTCAACCTTGGTGGGACATGGTCAATGTAGTTAAAAAAAAAAATTAAAGGTCTTCAAAAATTATTGCTAAGATCAGAAAAAAATGTATTCAGATTTTATAACACACAATATTGTGTTCATGAAACAGCATGGAACCTCGAAACATGCCTAAATGAACACATTAACTCATGTAGTAATGATAACTTGAACAACGCCTGCTTACAACACCAGAATTCTACCAAATCACCTCATGAAATTCAATGATGCCCAACTAGTGATCAGAGAACCTAATTTCCACAGACATAAATGTCTTGAATCATCATTAATCGCTGTTTCTAACGCAATCAAGCAAAATAAAGGCAACTTCATCATCTCTCAAGTCTTAGCAAAAATCCTCCTCAAATCAATAAACCCTGCCATCACATAGTCTATGCTGCTAATACAGTGGACCCTCGCATAATGATCACCTCCGAATGCGACCAATTATGTAAGTGTATTTATGTAAGTGCGTTTGTACGTGTATGTTTGGGGGTCTGAAATGGACTAATCTACTTCACAATATTCCTTATGGGAACAAATTCGGTCAGTACTGGCACCTGAACATACTTCTGGAGTGAAAAAATATCGTTAACCGGGGGTCCACTGTACTATGCAAGAACATAACAGAGGAGGAACACTGAAACAGACCTTCTCAAATCCAAACACTAACAGAAATATACACAAATAACCCTCACATAAAAGAGAAAAGCTTACGACGACGTTTTGGTCCGACTTGGACCATTTACAAAGTCACACTTTGTAAATGGTCCAAGTCGGACCGAAACGTCGTCGTAAGTTTCTCTCTTTTATGTGCGGGTTATTTGTGTATTGTTCCAGTCATGGTATTGTGCCTTTTTTTGTTAGTTACTAACAGAAATATTTGTCTAATCTAGTTTTGTGCTACCCAAGTAATAGCTTTTATAAACTTTTACTTATGTGCAAGTTGATTGTTCTACTACTATAACTAATATTACTACTACTACTACTACCATTACCACCACCACTAGTATTACACCTCACTCTAAGCCCATACATACCCTCTGTCCATGTATTGTTTGTAACAGCTGAATAATCTTCTTTCTTTCAACACACCGGCCATTTCCCACCGAGGCAGGGTGGCCCAAAAGGAAAAACGAAAGTTTCTCCTTTTACATTTAGTAATATATACAGGAGAAGGGGTTACTAGCCCCTTGCTCCTGGCATTTTAGTCGCCTCTTACGACACGCATGGCTTACGGAGGAAGAATTCTGTTCCACTTCCCCATGGAGGAACAGCTGAATGTTTTCAGATATTTGGGAGTTGACGTGTCAGCGGATGGATTTATGAAGGATGAGGTTAATCATAGAATTGATGAAGGAAAAAAGGCGAGTGGTGCGTTGAGGTATATGTGGAGACAAAAAACGTTATCTATGGAGGCAAAGAAGGGAATGTATGAAAGTATAGTGGTACCAACACTCTTATATGGGTGTGAAGCTTGGGTTGTAAATGCTGCAGCGAGGAGACGGTTGCAGGAAGTGGAGATGTCCTGTCTAAGGGCAATGTGTGGCGTAAATATTATGCAGAAAATTTGGAGTGTGGAAATTTGGTGTGGAGTTAATAAAAGTATTAGTCAGAGGGCTGAAGAGGGGTTGTTTAGGTGGTTTGGTTATTTAGAGAGAATGGATCAAAGTAGAATGACGTGGAGAGCGCATAAATCTGCAGGGAAAGAAAGGCGGGGTAGGAGTCATCCACGAAAAGGTTGGAGGGAGGGGGTAAAGAAGGTTTTGTGGACGAGGGGCTTGGACTTCCAGCAAGCGTGTGTGAGCATGTTAGATAGGAGTGAATGGAGACTAATGGGAGCTGATGAGCTGGGAGCTGGGAGCTGGGAGCTGACGAGCTGTTGGAGTGTGAGCAGGGTAATATTTAGTGAAGGAATTCAGGGAAACCGGTTATTTTATATAACCTGACTTGAGTCCTGGAAATGGGAAGTACAATGCCTGTACTTAAAGGGGATTTGGATATTGGTCCATTTTTGGAAGGAAGCTTCAAGAGTGAAATCAGTCGGGAGATTGAGGAAGGAGGCGGGGAATGGGGCGGTCTATCAGAGAAATTGGGTTGGAGGAGGGGGAGTTAATAGGGGGTTTTGTGTGAGAGGGGTTGGATTAGGCTGGTATTTGAGAGAATGTCAATTAAAATAGACGGGGAATGGAGCCAAAAATAAAAGGGGTAGGTTCTTCCACGAAAGGTTGGAGGAGTGGAGAAAGTAAGTTTTGAAGGGACTTGGAATTCCGCAAGGCTGGACTTGAGTTAGGAGATGGAGTACAGTGCCTGCATCTGAAGGAGTGCGAGTGTTGGATGTGCAGGTTAAAATTAGTGAAGGAATCGACCCGTTTGTATAAACATGATTGAGTCTGGAAATGGGTAAAGCCTTTTATTTTTTAGGGGGCCCTCTTGGGGATATTGGCCTTTTAAAAAAGTATATTTATATAATACTTCTAAACTGTTGTATTCTGGGCACCTCTGCAAAAACAGTGATTATGTGTGAGTGAGGTGAAAGTGTTGAATGATGTTGAAAGTATTTTCTTTTTGGGGATTTTCTTTCTTTTTGGGTCACCCTGCCATGGTGGGAGATGGCCAGTGTGTTGAAAGAAAGAATATATGATCCAATTATTTAACCTTATTCTCCTATTCTTACTCATATAAAATTTGCCTTTTCAGACATGACATCTTTTCTATGCTAGTTATCAAATAAGCTGACCTTACCTGGCCCCAGAAACTGGCATCCTCTGGCCCTCACTGCTGCCCAGAGGTTAGCTGAGAGCTGTTGGTGATTTTGGTGCTGGAGTATGAGCTCGGTCACAGTCCGTTCACCCAGAGATCGAGCAGCACGGACTGCTCTGGCCCGCCCCTCATCTTCCACAAGTTGGCAGTTGATGAGGGTGACTAGCTTCCTTTGCATTGGACGGGACAGAAGTGAAGTGGACCCATTTGTTCCAGAGCCTACAAGAGAGATAACTGAAATCAAAGTAAGATATAAAATGCACCTTGAAAAAGCACCTGCCTTGACAAACCACAAAACAGATGGGGATCTGAACCCATGGCAAGTGAGTCTTAAAACCCCAGGCTGTTCCATGGTTTGCTTGCAGTCATGTTATTACAATTTCGTGAGTAATGAATGTCTTTACTATATGCCAGCAAGACACATACTCTATACTACATCCAGAATTTTATAAGATGATTATGAAAACAATTATTTTCACACCAATTATAGTGCTGCTGCACATGAGAAGTTATGCATGCCATAAAACTAAAACAAAATATATATCAGGTCACTCATCAATCAACATCAGTACTGTACCATGAATGCTATTAATTATTATACTGTACATCACATTATTTAGTGAATTACCTATTTGTAGTAACAGAAGCAGAACTGTTTATAGTGTCTCATCTTCATGATTTGTTCATAATAATAATAAGAAATTCCAGTGGCTGTAGTACTTACAATCCACTCTTTCAATTTAATCCTTTTTGTCACCATTTCATTTGTAAAGAAAATTTCCTGTATCCCACTGACTCCATTTTTAATTCACTTCTGTGGCCTATTCTTATCCCTGTTAAAGCTAGTAAAAAATCTTTATCTATTCTTTCATATCCTTTTATAACCATATATGTATACTGTTATCATATCTCCTCTTGTTTCTTCTATCAGCCTAGTGTTTTCAGTCTTTCATCATGTCTATGTTTTTATAGTTCTAGGTTCTATTTTTTAGCTCTTTCTGAGAATTTTTTTATATCTGAACCATATGGTTTTTTAGGTATGGATGACACACTGCAGCTGCATATTCCAATTTTGGTCTAATGCTTGTTGTATACAGCATTTCTCCATCCATATAATTGAAAACTCTTTTATAGTTAGCCAATTTCACAATTTAATTTATATGACCTGGTGACAATCTTATACATATTGATAAATTATAGATCTTTCTTGTCTGTATTTTAATTGTAAATTTTGTTTTACACAATCTATATTTTTTTATGTGATCTGATTTTGCTTTCTTCCATTTTCATACCATGGAATTTATCAACAATAAATTTCATCACCCACCAGTAACTTCATTTGTTTAATACATCAGTCATCTTATGATTTACATTCATTTTCAACGTTTTTTTGCACAAGATTTTTGCATCATTTGAGAAAAACAAACACAGTTTTCTATTTATTCTGGTGGATTATTTACCAGTATACAGCGGAACCTCAGTACTCGAACTTAATTCATTCCAGAAGGCTGTTTGAGTGCTGATCTGTTCAAATATTGAACAATTCTTCCCAACCAATTTTCTTTTTGGTTGGCTGTTATCACTAATCTTCATAGGCCCCATGGTGACTTATTTATACAAATAATAATAAAATAAAATGCAAAGAAACACGAAAAAGTTTACAGCGAAGTTCTGGCAGGTCATGTTTGTTTCATCAAGTGCTGAGCTTTGCTGGGGTAGGGAGCTGTTCAAGTACGAAGGTTCCACTGTATATACATGCATATTAGAAACCTTACTGAGGTATGTACACAGCCTTGTGACTTTCCACTGGTGACATTTTCCAATGTATATGGTGAATATTTCCATTTTTGGGTCACCCTACTTTGATAGAAGATGACTGGGGTTGAGTAAGGAAAAAAAAAAGTGCTTCATTAATAAATTTCCAGTCACTGTAAGCTAGTTGTAATTTTGGTTTAATGGGCCACTACAGCATAAGCCATTAGGTCCTACACTCACTGTCTGGTAATTAAATACTGCCCACATTTGATTGAAAAACTTGGAAGAGCAAACTGGACTGATAACCAGATTCCCTCCAAAGATGTAAAAATTGCAGTATTTAAAAAAAAAAAAAAGAGGGGATTTGTCAATTGGCACTGCATGTGATATACGTACTGAGAAAAAGGCTAAAAATGCATTCCGAAAAACAATAGTGTGAATTAAGACACCAATACCCAGGAAAGAGTGAGACATCTGCACACTAACAAGGCCAGTATATAAATCTATTTGTGAAGTTCAAATCAATCTTAGTTCTGCTTAAGAGGCATAATCTAAAATTTAAATATCTCATTCCATTTCATTAAGCATCAATTCCATCACCCTAGAACATAGACAGTAGGCATCATAAATACATGTATACACATACATAAACAGATAACACAGAAAATAATACATACATCTTCCTATAAACTCTCGCTTTAGAAATAAAACATACTCCTCGCTTTAGGATGGTTCACCTTATGTATTTCAACTTTATGATGGTGCAATAGCAATGCCGTACAGTACTGTACACGTACTGATAAGATAAACCTGTATTCATTTATTTACTTTTCAATACTGGTATTTACTTAATAATTATTTGTTTATTTACTTATTCAGTGACAGCAGCTATTTCTTCTTCTTTCAACAAACTGGTTGTATCCCACCAAGGCAGGGTGGCCCAAAAAGAAAAACGAAAGTTTGTCTTTTTAAATTTAGTAATTTATACAGGAGAAGGGGTTACTAGCCCCTTGCTCCTAGCATTTTAGTCACCTCTTACAACACGCATGGCTTAATGAGGAAGAATTCTGTTCCACTTCCCCATGGAGAGTAGTTATTCACTTATTTATCATATTTGACTGATATTTTCAACTTACAATGGGTTCATCGGAGCATAACTCAATCGAAAGTCAAGGAGCACCTGCACCGAAATATGTATGAGCTCAGATTTTCAGAAACGTATCCCATGCCTTATGAGGGAGTTTACTGTACAAGAGGGCCCAGCTTTACGGCGCTTCACTTTACAGCGATTCCCTAATACGGACATTTCAAATTACCCAAAAATTCATTTAGATGGCTCCTGATTTCCTATTATGACGTCTGCATGCCACCCGTCCACTCTCAGTTTGTTACATCCTCCGTGAGCTCCATGTCTCTCCTGACTATGTCTGGAAACTTTCCAAAGTTTCAAGTATTTTAAAGTTAATGTGTATTTTATATATACAGTGGACCCCCGCATAACTATATTAATCCGTTCCTGAGAGCTCATTGTTATGCGAAATTATCGTTATGCGAATGAATTTTCCCCATAAGAAATAATGGAAATCAAATTAATCCGTGCAAGACACCCAAAAGTATGAAAAAAAAAAATTTTACCACATGAAATATACATTTTCCTACACACAAAGAGAAGGATACATGCACAATAGTAGAGTAGTACATGCACAATATATATTGTGCATGTACTACTCTACTAAATGAAGAATAAATGACACCTTTATTGAAGATGCAGCAATGACTGATAAGACACTGTGTCCTGGGAGTGCCTTTTCCTCCTGAGTACTGTAGGTCCTGTTTGGCATTTTCTTCCAGAACAGGCCTTATCACACTGTGTATGCCACTAGGATTCTTAAATCTCTCAAACCAACCTTTTCTGGCTTTAAATTCACCAATATGAGCACTAGTTCCAGGCATTTTTCCCTGTTCACCTGGGTGTTAATCGACTGGTGTGGGTTGCATCCTGGGAGACAAGATTAAGGACCCCAATGGAAATAAGTTAGACAGTCTTCGATGACACTGACTTTTTTGGGTTATCCTGGGTGGCTAACCCTCTGGGGTTAATTGTTTCTTGGTATTCTCAATAAGCCACACCAACAACGGTGCTACAGCAGCGGCAGCAGCAGCAGCAGCAGCTGACAGTGCTACAGCAGCAGCAGCAGCTGACAGTGCTACAGCAGCAGCTGACAGTGCTACAGCAGCAGCAGATGGTGCTACAACAGCAGCAGAAGGTACTACAGCAGCAGCAGCAGCTGACAGTGGTACAGCAGCAGCAGCAGCAGCAGCTGATGGTGCTACAGCAGCAGCAGCTGACAGTGCAGCAGCAGCAGCTGACAGTGCTACAGCAGCAGCAGCAGCAGCTGACAGTGCTACAGCAGCAGCAGCAGCAGCAGCAGCAGCAGCTGACAGTGCTACAGCAGCAGCTGACAGTGCTACAGCAGCAGCAGATGGTGCTACAACAGCAGAAGAAGGTACTACAGCAGCAGCAGCTGACAGTGCTACAGCAGCAGCTGACAGTGCTACAGCAGCAGCAGATGGTGCTACAACAGCAGCAGAAGGTACTACAGCAGCAGCAGCAGCTGACGGTGGTACAGCAGCAGCAGCTGATGGTGCTACAGCAGCAGCAGCTGACAGTGCAGCAGCAGCAGCAGCTGACAGTGCTACAGCAGCAGCAGCAGCAGCAGCTGACAGTGCTACAGCAGCAGAAGACGGTGCTACAGCAGCAGCAGACGGTACTAGAGCAGCAGCAGCAGCAGCTGACAGTGCTACAGCAGCAGCAGCAGCTGACAGTGCAGCAGCAGCAGCAGCTGACAGTACTACAGCAGCAGCTGACAGTGCTACAGCAGCAGCAGATGGTGCTACAGCAGCAGCAGACGGTACTACAGCAGCAGCAGCAGCTGACGGTGCTACAGCAGCAGCAGCATCAGCAGTTGACCATGGTACCACAGTATTTCGATAATATTTCTCACCCTTTTTACCACAGGGTTGGCACTAGAAGCTTTCTTGGGGCCCATGGTCACTTATTTTGCAGATAAAATCACCAAAAACACTGTAATAATACGAAATGTTGTGATTGTATGCTTGGATGTTACCGCGGAGGCTGGCTTGTAAACAATGCCACCGGCGGAACATGTGAGGCTGGCTCAGGCGGCCGCACATTAGACGCGTCTCGGACGAATAGCGTTGAGCGGGTTTTTTAGAGGTATGCGAGGCAAAATCTTAGCGATAAAATGTATCGGTATGCAGATTTAACGTTATGTAATGCCAACGGTATGCGGGGGTCCACTGTACTCTTTTTTTGCGTTGCAATGACATCTAAGTAGGAGCCGCTATGCGAGGTGAGGAAGTAGCTAAGAGTGTCTCACTAGTGTTGAAGATGGAATAATAATAACTGGAGAGCTTTGAATGTCGTATATTATGTTATTATAGACATTTTTCATTAATCCATATGTGATTTTTTTCAAAATTATACAAAAAACATGCTAAATATCATATAAACAAAATACATACAATAACAGTAAAATAAATTAACATAAATGTGAAGTGTGGCAGCCCAGCAGCTTGTAGTAGTGACGACATGAATTTCTTTTTCTCTAATACAACATCAAAAAAACTATGTATAGTATTACTGGTGGGTAGCTGTAGAAAAACAGTCCTTTTGTATGCCTTTACTCATAAGTATCATTTGCTCTAAAAAGGTTGTGCTGCTGTTATGTATTTAGTCTACTGCACCAACATGAAGACAACTTGTATACAATGTAATGTGTTTGTATTGTGGGGAAAAAAGCTTCACAAACATATGCATAATGCCAGACAAACACATATCAATGGCCAGTGGACACATGTAAAATACAGAGAAATCCGACTGTTAACCCAAAATAATAACATCGTATAGACATTTATGGAGCACCCTCCCTATGGTGTTTAATAATAATAATCTTTGGGAGTGATCATGTCGGAGGATCTCACCTTCAAGGACCATAACATTGTATCAATCGCATCTGCTAGAAAAATGACAGGATGGATAATGAGAACCTTCAAAACTAGGGAGGCCAAGCCCATGATGACACTCTTCAGGTCACTTGTTCTATCTAGGCTGGAATATTGCTGCACACTAACAGCACCTTTCAAGGCAGGTGAAATTGCTGACCTAGAAAATATACAGAGAACCTTCACGGCGAGCATAACGGAGATAAAACACCTCAATTACTGGGAGCGCTTGAGGTTCCTAAAACTGTATTCCCTGGAATGCAGGCGGGAGAGATACATGATTATATACACCTGGAAAATCCTAGAGGGACTAGTACCGAACTTGCACACGAAAATCACTCACTACGAAAGCAAAAGACTTGGCAGACGATGCAACATCCACCCAATGAAAAGCAGGGGTGTCACTAGCACGTTAAGAGACCATACAATAAGTGTCAGGGGCCCGAGACTGTTCAACTGCCTCCCAGCATACATAAGGGGGATTACCAACAGACCCCTGGCTGTCTTCAAGCTGGCACTGGACAAGCACCTAAGTCGGTTCCTGACCAGCCGGGCTGTGGCTCGTACGTTGGTTTGCGTGCAGCCAGCAGCAACAGCCTGGTTGATCAGGCTCTGATCCACCAGGAGGCCTGGTCACAGACCGGGCCGCGGGGGCGTTGACCCCCGGAACTCTCTCCAGGTAAACTCCAGGTATAAGTGCAACTGGGTATTGCTGTGAGCTCTGCATCTCTCTTGGTTCCATCTGGAAACTTCACAAAGTTTCAAGTGTTTCAAAGTTATTATGTCATAAGGCTCTTACTTTAAATTCAATTCAATTCAATTCAATTCGAAGTTTATTCTCTATAAGGATTACAATGCTGAGTTAACAGAATTTGGTTATTGTGTGGTTTACATGTAGTAAAATAATAATTACAGAGTGTACCACTAGAACACCTAGCATGGCTAGGCATTTCGGGCAGACTTAAATTAAATCTTAAGTTTAAAATATTACAAAATTATGAGGTAAGTTGGTATTATGGCTAAGTGACTAAATACTAGTTTGTGAGTTTAGCAATGTGAATGCTTTTGTTTTGGCACTATACATAGTTTCAGTATTGGAGTATCACAGGCCAACTTATGACTAGTTAAGATTCATTATTTTGAGATTGAGATTGATATTTCTGTTTATGGTCAAATGGGTGAGTGAGTGTAAGTGTTAACCACCAGGTGGTATTCGTGTAATTAGTTGACAGGGAGTATCAGAGAGATAAGATGTTTTCTGATGGTAGTTTTGAAGGCGATGAATGTGTCTGCAGTTTTAGAATTTTCAGGTAGGGTGTTACAGATTTTAGGGCCTTTGACATACATTGAATTTTTGTAAAGGTTTAGTCGGACACGGGGAATGTCATAGAGATGTTTGTGTCTGGTGTTGTGCCTGTGGGTTCTGTCGCAACTATCAAGAAAGCGTTTTAGGTCAAGGTTAATATTGGAATTTAAGGTCCTGTAGATGTAGATTGCACAGTAGTAAGTATGGATGTACTGAACAGGGAGTAAGTTTAGAACTATGAAGAGTGGGGGGGTGTGTTGCCAGGGATGGGATTTAGTGATTATTCTTACTGCGGCTTTTTGTTGGGTTATTATTGGCTTTAGGTGTGTTGCTGCAGTTGAACCCCAAGCACAGATAGCATAGGTGAGGTATGGATATATAAGTGAATGGTATAGTGAGAGAAGGGCAGTTTATGGCACGTAGTATCGTATCTTGGAGAGGATCCCAACCGTTTTGGATACTTTTTTGGTTATGTGTTGGATATGGGTGCTGAAGTTCAGGTTGTTGTCGAGGTATAGGCCTAGGAATTTGCCCTCATTATGCCTGGCAATTGGAGTGTTGTCGATCTTAATGTTAATTTGCGCATCTCCTGCTCTGCTACCAAGCATAATGTAGTAGGTTTTGTCAGTGTTAAGCGTAAGTTTATTGGCTGTCATCCAAGTCGATATTTTGATCAGCTCCTCATTAACAATGGTGTTGAGGGTGGCAAGATTAGGGTGAGAGATGACATAAGTCGTGTTGTCAGCAAAGAGAATGGGGTTCAGGTGTTGAGATACTCTATGGAGACTGTTGCAGGAAATTAAGTGCTACACCAATGAATACTAAATTTATAAGAAAATGTGATAACCTTATTGCTGACATGGAAAAGCTTTTACTGGTGTAGACTGAAGATCAAACTAGTCACAACATGCCTTTAAGCTGAGCCATTATCTAGTCTAAGGCCTTAAGTCTCTTCAATTCTATGAAGGCTGAGAGAGGTGAAGAAGCTGCTGAAGATAACTTTGAAGCTAGCAGAGGCTGGTTTTATCCTCTTCTGACTTCCTACAATAAATACTACTCGCCCCCTCACTCTATACCTATGATATACCTTTGAAGAGTTTCAAGAGTTAATCTACTCTCTGAGCCCAGACATGGGCCAGGCTCATCTGGTGCTTGCCTGGTCAACCAGGCTGTTGCTGTTGGAGGCCCACTGCCCCACATATCCATCACAGCCTGGTTGATCTGGCACCTGGTGAAGATACTTGTCCAGTTTCCTCTTGAAGGCTTCTACACTTGTTCCAGCCATGTTTCTGATATCTTCTGGAAAGATGTTGAATAGTCTGGGACCCAGGATATTGATATAGTGTTACCTTATTGTCCTCATTGCACCCCTGCTCCTCACTGGGTTTATTTTACACTTCCTCCCATATCTCTCACTCCAGTATTTTGTTATGGCAGTGTGCAGATTTGGCCAAAAATATTTTAGGGTAATAATGAATGTACTGTATAAACATTTTACTATTTTATTGTTTTTAAGGCCTAATTCTATTGCTAACTTAATTTATGATAGTGTAAACATGTTATCAGGTATTTATATGCATTTAAAACTAAAAAATGGGTGAATTGTTTTACAGCAGTAGCCTGGAACCTAACCCACTGTATAAGCAGTTACTTCCTGTATATAGTTTCCTTACAAATGCAAAAAAACTGCAGAAAGACAAGGGTTTGCTATGTGTGGAAAATACTGTATATATTTTCTAGAAATACAGTAGTTATATGTAAATAGATGGCCATACTGTATTTAATAATATTTATGTCATAGAAAACGAAAAGCCTGTGTCTGTGCAGAAGGACAGTCGCCATTGTTAATTTGAATTGGATACAACATTAGTGTAATGGGAAGGAATTTTCGTGCTCTAGAGGTTAAAATTGGGCTGACACCTCTCAAATAGGAGGCAAAATTGTTGGATGTGCATTCCTGCATAACTTGAGATATCAGGCGACTGGACAAGACAGCTCCAGGAACCTCAGATAAGTCTGTTATGTTATAACTCTGGCCAGTTGTTATTTTCATGTACGTATAGACAGAGGTTTTCTGAGTATGATACACTTTGATTTCCAGTCAAATTGGTGAGTGTTATGATTAAGATATATTCTCCTTCTGTTATATAAATGTGTATTTATATATAATAATTTTTTAATTTAATATACAGTCCACAAATTTATATATTTACCAGCATTCCTGGTGATGTATATTTCATTTATGATTAATAGGCCCAGAGAAACTTGTGGATATGACAGTGGTAGGTATCGAAGGGGGACATTTTTTGTGACCTAGGTGTCCCAAATTCCTACTTGTCTAACTGATAAATAATAATTATCTTTGTTCATTTACTGTTATGTATATAATGATACATTCAGCTAAATACAATTTTCCATACTATGAATGCACACTATACAGCATTATTCTGCACCACATATTATAAGAAAATACAATCCTCTCCTAAAAGCTTTTGAGTACAGTATTAATGTACAGTTTCCTGAGTAGTATTACTAAATATAATGAAGGTTCAACATACAGTACTCACCTGAGAAGGGTTTAAGAAAGAGTGCAAGATCTTTGATACACTTGACAGCCATGAAGTAGTTACGAGTGTGAGTTGTAGGCACTGGCGGAGGAGGGGGTAGCTCCCCCTCCTCTGCACTCGTCCCAGCCCCCACCAGTGAAAGCAATGCACCATTTACAGGAAGTTGGTCCAGCTCCAATCTCATCACAGTCTGCAAGAGTAATGTCAAAACTGGTACAATTCACAAACACATGATATGAGGTGAAAAGAATACCTACTGAGTTTTATAAAACAAAATCTCTTCTATAGTTGATAACACTAAACCAACATTGTTATACCAAACATAACCAGCTCATTCAACTCTATCCCTGTACTTCCAATCTTCCTCAAACTCCCGTAGAAAATTAATTATTCATCTTGATCCATTATATCTCTACTAAAACTAACTTCTTGTATCCTCACCATCTCTTTCATTTGTTCCATAAACTGAAGACTTCAAGTTAGTTTGAAGCTGCTTAAGAAATCCCACTTATCTGAGGATCACTGAATCAGTTCGAAGTATTAACAAATACTTAAACTTTTATTACTGTTCGTTTAGCCATCTCTCATTTTTGTACATTTAAAAACTCCTACTTAATAACCCATGTCTAGTTCCTACAAAGTCTTGAAGAATTAGCATGAGTCTGTCCAAAATGCACAGCATGTTAATGGCTTTCTTTTATGCCTAACAATCTTTTATTACACGTAAACTACATTACCTGTATACTGTAGAAATGAAATAGTGTAATTTATTATTATGATTATTTTTTTTAACACACTGGCCTTCTCCCGCCATCATTCCCACTATCACTGTCTTGCCAGAGATGCACATATACAATAACAGAAAGAGAAGTGAGGATTCACCTGGTCATAAGGACACTGGTTTCGCTGCAGCTTGGCCAGGCAAGCACGACAGACGGTGTGTCCACATCCCAAACTGATTGGCCCACGCTGACCACTATCGAACTCATGGCAGCAAATGGGACATGACAGGAACTCGGTCCACTGAGGGGCCTGGATCGGCATGCTCCCAGGATCATGCTACAATATCCTAAAACACAAATTTTATTTATGTATGCATATATATACCATATGTGTATAATGTTTGCATGGTTTACAAGTTGCAAAATTAGCACAAATTTAATAAATAAAAATTTATCATTTTAATGGAAATGCAGTATAGTATAAATATTTTTCACATGAACTAATGCAATAAAATCACAGTAAACAGGTGATTTGACAATATACAAAATAACTACTGAGAAAAATAGTGAATTCCTAGCACTTGTGATTTCTCATTATCATGGAACTGTTCCTTGATAATGTGAGAGATCACAAAAGCACTTGGAAATTCACTATTTTTTCACAGTGCTTATTTTTCATTATGAATTAATATTTGCACTAAAACCAACAGCAACCATACCTAACTTTACTAAAATTTGTACACTGTAACTAAATAAACAGTATCTAGCTAGTGAACTCAGCTCACACACTGAGGTTCTGAGATCGAATCCCCAGTACGGCTGGAAAACATTAGGGACGTGTTTCCATAAGACACCTGCTCTTCCTGTTCACCCATCAATATAAAATGGGTACCTGGGTGTTAGTCGACTGGTGTGGGTTGCATCCTGGGACAAAACTGACCTAATATGCCCAAAATGCTCAACATAACAAGCGGCTTTCTATATTGCAGAATGTCATTGGCGTCAGCTAGGCCTGTATACCTTGTACATGTACTTGTAGAAATAAAGATATTATTATTATTATTATTATTATTATTATTATTATTATTATTATTATTATTATTATTATTATTATTATTATTATTATGGAGGGCTGGATGGAGTGGGAGAGTGAGAAATGTGAGGGAGGGAATGATGGAGGGCTGGACAGAGTGGGAGGAAGAGAATGATAGAGGGCTGGATGGAATGGGAGAATGAGAAGTGGGAGGGAGGGAATGATGGATTGCTGAATGGAGTGGGTGGGTGAGAAGTGGGGAGGGAGGGAATGATGGAGGGCTGGATGGAGTGGGAGGGATAGAATGTAAAGTAAAAGGACACAAGTGCAACTAATGTGACATTTTTATTGTGGCAACGTTTCACTCTCCAGGAGCTTTGTCAAGCCATTACAAACAGTACATTCAAATTCAAATTCAAAGTTTATTCTCTATAAGGATTACAATGCTGAGTTTACAGAATTTGGTTATTGTGTGGTTTACATGTAGTAAAATAATGATTACAGAGTGTACCACTAGAACACCTAGCATGGCTAGGCATTTCAGGCAGACTTAGTTTAATTCTTAATTTTAAAATATTACAAATTATGAGGTAAGTTGGTATTATGGCTAAGTGACTAAATACTAGTTTGTGAGTTTAGCAATGTGAATGCTTTTGTTTTGGCACAGTACATAGTTTCAGTATTGGAGTATCACAGGATTCATTATTTTAAGATTGAGATTAATATTTCTGTTTATGGTCAAATGGGTGAGTGAGTGTAAGTGTGAACCACCAGGTGGTATTCGTGTAATTAGTTGACGGGGTGTATCAGGGAGATAAGATGTTTTCTAATGGTAGTTTTGAAGGTGATGAATGTGTCTGCAGTTCTAGAGTTCTCGGGAAGGGTGTTCCAGATTTTAGGGCCTTTGACATACATTGAATTTTTGTAAAGGTTTAGTCGGACACGGGGAATGTCGTAGAGATGTTTGTGTCTGGTGTTATGCCTGTGGGTTCTGTCACAACTATCAAGAAAGCATTTTAGGTCAAGGTTGATATTGGAATTTAAGGTCCTGTAGATGTAGATTGCACAGTAGTAAGTGTGGATGTACTGAACAGGGAGTAAGTTTAGATCTATGAAGAGTGGGGGGGTGTGTTGCCAGGGATGGGATTTAGTGATTATTCTTACTGCAGCTTTTTGTTGGGGATATATAGGCTCAGAGTGAGGTGCAATACTAGTGGTGGTGGTAGTAGTAGTACCACTTCAATAAAGGATCTAACCAAGACAAAATCAAAACACCACGAACCAGTCAACACAGGGTTTACACTATACCCTGTGGAGGCTGCGACAGCAAGAAACCAGCGAAACAGCAAGAAACCTCGACACCCGCCTCAGTGAACACATTTATGCATGTAGGAACGACAACTTGAACAACACCGAAATTCCACCAATCATCTCGTGAAATTCAGGGATGCCCAATTAGTGATCAAAGAAACTAATTTCTGCAGATGCAAGTGCCTTGAATCATCACTAATTGCTGTTTCTAATACGATTAAACAAAACAAAGGCAGCTTCACCATCTCTTAAGTCTTAGCAAGAATCCTCCTGAAAACAGTAAACCCTGCCATCACACAGTCTCTCCTACTACACAAGCACATTACAGAGAATGAACATTGAAACACACCTTCTTTATCCAGCCTCCTATAGAAATATTTGTCTAACCTAACTTTATGTTATCCAAGTAACAGCTTTTATATCCTTTTACTCATGTGCGAGTTAACTGTTCTACCGTATTGTATTACTACTGCTACTACTACAACTTATGTCACTACTACTACTACTACTACCACACTAGTATTGCACCTCACTCTGAGCCTATATATCCCCTCTGTGCCCATGTACTGTTTGTAACGGCTTGACAAAGCTCCTGGAGAGTGAAACGTTGCCACAATAAAAATGTCACATAAGTTGCACTTGTGTCCTTTTACTTTACATATAGTTGGTAATTCTACCAACATTATTACGAGGGATAGAACGATGGAGGGCTGAATGGAGTGGGAGGATGAGAAGTGGGAGGGAGGGAATGATGGAGGGCTGGATGGTGTGGGAGGGTGAGAAGTGGGAGGGAATGAGTGAAGGAGGTACAGAAGTGGCAGGAGCGTGGGACATGAGATGTCAGGAAAGTAACAAGAACAGTAGAAACATAGAGGAGAGGAGAGGAGTGATGGAGGAAGCATAGAGGGAGGAGAATGATGGAGTAAGTAGGAGGAAAGGGAGAGAATAAATTATTATTATAATCAAGGGGAAGCGCTAAACCCGTAGGATTATACAGCGCCTGTGGGGGGGGGATGTGGAAGGTATTCAGGCTTAATTCTGGAAGGGAGAGAATAAAGCCCAGGTATGGAGGTGGTGTTTTGCCTCCCTGACAATACCCATGTTAGCTATCATGCCAGCCAGCCAGTCACCACACCAGCTGCAGTGCCACCTGCAGTGCCAACCACTGTGCCACCTGCAGTGCCACCTGCCCGGGTAACCTCTCATCATTACGCCGATCAACTGTGAAATTCTTTAACTTGCCGAATGTGATAGTTGCAAAACGTCGGTGTTAAACAGCTTTATGAGCTAGCTTTAAGATTGATGTAAGGTGAAGATGGCTCGGTAAAGCCGCCATGGGGCCGCCCACAGCCCTAACATTGTAAAATAACGACGCTACTTACGATAATTGTAGCAATTATTTGTTCGGGTAATGTCACAAATTTCTCCATGGAGCCATATTGAATCTATCATGGAGAAATATACCTGGAGCAACACTTCCTTGTTTTTCCTTATTAGCTTCTTTATTACTTCTCAGGCACACTGCAACTATTCATCTTAGCAGATGTATGGTGAAACATCGTCAAATATGCCTCTACGGCGAGAGATTAACCATTATTAACTTTTTTCCTCCATTCCTGGTCATCAGGGGTTATAGTTATAAAGTCTGGTAAACAACACAAAGTTGCTTCTCATAACTGCTTTAATTATTCCAATACTTCGAATTTTAACAATTCACATAAATGTTTGTGTGTATTTAAAGGGAATGATTCGTGCGACAAACTAACTTTAAGAAAGTGACAGAACAATATCTACCAAAAACTTAAGTTTGTATTTATGATCCTTAAGTTATCAACTAACATTGAATGATAAAATAAATGTGTACTTACCTTTACGTGATTGCAGGGGTCGAATCACAGCCCCTGGCTCCACCTCTCCGCTAGTCGCTACTAGGTCCACTTTCCTGGCTCCAAGAGCATAATCGTACCTCTTCTTAAAGCTATGTAGAGATCCTGCCTCCATTACATCACTCCGGATTGGTCCACTTTCTGACAACTCTGGCTGAATTATTATTATTATAATCAAAAAGAAGCGCTAAGCCACAAGGGCTATACAGCGCAACTCTGGCTGAAGAAATACTTCCTAACGACCCTATGACTCATCTGAATTTTTTTGACTTCACTTGTCTACCCTTGTTCCTGGAGTTTACCTGGAGAGAGTTCTGGGGGTCAACGCCCCCGCGGCCCGGTCTGTGACCAGGCCTCCTGGTGGATCAGAGCCTGATCAACCAGGCTGTTGCTGCTGGCTGCACGCAAACCAACGTACGAGCCACAGCCCGGCTGGTCAGGTACCAACTTTAGGTGCTTGTCCAGTGCCTGCTTGAAGACAGCCAGGGGTCTATTGGTAATCCTCTTATGTATGCTGGGAGGCAGTTGAACAGTCTCAGGCCCCTGACACTTATTGTATGGTCTCTTAACGTGCTAGTGACACCCCTGCTTTTCATTGGGGGGATGTTGCATCGTCTGCCGAGTCTTTTGCTTTCGTAGTGAGTGATTTTCGTGTGCAAGTTCGGTACTAGTCCCTCTAGGATTTTCCAGGTGTATATAATCATGTATCTCTCCCTCCTGCGTTCCAGGGAATACAGGTTTAGGAACCTCAAGCGCTCCCAGTAATTGAGGTGTTTTATCTCCGTTATGTCGCGCCGTGAAGGTTCTCTGTACATTTTCTAGGTCAGCAATTTCACCTGCCTTGAAAGGTGCTGTTAGTGTGCAGCAATATTCCAGCCTAGATAGAACAAGCGACCTGAAGAGTGTCATCATGGGCTTGGCCTCCCTAGTTTTGAAGGTTCTCATTATCCATCCTGTCATTTTTCTAACATGCGATTGATACAATGTTATGGTCCTTGGAGGTGAAATCCTCCGACATGATCACTACCAGGTCTTTGACGTTTGTGTTTCGCTCTATTTTGTGGCCAGAATTTGTTTTGTACTCTGATGAAGATTTAATTTCCTCGTGTTTACCATATCGGAGTAATCGAAATTTCTCATCGTTGAACTTCATATTGTTTTCTGCAGCCCACTGAAAGATTTGGTTGATGTCCGCCTGGAGCCTTGCAGTGTCTGCAATAGAAGACACTGTCATGCAGATTCGGGTGTCATCTGCAAAGGAAGACACGGTGCTGTGGCTGACATCCTTGTCTATGTCGGATATGAGGATGAGGAACAAGATGGGAGCGAGTACTGTGCCTTGTGGAACAGAGCTTTTCACCGTAGTTGCCTCGGACTTTACTCTGTTGACGACTACTCTCTGTGTTCTGTTAGTGAGGAAATTATAGATCCATCGACCGACTTTTCCTGTTATTCCTTTAGCACGCATTTTGTGCGCTATTACGCCATGGTCACACTTGTTGAAGGCTTTTGCAAAATCTGTATATATTACATCTACATTCTTTTTGTCTTCTAGTGCATCTAGGACCTTGTCATAGTGATCCAATAGTTGAGACAGACAGGAGCGACCTGTTCTAAACCCATGTTGCCCTGGGTTGTGTAACTGATGGGTTTCTAGATGGGTGGTGATCTTGCTTCTTAGGACCCTTTCAAAGATTTTTATGATATGGGATGTTAGTGCTATCAGTCTGTAGTTCTTTGCTGTTGCTTTACTGCCCCCTTTGTGGAGTGGGGCTATGTCTGTTGTTTTTAGTAACTGTGGGACGACCCCCGTGTCCATGCTCCCTCTCCATAGGATGGAAAAGCTCGTGATAGGGGCTTCTTGCAGTTCTTGATGAACACGGAGTTCCATGAGTCTGGCCCTGGGGCAGAGTGCATGGGCATGTCATTTATCGCCTGTTCGAAGTCATGAGGCGTCAGGGTAACATCGGATAGGCTTGTGTTAACCAAATTCTGTGGCTCTCTCATAAAAAATTAATTTTGATCTTCGACTCTCAGTCTAGTTAGCGGCTTGCTAAAAACTGAGTCATATTGGGACTTGAGTAGCTCACTCATTTCCTTGCTGTCATCTGTGTAGGACCCATCTTGTTTAAGTAGGGGCCCAATACTGGAGGTTGTTCTTGACTTTGATTTGGCATAGGAGAAGAAATACTTTGGGTTTCTTTTGATTTCATTTATGGCTTTTAGTTTCTTCCCTGCGATTCCTGACTCCTATAAGATTCCTTTAGCTTAAGTTCGATGCTTGCTATTTCTCTGACCAGTGTCTCCCTACGCATTTCAGATATATTGACCTCTTTTAGCCGCTCTGTTATTCTTTTCCGTCGCCTGTAAAGGGAGCGCCTGTCTCTTTCTATTTTACATCTACTCCTCCTTTTTCTTAGAGGAATAAGCCTTGTGCATACATCGAGTGCCACCAAGTTAATCTGTTCTAGGCATAAGTTGTGGTCTGTGTTGCTTAGTATATCTTCCCAGCTTATATCGGTTAGGACTTGGTTTACTTGGTCCCACTTTATGTTTTTGTTATTGAAGTTGAATTTGGTGAATGCTCCCTCATGACTAATCTCATTATGTCGGTCTGGGGCTCTACGCATACATGTCTGAACCTCAATTATGTTGTGATCTGAGTACATGTATATTGTTTTTGATATGGTGACATTTCTTATTAGATCATCATTGTTAGTGAAGATGAGGTCTAGTGTATTCTCCAGTCTAGTAGGCTCTATTATTTGCTGGTTTAAATTGAATTTTGTGCAGAGATTTAAAAGCTCGTGTGAGTGTGAGTTTTCATCAGAGCTGCCTCCTGGTGTTATTACTGCAACAATATTATTTGCTATATTCCTCCATTTTAGGTGTTCCTGTGTCCCTTCTGAAACATTCTAGCTTTGTTCACCTTGTCAATGCCTCTCAGTATTTATTATAATAAAAAAAGAAGTGCTAAACCTACAAGGGTCATACAGCACCGCTGTGGAGGGAAGGATGCAGGTGTATTGGGTAGCAAGAGGAAGAGGGATGATTAGGCCGTGGATTCCTCTCAGTATTTTATAGTGTTTTCATGTCCCCCTCTATCCCTCCTGTCCTCAAGTGTTGTCAGGTTGAGTTCCCTTAACCCCTTAATTCCGGGACTAGTTTTATTGCAAACCTCTGCACTTTCTCCAATTTTCTGATGTGCTTGACGAAGTGTGGGTGCCATACTGGTGCTGCATACTCCATATATGGGCTTGATGTACACGATGTACAGTGTCATGAGTGACTCCTTACTTAGATGTCAAAAAGATGTTCTTAGATTTGCTAGATGCACATTTGCTTGGTGTGATACTCACCCCAAGGTCCTTCTTGAGTGAGATTTGCAGCCTTTGACCCCCCAGAGCATGTACTCCATCTGTGGTCTGTGTCCTTCCCCAAGCTTCATAACTTTGTACTTGGTGGGGTTAAGCTACAGGAGCCATTTGTCAGACTAGGGCTACAGCCTATCCAAATCAATTTGTAGCCTTTCCTGTCCTTTTCCACTTGTATTCCCTTCATTAGTTTCACATCTGCAATAGGGATACCTGACTCTATCCTGTCTATCATGTCATTCACATATACAAGAAACAGCATCGGCCCTAGAACTGATCCTTGTGGAACCCCACTCATCACGTGTACTCATTCCACACCCTTGTCATGGACCATCACTAATTATTTCCAGCCTGTCAGGTATGCATTGGTCCATTGTAGTGCTTTTCCTGTTATTCCTGCCTGTTCCTCCAGCTTTTGTACAAGTCTTGTGCAGTACTGTGTCAAAAGCCTTACAGTCCAAGAAAATGCAATCTACCCATCCCTCCCTCTTTCTCCTGTTTTCTTTTACCTTGTCATAGAACTCCAGTAGGTTTGTGACACAGGATTTTCCATCCCTGAAGCCATGCTGGTTGTCATGAACGAACCCACTCCTTTCTAGGTACTCTACTACTCTTCTCCATAACTTTACATACTATACATGTCAGTGACACTGGTCTGTTGTTTAATAAGAACATAAGAAAGAAGGAACACTGCAGCAGGCCTACTGACCCATACGAAGCAAGTCCATGTGTCCCCCCCCCGGATTAGTCTAATGACCCACCTAGTCAGGTCACTTCCACTTAAGGAAGGAGCAAGGCATCAGACCTAGTAGCACAAGCTAGTCAAGTCCAACTCACACCCACTCATGTATTTATCTAACCTATTTTTAAAACTACAGTAGGTAAAATGAAAGGGGGTAAGGCAGCCGGGATTGATGGGATAAAGATAGAAATGTTAAAAGCAGGTGGGGATATAGTTTTGGAGTGGTTGGTGCAATTATTTAATAAATGTATGGAAGAGGGTAAGGTACCTAGGGATTGGCAGAGAGCATGCATAGTTCCTTTGTATAAAGGCAACGGGGACAAAAGAGAGTGCAAAAATTATAGGGGGATAAGTCTGTTGAGTATACCTGGTAAAGTGTATGGTAGAGTTATTATTGAAAGAATTAAAAGTAAGACTGAGAATAGGATAGCAGATGAACAAGGAGGCTTTAGGAAAGGTAGGGGGTGTGTGGACCAGGTGTTTACAGTGAAACATATAAGTGAACAGTATTTAGATAAGGCTAAAGAGATCTTTGTGGCATTTATGGATTTGGAAAAGGCGTATGACAGGGTGGATAGGGAAGCAATGTGGCAGATGTTGCAGGTGTATGGTGTAGGAGGTAGGTTACTGAAAGCAGTGAAGAGTTTTTACGAGGATAGTGAGGCTCAAGTTAGAGTACATAGGAAAGAGGGAAATTATTTCCCAGTAAAAGTAGGCCTTAGACAAGGATGTGTGATGTCACCGTGGTTGTTTAATATATTTATAGATGGGGTTGTAAGAGAAGTAAATGCGAGGGTCTTGACAAGAGGCGTGGAGTTAAAAGATAAAGAATCACACATAAGGTGGGAGTTGTCACAGTTGCTCTTTGCTGATGACACTGTGCTCTTGAGAGATTCTGAAGAGAAGTTGCAGAGATTGGTGGATGAATTTGGTAGGGTGTGCAAAAGAAGAAAATTAAAAGTGAATACAGGAAAGAGTAAGGTTATGAGGATAACAAAAATATTAGGTGATGAAAGATTGGATATTAGATTGGAGGGAGAGAGTATGGAGGAGGTGAATGTATTCAGATATTTGGGAGTGGACGTGTCAGCGGATGGGTCTATGAAGGATGAGGTGAATCATAGAATTGATGAGGGGAAAAGGGTGAGTGGTGCACTTAGGAGTCTGTGGAGACAAAGAACTTTGTCCTTGGAGGCAAAGAGGGGAATGTATGAGAGTTATAGTTTTACCAACACTCTTATATGGGTGTGAAGCATGGGTGATGAATGTTGGAGCGAGGAGAAGGCTGGAGGCAGTGGAGATGTCATGTCTGAGGGCAATGTGTGGTGTGAATATTAATGCAGAGAATTTGTAGTTTGGAAGTTAGGAGGAGGTGCGGGATTACCAAAACTGTTGTCCAGAGGGCTGAGAAGGGTTGTTGAGGTCGTTCGGACATGTAGAGAGAATGGAGCGAAACAGAATGACTTCAAGAGTGTATCAGTCTGTAGTGGAAGGAAGGCGGGGTAGGGGTCGGCCTGGGAAAGGTTGGAGGGAGGGGGTAAAGGAGGTTTTGTGTGTGAGGGGCTTGGACTTCCAGCAGGCGTGCGTGAGCGTGTTTGATAGGAGTGAATGGAGACGAATGGTTTTTAATACTTGACGTGCTGTTGGAGTGTGAGCAAAGTAACATTTATGAAGGGGTTCAGGGAAACCGGCAGGCCAGACTTGAGTCCTGGAGATGGGAAGTACAGTGCCTGCACTCTGAAGGAGGGGTGTTAATGTTGCAGTTTAAAAACTGTAGTGTAAAGCACCCTTCTGGCAAGACAGTGATGGAGTGAATGATGGTGAAAGTTTTTCTTTTTCAGGCCACCCTGCCTTGGTGGGAATCGGCCAGTGTGATAATAAAAAATAAATAACAATGTTTTAGCCTCTATAACTGTACTCGGGAGTTTGTTCCACTGACCCACAACTCTATTACCAAACCAGTGATTTCCTATATCCTTCCTGAATCTGAATTTTTCCAACTTGAAACCATTGCTGTGAGTCCTGTCACGGTTGGAAATTTTCAGCACGCTATTTACATCCCCTTTATTTATTCCCATTTTCCATTTATACACCTCAATCATATCCCCCCTAATTCTACGCCTTTCGAGAGAGTGCAGATTAAGGGCCCTCAGTCTACCCTCATAGGGAAGATTTCTGATACATGGGCTAGTGGAAAACACGGTGCTTCTGCTCCCTCTCTCAGGACCCATGGAGATATACGATCTGGTCTTACAGCCTTTGAGATACCTAGCTTGCATAGCAGCAGCTTCATTAGTGCACTCTACCACTTCAGTTTGCTGGTAGCATTTGTTTCCTCTGAAAAAAAACTAAATCTCATGCTGAGCCCTTCAGACTTCCTGGTCATTCCTTTAGATCCCCTCCTTCCTTCTTCAGCCTAATTACCTTATTCCTGATTGTCTTCCTTCTGATGTAACTATCTAACAACTCTGGGTCAGATTTAGCTTTCAGTGCTACCTCATTCTCAAATTGCCATCTTCGTTTCTAGCTCTTCAGCTCAGCTTTGCCTTCTATACTTCTTCCATATTCTAGCACATTTGGCTTTGGCCTCTACACCTCAAGGTAAACCATGGGATTCACTCTGGTCTTTCCCTTGTTTCTACTGCTCCTGGGTACAAACTTCTCCTCTGTCTCCCTGCACTTTCTGGCCACATACTCCATCATCTCATTCACTACCTTTTCCTTTAGTTTTCTTTCCCACTACACTTCATATAGGAATTGCCTCATGCCTATGTAGTCCTTTCTGTTGAAGTCTGGCCTCTTACCTCCTTCCCACGCTGCTTCACTCTCCACTGTTCATTCCATAAGGTATTCAAAACTCAGATTCTATTAAGTCATGCCTACAACTATGTATGTCACCATTACTACTATTTCATCACTCAACTATTTAAGTCTCCTGGCGAGGGAAACATCTCACAAACAGATACCCATGTACTGGACTTGTGTCCTATCCATCATGTAATATTGTATTTTTGTTCTAAATAAAGGTATACAAGTTTTATGAGGAAAATGGATATCAAACACATACATACATATAGTATATAGAATAATGTTTTATTAAATTGTATAAGAAAATAAAACTTACAAATGTAATAAATCTGTCATTGTAATTTTAAATTTTTTTGATGAAAGTGGCAAATGCAATAATAAAAAAGAGAAAATTAAACCAAGACATACTTTTGAATACCTAATTTGAGAACTGTACAAACAATTTCTGGTAAAAAAAAATCATAACCTAACATACAACTAACAAAGTGTTTATTATATCAGAATGTTAAACTCTAACTACAAAAAAATATATTTCCTTATTTATACAGCTCATTTAGTCTCACAGAGTATTCCAGTATATTGTACATCACAATACTTCTCAAAGGTTTATGGTATTCTCTAAATCATTGCCACTACCCGGTCACAATAATATTTTTATGCTCTGTGATTAACAAGCTGCTTAGAGTTATTTTGTTTGTGTAATACATATATATGTAATTTATATTTTTTTTCTTCAAACCGACCATATCCCAATGAGGCAGGGTGACACGAGAAAGGATTACTAACTCCTTGCTCCCAACATTTTAGTCGCCTCTTATGACACACATGGCTTACGGACGAAGAATTCTGTTCAACTTCTCCATTGAGATAAGAGGAAATAAAGAAGAACAAGAACTATTAAAAAAAATAGAAGAAAATCTAGATGGGTATGTATATATATGTATGTACATGCATGTGTAGTGTGGCCTAAATGTAAGTAGAAGTAGCAAGATATACCTGTTATCCTGCATGTTTATGAGACAGAAAAAAGACACCAGCACACCTACCTGCCTAGGTAGTAGGTTGGTAGACAGCAACCACTCAGGGAGGTACTACCGTCCTGCCCAGTGAGCGTGAAATGGAAACCTGTAACTGTTTTACATTATGGTAGGATTGCTGGTGTCTTTTTTCTGTCTCATAAACATGCAGAATAACAGGTATATATTGCCACTTCTACTTACACTTAGGTCACACTACACATGCATGTACACGCATATACATTTAAACGACCATCTGGGTTTTCTTAATAATTTTTGTTCTTATTTCCTCTTATCTCCATGGGAAAGTGGAAAAGAATTCTTCCTCCATAAGTCATGCATATCAGGTAAGAGGCAACTAAAATGCCAGGAGCAAGGGGCTAGTAACCTCTTCTCCTGTATAAATTACTAAATTTTAAAGAGAAATTTTCATTTTGCTTTTTAGGTCACCCTCCCACGGTGGGATATGGCCAGTTTGTGGGGATATACAAGTGTACTTACAGTGTGGGGATATACAGGTGTACTTACATACACCTGTATATCCCCACACCCACACACAGACCTCCACTCTCCACACATATACATACTTTTGCTGGAATTCTATGATAAAAAAAAGAGAGATAGATAGGGGGGGGGCCTCAGTGAACTGCATATTCATGGACTGCAAGAAGGCATCTGATACTCCACTAAAAAGAAAAAAAACTAGGGAAAGACTTGAAGTAGAGGCAGGAATAACAGGAACTGTATTCTGTGGGATTAAAGAGCATCTTAGGAGCAGGAAACAGAGTGATTGTCTGAGAAGTGATGTCAGAATGGGGACAAGTAACAAGTATGGTTCCATAAGGATTGGTATTAGGACCAGTACTGTTTCAGGTATATGTGAATGACATACTAAATGGGATTCAGTCAGATTGATCCCTGTTTGCTGATGATGTAAAACTAATGAGAATAAAATAAAGACAAGGAAAGACTTCAAATGCATCTGGACAACTGAAAGATTGGTGTACCTAAATTCAAACCCCAGCAAATGCAAGGTAATGAAGATTGGGAAGACGCAAGATAACTGGAAATGGAATATAGACTAGGGATATAGAGGCTGCAGACCTTACTCAGAGAGAATGACCTAGGGAGTGAGAATAATGCCAGGCATACTGCCTGGCAAAAGTAAAAGTAGCCTTCAGGAATCTCAACAGTCATTTGAGACCCTTTATGAACATATATCAGGCTCATGTTGGAGTATGCAACACAAGCATGGAACCCATACCTTATAATGTTAAAAACTTGGAGAAAGTGTGGAGGTATGTAACGAGGTTAGTTCCAGAGCTAAGAGGGCTAACAGAAGTGAACCTGGCAACACTGAGGGGCAGAAGAACCAGGGAATACCTAATAACACTATACAAAATGCTCAGAGGAGTTGACAGTGTAGACAGGGAAAGTCTGATAAAGAAACAGGGAACAAGTACTTGGGGGCACAATGAAAAGTTAAAGACACAGCTAAGTCACAGGGATACCTGGAATATACCTGGAGGATGTTCTGGGGGTCAATGCCTCCATGGCCTGGTCCATAACCATGTTTGTCCAGAAGTATTTCTTTAGGCTTTGGCTGGTTGTATTATTGTGATCAAGAAAGCTGAATCTTTCTTACCCACAATATGGAGATAATAGGGAAGGTTAATAGTAATTCTGTAAACAGAAAGGGGGAAAAATAATACTTAGCACAATTTAAGGTCTATAATACAATTTTTTTTTTAAATAATGTATATAATGTTAATAATAATGTTAATCATAGAATTGATGAGGAAAAAAAGGTGAGTGGTGCGTTGAGGTATATGTGGAGTCAAAAAACGTTATCTATGGAGGCAAAGAAGGGAATGTATGAAAGTATAGTAGTACCAACACTCTTATATGGGTGTGAAGCTTGGGTGGTAAATGCAACAGCGAGGAGACGGTTGGAGGCAGTGGAGATGTCCTGTTTAAGGGCAATGTGTGGTGTAAATATTATGCAGAAAATTCGGAGTGTGGAAATTAGGAAAAGGTGTGGAGTTAATAAAAGTATTAGTCAGAGGGCAGAAGAGGGGTTGTTGAGGTGGTTTGGTCATTTAAAAAGAATGGACCAAAGTAGAATGACATGGAAAGCATATAAATCTATAGGGGAAGGAAGGCGGGGTAGGGGTCGTCCTCGAAAGGGTTGGAGAGAGGGGGGTAAAGGAGGTTTTGTGGGCAAGGGGCTTGGACTTCCAGCAAGCGTGTGTGAGCGTGTTAGATAGGAGTGAATGGAGACGAATGGTACTTGGGACCTGACGATCTGTTGGAGTGTGAGCAGGGTAATATTTAGTGAAGGGATTCAGGGAAACCGGTTATTTTCATAGAGTCGGACTTGAGTCCTGGAAATGGGAAGTACAATGCCTGCACTTTAAAGGAGAGGTTTGGGATATTGGCAGTTTGGAGGGATATGTTGTGTATCTTTATATGTGTATGCTTCTAAACTGTTGTATTCTGAGCACCTCTGCAAAAACAGTGATAATGTGTGAGTGTGGTGAAAGTGTTGAATGATGATGAAAGTATTTTCTTTTTGGGGATTTTCTTTCTTTTTTGGGTCACCCTGCCTCGGTGGGAGACGGCCGACTTGTTGAAAAAAAAAAAAAAATGTTTACCTAGGTAGTAGGTTGGTAGACAACAACCGCCCAAGGAGGTACTACCATCCTGCAAAGTGTGTAAAACGAAAGCCTGTAATTGTTTTACATGATGGTAGGATTGCTGGTGTCCTTTTTTCTCTCTCAAACATGCAAGATTTCAGGTACGTCTTGCTACTTCTGCTTACACTTAGGTCACACTACACATGTACAAGCATATATATATACACAACCCTCTGGGTTTTCTGCTATTTTCTTTCTAGTTCTTGTTCTTGTTTATTTCCTCTTATCTCCATGGGGAAATGGAACAGAATTCTTCCTCCGTAAGCCATGCGTGTTGTAAGAGGTGACTAAAATGCCGGGAGCAAGGGGCTAGTAACCCCTTCTCCTGTATAAATTACTAAATTTAGTAAGAGAAATTTTCGTTTTTCTTTTTGGGCCACCCTGCCTCGGTGGGATACGGCTGGTTTGTTGAAAGAAGAAGAAGTACATATATTATTATATGGCAAGCAATTCAGTGTTTTAAATCATTTGTATAACAGACATTTAAATTTCTATAAATAACAGCCATCAAATAATATTATAGGTGGGCCCCACTTGTACAGCAGGAAAGGTTCTGGGCTACTGCTGTACAGCAAAAACCACTGTAAAGTGAAACACAGACTTTTTTCATTTTTAAATGCATATAGTCGGACTCGAGTCCTGGAAATGGGAAGTACAATGCCTGCACTTTAAAGGAGGGGTTTGGTATATTGGCAGTTTGGAGAGATATGTTGTGTATCTTTATGCGTATATGCTTCTAAACTGTTGTATTCTGAGCACCTCTGCAAAAACAGTGATAATGTGTGAGTGTGGTGAAAGTGTTGAATGATGATGAAAGTATTTTCTTTTTGGGGATTTTCTTTCTTTTTTGGGTCACCCTGCCTCGGTGGGAGACGGCCGACTTGTTGAAAAAAAAAAAAAAAATAAAAGCCTGATAACATATTTACACTATTATATATTAAGTGAGCAATAGAGCTAGGCCTAAAAAGTGCATATACAGTACATACATTATTTACCTTAAAATATTTTAGTTCTTAGCTTATAGTGAGGTGATTATATTTATTGTAGGAAATTTGAATAAATGAAGAATGAGTATAACTGAAAACTGGTGTTTTAGCAAAACATTGTAAAGTGAAGCCCTCCTGTATAAGAATGAGTATTACTGAAGTGATATTAATGTGTGTTAAGAGAGTTCCAAGTGGTCAAATACTTTGGTTATATTGAAACAATTAGAGCAGGCTTCAATCTCCTCAATATACATGTTGTAAGTGGCTAAGTAAAGTGAAGTGAAGTCTCAGTCAAGTTAAAAGCAGTGTTAAGCGCTTGTCAATGTAATTGTGAGGTAAGACAATTACTATTAACCTACCATATTATTATTTTTGAGGTAGTAGGTTGGTAGACAGCAACCACCCAGGGAGGTACTACCGTCCTGCCAAGTGAGTGTAAAACAAAAGCCTGTAATTGTTTTACATGATGGTAGGATTGCTGGTGTCTTTTGTCTGTCTCATAAATATGCAAGATTACAGGTATGTCTTGCTACTTCTACTTACACTTAGGTCACACTACACATACATGTACACATTTATTTATACACACTCATCTGAGTTTTCTTTGATTTTATCTTAATAGTTCTTGGTCTTATTACTTTTCCTCTTATATCCATGGGGAAGTGGAATAAGAATCTTTCCTCCGTAAGCCATGCGTGTTGTAAAAGTCAACTAAAAATGCCGGGAACAATGGGCTAGTAACCCTTTTCCTGTAAAGATTACTAAAAAGAATAAGAAGAAATTGTTTTCTTTCTTTTTTTGGGTCACCCTGCTCGGTGGGAGCGGGCCGACTTGTTGAAAAAAAAAAAAAATTATTATTTTTGAGGTAGTAGGTTGGTAGACAGCAACCACCCAGGGAGGTACTACCGTCTGCCAAGTGAGTGTAAACAAAAGCCTGTAATTGTTTTAATGATGGTAGGATTGCTGGTGTCTTTTGTCTGTCTCATAATATATGCAAGATACAGGTATGTCTTGCTACTTCTACTTACACTAAGTCACACTACACATACATGTACATGTTTATTTATACAACTCATCTGGTTTTCTTTGATTTTATCTTAATAGTTCTTGGTCTTATTACTTTTCCTTTTTTATCCATGGGGAAGTGGAATAAGAATCTTTCCTCCGTAGCCATGCGTGTTGTAAAAGTCAAACTAAAATGCCGGGAACAATGGGCTAGTAACCCCTTTCCTGTAAAGATACTAAAAAAGAATAGAAGAAGAAAATTGTCAAAGTGGGAAGTCTGAATGTGCGTGGATGTTGTGCAAATGATAAGAAAGAGATGATTGTGGATGTTTGAATGAGAAAAATGGATGTCCTGGCTTTAAGTGAAACAAAGCTGAAGGGGGGGGGGAGGTTTCAATGGAGAGGAAAATAATGGGATTAGGTCAGGGGTTTCAAATAGAGTTAGAGCTAAAGAAGGAGTAGCAATAATGTTGAAGGATTTAAGCTATGGCAGGAAAAGAGGGACTACAAATGTATAAATTCAAGGATTATGTGGAGTAAAATAAAGATTGGATGTGAAAAGTGGGTTATAGTAAGCGTGTATGCACCTGGAGAAGATAGAAGTGTAGAGGAGAGAGAGAGATTCTGGGAAATGTTGAGTGAAAGGGTGGGGAATTTTGAATCAAGTGTGAGAGTAATGGTGGTTGGGGATTTCAATGCTAAAGTGGGTAAAAATGTTATGGAGGGAGTAGTAGGTAAATTTGGGGTGCCAGGGGTAAATGTAAATGGGGAGCCTTTAATTGAGCTATGTGTAGAAAGAAATTTGGTAATAAGTAATACATATTTTATGAAAAAGAGGATAAACAAATATACAAGGTATGATGTAGCACGTAATGAAAGTAGTTTGTTAGATTATGTATTGGTGGATAAAAGGTTGATGGGTAGGCTCCAGGATGTACATGTTTATAGAGGGGCAACTGATATATCGGATCATTATTTAGTTGTAGCTACAGTTAGAGATCATTATTTAGTTGTAGCTACAGTTAGAGTAAGAGGTAGATGGGAAAAGAGGAAGGTGGCAACAACAAGTAAGAGGGAGGTGAAAGTGTATAAACTAAGGGAGGAGGAAGGTCGGGCGAGATATAAGCAACTATTGGCAGAAAGGTGGGCTAGTGCAAAGATGAGTAGTGGGGGGGTTGAAGAGGGTTGGAATAGTTTTAAAAATGCAGTATTAGAATGTGGGGCAGAAGTTTGTGGTTATAGGAGGGTGGGGACAGGAGGAAAGAGGAGTGATTGGTGGAAGGATGAAGGGTGTGATAAAAGAGAAAAAGTTAGCCTATGAGAGGTTTTTACAAAGCAGAAGTGTTATAAGAAGAGCAGAGTATATGGAGAGTAAAAGAAAGGTGAAGAGAGTGGTGAGAGAGTGCAAAAGGAGAGCAGATGAAAGAGTGGGAGAAGCACTGTCAAGAAATTTTAATGAAAATAAGAAAAAATTTTGGAGTGAGTTAAACAAGTTAAGAAAGCCTAGGGAAAGTATGGATTTGTCAGTTAAAAACAGAGTAGGGGAGTTAGTAGATGGGGAGAGGGAGGTATTAGGTAGGTGGCGAGAATATTTTGAGGAACTTTTAAATGTTGAGGAAGAAAGGGAGGCGGTAATTTCATGCACTGGCCAGGGAGGTATACCATCTTTTAGGAGTGAAGAAGAGCAGAATGTAAGTGTGGTGGAGGTACATGAGGCATTACGTAGAATGAAAGGGGGTAAAGCAGCTGGAACTGATGGGATCATGACAGAAATGTTAAAAGCAGGGGGATATATAGTGTTGGAGTGGTTGGTACTTTTGTTTAATAAATGTATGAAAGAGGGGAAGGTACCTAGGGATTGGCAGAGAGCATGTATAGTCCCTTTATATAAAGGGAAAGGGGACAAAAGAGATTGTAAAAATTATAGAGGAATAAGTTTACTGAGTATACCAGGAAAAGTATACAGTAGGGTTATAATTGAAAGAATTAGAGGTAAGACAGAATGTAGGATTGCAGATGAGCAGGGAGGTTTCAGAGTGGGTAGGGGATGTGTAGATCAAGTGTTTACATTGAAGCATATATGTGAACAGTATTTAGATAAAGGTAGGGAAGTTTTTATTTGTATTTATGGATTTAGAAAAGGCATATGATAGAGTGGATAGAGGAGCAATGTGGCAGATGTTGCAAGTATATGGAATAGGTGGTAAGTTACTAAATGCTGTAAAGAGCTTTTATGAGGATAGTGAGGCTCAGGTTAGGGTGTGTAGAAGAGAGGGAGAATACTTCCCGGTAAAAGTAGGTCTTAGACAGGGATGTGTAATGTCACCATGGTTGTTTAATATATTTATAGATGGGGTTGTAAAGGAAGTAAATGCTAGGGTGTTCGGGAGAGGGGTGGGATTAAATTATGGGGAATCAAATTCAAAATGGGAACTGACACAGTTACTTTTTGCTGATGATACTGTGCTTATGGGAGATTCTAAAGAAAAATTGCAAAGGTTAGTGGATGAGTTTGAGAATGTGTGTAAAGGTAAAAAGTTGAAAGTGAACATAGAAAAGAGTAAGGTGATGAGGGTATCAAATGATTTAGATAAAGAAAAATTGGATATCAAATTGGGGAGGAGGAGCATGGAAGAAGTGAATGTTTTCAGATACTTGGGAGTTGACGTGTTGGCGGATGGGTTTATGAAGGATGAGGTTAATCATAGAATTGATGAGGGAAAAAAGGTGAGTGGTGCGTTGAGGTATATGTGGAGTCAAAAAACGTTATCTATGGAGGCAAAGAAGGGAATGTATGAAAGTATAGTAGTACCAACACTCTTATATGGGTGTGAAGCTTGGGTGGTAAATGCAGCAGCAAGGAGATGGTTGGAGGCAGTGGAGATGTCCTGTCTAAGGGCAATGTGTGGTGTAAATATTATGCAGAAAATTCGGAGTGTGGAAATTAGGAGAAGGTGTGGAGTTAATAAAAGCATTAGTCAGAGGGAAGAAGAGGGGTTGTTGAGGTGGTTTGGTCATTTAGAGAGAATGGATCAAAGTAGAATGACATGGAAAGCATATAAATCTATAGGGGAAGGAAGGAGGGGTAGGGGTCATCCTCGAAAGGGTTGGAAAGAGGGGGTAAAGGAGGTTTTGTGGGCAAGGGGCTTGGACTTCCAGCAAGCGTGCATGAGCGTGTTAGATAGGAGTGAATGGAGACGAATGATACTTGGGACCTGACGATCTGTTGGAGTGTGAGCAGGGTAATATTTAGTGAAGGGATTCAGGGAAACTGGTTATTTTCATATAGTCGGACTTGAGTCCTGGAAATGGGAAGTACAATGCCTGCACTTTAAAGGAGGGGTTTGGGATATTGGCAGTTTGGAGGGATATGTTGTGTATCTTTATACATATATGCTTCTAAACTGTTGTATTCTGAGCACCTCTGCAAAAGCAGTGATAATGTGTGAGTGTGGTGAAAGTGTTGAATGATGATGAAAGTATTTTCTTTTTGGGGATTTTCTTTCTTTTTTGGGTCACCCTGCCTCGGTGGGAGACGGCCGACTTGTTAAAAAAAAAAAAAAAAAAAAATTATCTATATGTTGTGGGCAAGAAGGATTCAGCTTTCCTGCCAGTGATATGACATGTTCATGAAGAGGAATGACCTCAATGAAGAAATCATGAAGGCAGGCTCCATACATCATTTTCAGAGCAAGACTGACAGGGTCTGTGAAGATAGGAGAGAGTGAATCTGTCAAGCAGGAAGTTGAAAGGCAGGGCCAGGAGCTAAGACTCGACCCTGGCAACCACATATAGGTGAGCGCGCGCACACATGCTGAAAAAATAAAAGGAAAAAGATTTGATGCAGAGATTCAGCTTTTCAGTGTTGACATGTTCATGTAGGGCCTTCAATGAGAATCATGAAGCAGGCCTCTCACAATTTCCACCAGGGTGTGAACAATGGCGTCAATTGTCAAGCAGAATTGAAAATGCGGGCCCAAGAGAAGAGGTGCATTATAGGTGGGGACCCTGTATTGAAACACCCATTTAGGTAGAGCAAACTTCCGTGCACATGTGACCACACCATGCATTATGCATAGCCAAACACACATAAACTAATTGAAATACATTAAATCAACCATAAAAGAGTGCTGTTAAAGAGTTTTTAATTGATTTTAAGTAACATAGTTTATGAGAAACACTGTGACACAACTCACTGTATCACTATTACAATAAACTTTTCAAACACCTTTATATTTAAACTAAAAATAACACTGCTTTTAAAGTATAAATTTAAATAAGATGGTATATATTAAAAACCTAATCTTTTTATACTTACTAAACTTAGAAACAATTTATATATATGTATAATATTCATTTTAATTTAACGTACAAAATTTATTATTAATGAAATTATTCAAGTACAATTAGAAATAATTATTACATTTAAATATTCATATAAAATTACGTTAAATAATATAAAAAAATATATATATATATATATTATATATATATATATATATATATATATAAAATATATATATATATATTATATATATATAATATATATATATATATGATATGGTAACACTTAAGGCAAATATATAGGCATTATTAAGAAACAATACTATCACAACAAACCTTATCACAGCAAATGAAGCTTTATTATTTTAATTTACTGCTTAAATTGTATCTGAAAAATCATCCATTTGATCGCACACCCAACCCACCCAATCAAGCATCTGCAGGAGTGTGGGGTCATCTTGAAAAGCCCTCTCCTTCAGAGCTGTTTGAGAGATTCCTTCAATGCAGGATGATATACCAGATAGAATTTCCTGAAAGAGAACAATGAAAATGAATATTTTTTAACACACTAGCCATCTCCCACCAAGGTATGGTGAAAAAAAAAAAGGGAAGCATATGCATATTCACCATCATTCATTCATATGCTGTCTGATGGTGAATGTAAATCCTTTTTTTTTTTTGTGGGGGATGTACCATATCTCAGTGTGAAAGGACTGGGGTGTTAAAAAAAAAAAGATTTAATAGGCAACAGAAAAGATGTTCATAATGTTATGCAGATAACATACAATGGGCAACATGTGGTAGCTGGTACAGGTGAGCAGCAGCACATAGGAAATGGCTTGTAATCAAGTTTCATCCAAGGAAAAGGGAAGATCCCATTCCTTGTATCAAGAGCCCTCTATCATTAAGGTAATCCCCTTGAAGTATAAACAGAAAAGAAATAAAAAGCAAAAGAGATGTACAACCTGAGGCCAAGTGTGTCTGAGTAGGGCAACACACTGATCCAGTACACTTGCAGGAGTCAGTAGCTCACACGATATCAGTAAAGAGATGAATTCTCCCAGTCGTCTCCAGGCTAATTTCTGATGGCTTGCCAGAGGGTTCTGAGCAACTAGCATGATTGTGCGGGGACACAGAAGTGAGTTGAGGCATCCTGGCATTGGTATCACTCCCTCGTCCTTCCTTGGCTTCCATAAAGACACAAATATTTTCTGTGTGTCTGAGTTCATCAGATTGGGAACACAAGCAGCTAGAAGGTGACAACAAAACAAATAAAAAAGTGTATGCACAGTAAAACATAAATGCACGTAAATGTTTTGGGAATGTTTAGCAAACCGTGGAAATAACGATTTTGGAAGACTTGAACATGTAAAAATATGTAGTAAGAACATAATACTTAGAATGTTTGGTGTAAATGATAAAGGGGAACCTTTAATAAATAAGTTATATCTAGGCGAATGTATGAAAAGGGGGAAGGTACTTAGGGATTGGTCGAGAGCATGTATAGTTCCTTTATATAAAGGGAAGGGAGACAAAAAAGTGTAAAAATTATAGGGGATAGGGGAGCAGTGTGGCAGATGTTTCAAGTGTATGGAATAGGTAGTAAGTTACTAATTGATGTAGAGTTTTTATGAGGATAGTGAGGTTCAGGTTAGGGTGTGTAGGAGAGAGGGAGATTACTTTCCAGTAAAAGAAGGCCTTAGACAGGGAGTGTAATGTCACCACGGTTGTTTAACATATTTATAGATTGGGTTGTAAAAGAAGTAAATGCTAGGGTGTTGGGGAGACGGGTGGGAGTTGACACAATTACTCTTTGCTGATGATACTGTGCTATTGGGAGATTCTAAAGAGAAGTTGCATAGGTTAGTGGACGAGTTTGGGAGGGTGTGTAAAGGAAGAAAGTTGAAAATGAACATAAATAAGAGTAAGGTGATGAGGGTGTCAAATAAGTTAGGTAAAGAAAAATTAGATATCACATTGGAGGAAGGGAGTATGGAAGAAGTGAATGCATTTAGATATTTGGGAGTAGACTTGTCAGCAGATGGGTTTATGAAGGACAAAGTAAACCATAGAAATGATGAAGAAAAAAAGTAAGTGATGCATTGAGGTATCTGTGGAGACAAAGAACATTATCCATGGAAGCAAAGAAGGGAATGTATGAAAGTATAGTGTGAAGCATGGGTTGTGAATGCTGAAGTGAGGAGGAGGCTGGAGGCAGTGGAGATGTCATGTTTAAGGGCAATGTGTGGTGTAAATATTATGCAGAGAATTCATAGTGTGGAAACTAGGAGAAGGTGTGGAGTTACTAAAAGTATTATTCAGAGGGCTGAGGAGAGATTGTTGAGGTGATTTGGTGATTTAGAGGTGTTGGAGCAAAATAGATGACTTGGAGGGTGTAAAAAACTGTAGTGAAGGTGAGGAGGGGTTGGAGTCCTAGGAAAGGATGGAGGGAAGGGGATAAAAGAGGTTTTGTTTTCAAGGGGCTTGGACATACAGCAGGCATGTGTGAGCGTGTTAGATAGGAGTGAATAGAGATGAATGGTTTTTGGGACTTGACAAGCTGTTGGAGTGTGAGTAGGGTAATATTTTGTGAAGGGATTCAGGGAAAGTGGTTAGCTAGACTTGAGTCCTGGAGGTGGGAAGTACAATGCTTGCACTTTAAAGGAGGGGTTTGGGATATTTGCTGTTTGGAGTGGCATCTGAATTGTCATATCTGCATGCCTCTGCAAAAACGGTGATTATGTGTGAATGATGGTGAAAATGTTGAATGATGGTGAAAGCGTTTCCTTCGTTTTCGGCTAATCCTGCCTCAGTGGGAGACAGCCAACATGTTGAAAAAAAATTCTAGGTAAAGGTTTGGTTAAGAAGCAATACTGGTTTAAAGAACCAGATACACTTCAACTGCCATGCAATCAGGGTACAGAATATCCCTAGTAACCCTCCTTGCCCTTTATCCCTGAATGTTTCAAGAGAAACAAATTTATGATAAGTGTTTCAATATGTAGATTATGTACCCACTCTCTCACCACATGACTTTGATTTCTTCCAACATTTTTTTTTTCCTATTAACAATCTTGCTCCATCAACCAAGTTTAAAGCTGAACGGGAATCTAACTCACAAAGAACACATGACTTGATCTGACCCTAGATTTCTCCTAACCTCTATTTTTTCCTTCCCTTTACTCTGTCACAACTTGATAATGGTCATAGGCTGACCAAAATGTTGTCCAAAGGTTCCTTTACAAATTTAAGTTCATTGTGAATTGTTCCAACCACTGCATTATGACTAATTTTTCATCAATACATAAGAATATAGGTCTTAGAGGGAGCAAGGGGCTAGTAACCCCCTTCTCTTGCATACATTATTAGTTAAAAAGAGAAACTCTTGTTTTTCTTTTTGGGCCACCCTGCCTCGATGGGATATGGCCAGTTTGTTGAAAGAAGAAAGGTCTTAGAATAGTGTAGCTCACACATAATATAGAGAAATTGAGGATATATTCAGGAGTTAATTTGTGGGATAAATCAAAACAATACTGGCAGCATGAATAGCTGTACTGTACCTATATAGAAAAGTCTGCATTTGCAAGAAAAAGACCAACATCATCAGTATACTTACCAATAGCTACAGCAAAGTCTGTGGTGAGAATTTCCAGAGCCCGAAAAACAGCTAAAGTTACGTCTTGTCGTTTGGTGAGAGTGCTGCGAATGTCCTCCAATACTAGCTGAATTTGCTGCTCACTGACAGTGTTCAGTAACTTCCCTGTGTGGGTTACTGTTAATACACGTACCATTTCCTGTAAGCAATGATTTATATGAACTGCAAAGAACTCCAACAAATAAAATCTGCCTCAAATTAAGCTCAACTCTCTCACACTTACAATTCAAAATGTAATTCATTAAACCTTAGCAATTTTATCAAAGAAATTAAAGTTATCAAAAGGCCATTGACTGATAAGGATTGCAGTTCTATGAAAGCTAACATGAAAAGCACTATTTTGACACCAAAGTAGATATAATATAATCAATTTATTCAGACAAGAAACCAGGTGACAGTGCCAGACTTGATGAATTACATAAATAAAAAATAATGAACAAATAAAAATATCGTAAAGAGTTCACAGCTGGCTGTGCAAATCTTGACTTTCCTGTTAAAGTAACCACATAAGAGAGGTAAGCAAGCAGGATGAACTGAGCAATGAAACCACTGAAGCAAACACTATTAAAACAGTACAAAAATAGATATGATCACCTTTACCAACTTGAAAATGTATTTATATATATACGTAATTATATCTCAAGTTATTAGCCCAAGAAGGCAACCATCACTGTTAAATGTTTTGCTTGTCATTGTACACTGATACTGTAGTTCCAGGAATGGCTTACAATGGGTTTGAATCATACGTGCTCTGTAAACTGTACTGTTATGTTAATTACTGAGTCATGTTTTTTCCATGTCTACATGCCTTTGGTGCTGTTTTGATAATTTCACCAAAACATCAATATTTGGCTTACTTTTAAAGATGTAAGGACTTGGGATGGTGAAGGTACAAGATGGTCGTGCTCTGTAGCAGCTGTTGGCACACACCCAATCTCTCCAGAACCATTCTTGGGTATAATTTTCATTTGGCTTGGTTGGTTGGTTGGAGCTATTTGAGAGAGATGGAAAAAACATAAGTACAGTACATGGTACTGTACATGGTACTTGAGTCCTGGAGGTACAGTACATGGTACTGTACTGGTGTTGGAGTTGGCTCAAAAATCTGATGATGATACAGTGATGGAGTTACCATAAATCTTATGAATGGTATAGCAATGGAGTTACCATAAATCTTATGAATGATATACTGTAATATTGTTAATTTATACATGTGATACAAGGGAGGATGGCAAAAATTTGTGAAAGCCAGGTCAAAGAGTGTAGAGGGCACACAATAACATAGTGGGTAAACATGTTTAGCCTGAGGAAAGTTTAGTGGATGATCACACAAAACACCTCATAACAAATTTTTTTACATTGAACAGAAAAGTGAAGCGATTATTATTATACTGACATGCAAGTGCTAATCCTGTGTAGATAATTCAGCACTAGAGGGAACAGCATTATAGTCCTTATTTGTATAAAAATAAAATTATTTTTTTTTAACACTGCCCCACTGGCTGTCTCCCACCGAGGCAGGGTGACCCGAAAAAGAAATGCTTGCACCATCATTCACATTATCACTGTCTTGCCAGAGGCATGCAGATACGACACTTCAAATGTCCCTCTAAACAGAAAATATTCCAAACCTCTTCTTTAGAGTGTAGGCATGTACCTCCCACCTCCAGGCCTCAAGTCTGGGTAACTGGTTTTCCTAAATCCCTTCACAATAGTGTGAAACCTCATTATATTCAAAATGAATTTCAAATATTTGTGTGTTTAATAGGATTTAATAACTTTAATACAAATATCCAAAAAAATTCTTACAATTCAAATGACAGTCTAACAGTGAAGGTCCTGACTGGTTGGCAACAGAAGAATTTTCTGTCCCTGAGGCTCCAGACACTTCAGACAATTCCAGGTTGGATAATGACATGTCACTGTATGAAGCTTCCAGTGTGGTCTGCAATTATAAATGTGGAACCAATCACATTACATGCCATTTGTTAAAAAATATTACAGAGTCAATAGGGTAACTGTATGTAAAATGCTAAATGTAGTCAAACTTATTATTGTATAGATATTCCTATTACTGTAATAATTCTCTCAATTTTGAGCAATATAGATTCAATTTAGGTAACCGACAGGAGGGTAGCATACAGAGGAAGAGTTAGGATTAGGCAATCAGAAAAAGCAATTAAAGAAACTTGGATAATACACTACCAAACAGCAGGCTAAATAAGCTTACTATTTGAAGGTCAGCAGCTTTCTGAGCCTGACGAAGAAGGCGTTCACTATCAGCTGTGAGGTCCTTGGAAAATAGTGTAGGAGTCAGGTGAGACTGTATCCAAGCAAGCACTTTATCCTTGCTACATCGTGTCACCAACTTCTTACATACCTCCACTCCCTATGTAAGCACAAAGTTTAAACTTAGCAAATTAATTAAAAAATACAGCCTCTCCTCACTTAGTGACGTACTCGTTTACAGACGACTTGGACTTACAACGGGCTCTCTGACCAGTATGCATACCTAAATAATGTATATTAGAGCTGATTTCCTCTATTCTGTTTATTACATTATACAGTACACTACTATATAAACATTTAAAAATATACCAGAAATGTTAAAAATGGTGCAAATTTGACATTAAAACAATATTGAAGATGGATGACACAAACCCACTACCATTATAGTATGCTCTGCACTTAATGATGAATTTGTTTACACACATGGTCTCAGAAATGGAACTCCATTGTTAAGTGAAGAGAGGCTGTACAGTATATTATTTCAAGAATAATTTACAGAGTCAAAGATCTTATAGTAATTGTATAGCCTTTGCATCTCTTTTTCTTTAAAAATTATGATCCTAATAAACAAAATTTTTGATAAATTATTTATAAAGCAAATGTAGACAGAAAATTCCTGCAGGCACAGTAAAAGTCAATTTGTATGTAAAATGTTATTTAGTGGAGAGAAAATCTTGCCTTCTAAACCAATTTCATCAAAAAATTTGCACTTGTGTAATATTGTTGAAAGAAATCAGAGAAAATTTAAGAATGCATAAACCAACAACATTAAAGAAAATTAGACCATGATTAAATTCAAACAACAAGAATGGCAGACACACCTGTGGAGTGACGTCCCCTGGAAGAAGTAATGAGAGAGCCGGCAGGATCTGATCACTACATTCTTGGCGGGCAAGTTCAAAGCACTTGGTCTTCATTTGTAACGTCATCTCTTGACTCAATTCCACTATACGTTTTTGTACTCCATCTCTTGTCCACTCCACTGAGGGAGGAGTACTTTGTATCCGATCATCAATAAATTCTTTTAACTGACAAGAATAGAAAATAAAAGTTTGAAATAAGTCCATGAACTTAAAAAAAGTTTGGAGCATTTATTATTCATCCATTCCTGTCTTCTAAAATTAATTCATATTTTATATTTCCTTGCCAGATTTGAACCTTTTTTTTTTTTACATAAACCATCTATAATAATCCCTTACTCAAACCAATGTTTAACATGTTAAATTTAATCCACGTCAAATTTCCCAAACCATACATATGTTACATGATCCACTAACACATGCTGATGAGACCACCTTTTTGATTCCACTGTGTAATTACCTATTAGAGTTTCTGAGGAATTAACCCATGCTCTGAACCCACTTAACCCTTATTGGCTTAAACGGTCCAAACGTATATATACGTTCTCTCGCGTAGCGCCCCAAACGTATATATACGTTTCATTTGTCATTTATTCAACACTGGGACGATAGGCCTGAGTTGCCTAGACATGAGAAAATGGGTGAGCGCACTCAGTGTGCACCATATGAAAAAAATTGGAGATGTCTGGGTACCACATGCTCTTTTTTCCTATAAAAAAAAAGACTGCTTTTTTCTCAAAATATTCGGGGTGCTGCGCAGGTGAATGTATATATACGTTTGGACCATTTAAGGGTTAATATTCAAATGATTGACATGAATTAGTTTTTATGTGCATTCAAACAACTGTATGAAATCAGATTCTACTAAGACACTGCTAGATTCATTTCAATCCTTCGCTATTAAGTTCTTAAGTAATTTTTGGTGTATGTGGCTCTGTTAGGAATGCAGTTCCCATTTGACTTTTCTTGTCCTAGAGTGCATATTACTAGTTTCATTAAAGTTGAAGTAGTCATTTACCTCAACAAACTTAAAAGATTCTTACTATACCCTCTGCAACAATCTTTCTCACTCTGGCATTAAGGTCTCAAAAACAATTATTTTTTCACCTGGTTCAAGATTCTTCTAATGCTTCCTTAACACATTCCTAAGCCTACTTCACTCCTCTCACCTCTAAGCAAACACTTCTTGTATCACATTTTTATTCTAAACTCCTCAGTTTAAAAATTTATATCTCCTTTCTTTCCACAATTATTAACTGAATATTCCCCTACTTTCAGCTCTGGTTTTCCTACATACTCGTGACTTCAACTCATTTACTCCTCCCAATTCAAACTCTCCTACACTTTTTCTCTTTGTGTCAATCAGTGTTAGTATATCCAGTTTCCTGTCATCCATAACATTAACATATACATATATTTCTACTACATCTATGTTGAAAAAAAAAATCAATTAAATAACAGACAAAATCAATTCAACCTTTTCTATAGCAGATATTCGTAGCTCTGGGATGATTTTAGTTCGAATATTCTTGATGACATTAGAAGATAATCGCTCAATTACAAAGTCTGTAGTTTTACGGACTGAAGAGTGGTGATTGTGGAAGAAGTTGTCCTCTAACTGCAGCTGTTTAGGGTAACAAAAATTAATATAATAATATAATATAATAATAATATATTTTTTTTTTTCAACAAGTTGGTCGTCTCCCACCGAGGCAGGGTGACCCAAAAAAGAAAGAAAATCCCCAAAAAGAAAATACTTTCATCATCATTCAACACTTTCACCACACTCACACATTATCACTGCTTTTGCAGAGGTGCTCAGAATACAACAGTTTAGAAGCATATATGTATAAAGATACACAACATATCCCTCCAAACTGCCAATATCCCAAACCCCTCCTTTAAAGTGCAGGCATTGTACTTCCCATTTCCAGGACTCAAGTCCGACTATATGAAAATAATAATATAATATAATATAATATAATAATATGTTGTGTATCTTTATACATATATGCTTCTAAACTGTTGTGTTCTGAGCACCTCTGCAAAAGCAGTGATAATGTGTGAGTGTGGTGAAAGTGTTGAATGATGATGAAAGTATTTTCTTTTTGGGATTTTCTTTCTTTTTTGGGTCACCCTGCCTCGGTGGGAGATGGCCGACTTGTTAAAAAAAAAAAAGCATTAATATACCAATGAAAACTGATGTTCAACATTTTCAGTAAATTATAACTTATTATAGAAATGCTTAAACAAATGGTGAATTACTATGTACATAAAAACCTTTGATTAAAACAGATAAATGAATATTAAAATTAATACACTTATTTCCGATTTGTGGGTTAACTGAGAACTGTCCCAGCCAGGATACTGTGGTTTTTAAATCAAATTATCCTACCACCTGCATTTTTAGATATTATTTTATATCAAACTGGCCATCTCCCACTGAGGCAGGGTGACCCAAAAAAGAAGAAATGAAAGTTTTTTCTTTTTTACATTTAGTAATTTATATGAGAGAATGGGTTACTAGCCCCCTGCTCCCAGCATTTTAGTTGAATAAGATTTTTAGATCAAGACTCTGAAATGGTGTCTGGGAAAAGTGATTTTTAAAAATAGTAATGAAGCTGTTTCTAAACAGGAGCCATGGTGAAATCTGAAGAGAAGAAACGGAAGGTGAGGTGTGTGCAACTACTACCTCATCCAAACCAGAACTAAAACTTAATACAAAGGTTCCATTATTTTGTAAAGTGGCAGGCTGAAGTGGAGCAATGGCTGCAGTTCTAGGTAAACATTAACAATTTTTATTTCTGAAGAAAGTAACTGTTATAGGGAAGAAAGGTAACTATAAATTTCTGCCAGTTCTTCTAATGAAACCTCTATTAATATTTTTTTAACACACTGCCTGTCTCCCACCGAGGCAGGGTGACCCGAAAGAGAAACACTTTCACTATCATTCACACTATCACTGTTTTGCCAAAAGCGTGCAGATATATAAATTATAATATGGACAACCTGTAGTTGCATCTGTGACTGGGATGAAGATGTTCTGTCAGACGCAGAAAGTGGAGTGATTTTACGATAACTATTTACATTGTTGGAGCCCACACCACACCAGTAATCACTTAACAAGTTCTTTAGTTCACTTATAAATGGACAGCAGAGTGTGATCATCTGAAAGAAAATATCATATTAAAAACTTTATGCAATTAAATAATAAGCATATGACAATCAACGCATAATTATTCAAGAAAAAATAATTAATTTGTTATTATACAAACTTCTGAAGGAACATTACAGTCAACTTTCTTAAGATGTATTTTCTGTAATACTGAGACTGGGCCACAGTGATGATAAACCCTGGAGCCAGTAACAGATTAGGTTATTTATTGAAGCACAGGTACACATAAGTACAATTATTATACATAGTGTAAATTACCTAGGATAAGTCAGACAAAGTGATCTATTTCCATTGGGTCCTTGTATTATATTATTAAATAGATCACTTTTTGTCCCTCTCGCAGCTACCCACCTGTGGATGGCATGTAATAAGTCTATAGTGCAGTTACCTGCTTATCTGCTGTCACAGCATTGTGCCATAACAACTTCCAATAATTATATGGAGTTATACTGCATAATTTCATGAGGAACCTTTGTATTATACACAAGCACACTTGTGTATAGTCAAGTTCAAAGTAATTCAAAGAGGCAGAATACAAACAAAACAACGAAAAACAGAATTTCTGTATGAGAAATACCAAATGAATGCTGCTTTAATGTGGAATATGAAATAAATGTTGCACGATTTCATGTGGGAATACCTAATGAAGGTTTTTTTTCAGGTTCAATTCATTAAATCACCAAAGCATTATTGACACACAGCTTCAAAGACCAGCTAAAAATGAGAAAACATGAAAACACTGCACATCATCTTTGGGTTATAGTAAGAAAAAGACATGATAACCAAATATTGATTAGAAATATTTCCTAACACCATCAACAGGTAGCACAAAAGGTCATAATTATAAACTAAGAAAAAGAGGAATGCCAGAACCATGGCATCATTTACAAGATGAGGTAGTTAGTGATATAACCACATTAAATTCTTTACAAAAATTATGATATTCTAGATTATATACAGATGAAAGTATACCAAAATCTTAACTCTGTTCCAGTAGTTACAACTAGATAATAACAAATAGGCAGTTATATGGTTGAAAATTCTGCTAGCCAAAAAGCTTAAAAAAAAAATTAAATCAAAATTGAAAGAATTCTGTCTGGCAAACTTACCTGGTGATCAACAAAATCTAATTCATCTAGGTGATGCATGTGTTGAGCCACAATCTGGGTGTCAGAGGCCTTGAGAGGTGTGGTTTGTGGGCTCTCTAGCATGCTGACCAACAAGAATTTGGAGGGAGTTTTAGTTGGTGACATCAATGATCCTGTAGACAGGAAATACTTCTAAATGTGTGAAGAGGTATTACTTCCAAAAACTGCATTATTTCATTTTGAGTTTAAATGTTATGATTATTTTAATTTGCATGAGGTTACACTATTATTGACAACTGCTATTGTGATGTGAATGGCCTCAATTTAATTTTTTTGCACTATGCCCCCTAGATGATATAACTTTGAGAATGGAAGGCAAATAAATTTAATTACAGGAAGGGGAAAACAGATCCAGTTCCTCAGATCAAGAACCCTTCACCAGTAACAGGGCACCTCTTTTGAGAGGTGATTTGATTCAGGGAAAGGGAGCATAGAATCAGACACCTGTGCAACATTTGGTTATCTTTATTGAGGAAATATTTTCTCAATAAAGATTCCCAAATGTTGCACAAGTGTCTCGTTCTTCAACTTGTCGGTTTTCCAAAACTATTTACACACAAGGGGAGAGCAGCTCAAATTTCTTGGAACAAAACTTCAGTATAATGTGACATTTTGCCCACACAGTGGGTTTTGTCAAGTCACAACTTGGGGCTTGATCAAGCCCACTGTGTGGGCAAAACATCTTCAAAAAATGATCACATTATGTTGTTGGTATTTTGTACCACTTTTCTCCACAATTACCTTGTAACTTTTGTTTTGAAGGAGTTTTTATGAGTGTTTGTGCAGGATCCTTTGTAGCAGTAAAATCTCTGACAGGAGAGACTGTCCTTTGAGAAGAGGTGCCATCAACCAGTGTAGCACTTTTATCCATCCTGTTGCTAGAGGGAACCAACATCAATCTCAAACAAGCAACACACAAGCATTTATAGTTAACATTAAGAACTTGCAGTGTTTGGCTATACTCCCAGTGGTCAATATCTGCTTCTGCAACATCAACAAAGAAGAGTCCATCAGGGAAGTTGGGCAGATCAAATAACCAACCAAGAAGCAGCTTGAGAAGCAGACTATTTAAAGGTGAAAAACTTCTAGCTGGGGAAGAAGCACCACAAGCTGGACACCCAGCAGACTCCTCAGGTCTGCAAAGAAATTTTTTTTCTTAAGACCATTACAGAACAAATTTTATTCACAACTCACAATCTGGAGTTGAAACTTCAGATAATATTTCAGTAATTTTTTTTAACACGCTGGCTATCTCTCACCGAGGCAGGGTGACCCAATAAAGAAATACTTTCACCATCACCCACACTATCACTGTCTTGCCAGAGATGCACAGAAACAACAGTTTAGATGTCCATCTAAAAAGTAAATATCCCAAACCCCACCTTTCAGTAAGTTGTGGGTAATTATTATGTCTAGGATGAACTAAAACTTCATGGAAAGTTTCATGTCTAAATTGTACTAGTAGTGAATTATTCCAGCAACAGCATTGTCACTTTAATGCTTGTGTGAATCTATATTGTATTTAATACAAAGATATAACTATAACTGACCATCTCCTGTATAGATTACTAAATTTAAAAAGAAAAACTTTACTTTTTCTTTTTAGATCACCCTGCCTTGGTGGGATATGGCTGGTGTGATGAAAAAACCTATAACTAAAGAAACATTACAAATATGTGATTTTACTAGATTCAAAACTTTCAATATTCTTACCTCATAATATAGAGCAGCTTGAATATTGCTATTAGCGTCATGACAACAGTGAGATAGTGTCGTGAATGTAAAGCTACAGGGTCAACCATGCTGAGGAACTCCACCACCCATGTCACAGCAACCACCAGCTGACCAGAGATGGCACACTGCCTTAATGCTTCACAGATTTTCAGAGGAGGGCACACCTAGGGAAGAAACATTTAAATACCTTGTAAAAAATATGCAATAAATTTTAATATATATATGTAAAGGAGGGGTTTGGGATATTGGCTGTTTGGAGTGACATCTAAACTGTTGTATCGGAGCACCTCTGCAAAGACAGTGATTATGTATGAAAGATGGTGTTAAATGATGAAAGTTTTTTCTTTTTTTTTGGGTCGCCCTGCCTCAGTGAGAAACGGCTGACATGTTAAAAAAAAATTTAAGTAGCAGGTTGGTAGATAGCAAATACCCAGGGAGTACTACCTTCCTGCCAAGTGACTGTGAAACAAAAACCTGTAATTGTTTTAAATGATGGTAGGATTGCTGGTGTCTTTTTACTGTCCCATAAACATGCAGAATAACAGATATATCTTGCCACTTCTACTTACACTTAGGTGACACTACACATGCATGTACACACATATATATTTACACACCCATCTGGGTTTTCTTCTATTTTCTTAATAGTTCTTGCTCTTCTTTATTTTCTCTTATCTCTGTGGCAAAGTGGAAAAGTAATCTTTTTCCATAAGCCATACATGTCATAGGTGACTAAAATGCTAGTAACTCCTTCTCCTATATAAATTACTAAATTTAAAAAGAAAAACTTTCATTTTTCCTTTTAGGTCACCCTGCCTTGGTGGGATATGGCTAGTTTGTTGAAAAAAATAAAAAAAATAACTAGATAATATGATAAATCAATTACTAAAGTATAGGTCAGCGAAGTACTATATGTACTGTACATGTTCACTTCTGGGCTTGTGCACTTTTATAAGCACATACCCTTAAATGTACATTGTATTTATGTCAATACTGAAACTGTGGAGTGTATTATATTATGTCAAGGTTCAGTACATAGTTGTGATCAGGACACTCAGTGCAAGAAAGAACACAAATTAAACACAAATTTTATAATGGAAGAGTAACAAAAACCTAAGTCAGGTTGAGAAACTATGAAACTCTGATAAAAGTGCATGGTCAGGAAGAAGTCAATATGAAAGTTGTAGTATCAAGGTGCAGAATAATTAAGACATCTTAAGTGTTTGAAATTTATAAATTCAAACATAAAAATCCATTTACCGAATTTGTTTTACTCCTAGTTTAAGTCTGCCAAAATATGATACTTACAAGCTTTTCCATGTGGGGAATAAACAGTGTTACCCCATCCTTGTAACACTATATACTATCAAGAAAAATCATTTTTTTGAGGTTATCAGTCTCTCAGCCTGGAGTTGCCTCAAGGCTGAGGGGGACTGATTACTTCCAACTCCTTCTGATCTTCAACCATTCTTTTCTATATTGGACTAAGGAAGCCACTGGTTGGTAAAACGTTTCCACAATAAAGATATCTAAGTGTTGCACAAGTGTCTAATTCATTTTCTTGTCGGTTCTCTGAACCATTTATCTACCCTTCTAGGGTTTGTTGGATATAATAATCTGGTTCCTGTTGAAATCTTTGCTAGTTCACAAAGAAAACTTAAGTTATAACAATGAAAATGTATTTAACTCTTACCTTACTCCGGAGGGATATATGAGTAGCCATGACACTCTCTGGAATATGCTCTGATGTCTGGTATGGTAGAAATTCTAAGAAGCCCAGGAATTTCGCCAGGATTCGAAGATTCAGCACAACAGAACGTGCTTCTGCACAGTCTGTAAATTAATATACTTATTAAAAATTTTATTTTTGCTTCATAGCCAGTAAATTTTACAATTAATAATATTCTGGAAAGCATTAATTTATTAGGTTTGCTAAAAAACAAGACATAATTCTGAAGACACTATTCATATTACTCATCAAAATTTTGTCATATAGATGGCAAAGAATTCTGCTGTTTGGTAGCAAACCCTTGGTGAGTATCTACTGTTTACCTCCATCCTCTGGCTCTAAGATGATAAATTCTCTTTCACTAAGTATCAGTATGTGGCTGATAAGCACATCCTTCAGATGCTGGTTGAAGATAAAATTGGATGCAGTGAGGATGAAATCTCTAAAAAACTCCTGTGACCCTGGAAAAGATGGAGGAGGACATGGACCACCAAGCTTCGAAGGAGTCACGAGACGCTCATACAGGCGCTTGTATTTCTCTGGATGCTGCTTTTTCAGGAGAGTTAGGAAGCCAAAGCCTGAGGAGCATACACATTACAGTAAATAAATCAGACAAAACACAACTTTGCATATATTTTATTCATCATTATAAACACAAACAGAAATATCTTAGTCTTCAACAATAATTAGAGTTTTTAAATAACAAAAAGGCACAATACCGTGACTGGAACAATACACAAATAACCCGCACATAGAAGAGAGGAGCTTATGACGACGTTTCAGTCCGACTTGGACCAAGTCGGACCGAAACGTCGCCATAAACTCCTTTCTTCTATGTGCGGGTTATTTGTGTATTAGAGTTTTTATTTATACTGTATAGTGAAAATGTTTTGTCTGTAATCCATGTGTGAAAATATGGTGTGATGGAATCCGACTATATGGACACCAACCAGAATGCATTGACAATACATACACATTAAAGACTGAGACATTTATTTTCAATACCTTCAGAGTCCTGTTGTAAGTGAGACTCATCATCATCACCCCGACACATGTTGAGTAGCTGAGATTGGAAAAGTCGGGCAAAATGTGTAAAGTTTGCAGAGTTTGGACGAAGAGACAACAACTGGCGAATCCGTGACCCTAGTCCTTGTGCATACAACCAACCAGGCGTGAGGTGATTTTCTTCCCAAATACGAAGCATCTGTCATTAATGCCAAAAAAGTTCATTTGCATTACAGTACTCTATAAATCCAGGTGAATATCATTAAGGAACTGCTCTTGAGAGGTATATTTTGACCATAAACTATTCCCAAACCATATTTAACAAAAATCATGAGGTGGATTTTTTATTTGTTGGTTGATCTGTCCTGGAAATTACAAGGATTATATTTCACAAATACTGTACTAATAATGTAAAGTGAATAAAATAAGTTTCTTACCTCATAAAATAAATCTCTTTGCTTCCGAAAAATATGAAACGCTTGATCACTGGGAAAGTTATTTCTGTTATCTGTGTCTGTCTGAAATGAGACACCCCCGATAGGTGATTTGGCGGCCAGATGTAGCATGGGGGCTCGTGAAGGACTTTGAAGAAATAAAAGAAGATTTTTCTGCAATTCACTTGAAAACTGAAGAATACAAGGATTTTCTGATAATAGTTTGATTGTGCCTTTGTCCAAAAGCTTCACAAGTTCTGTTATCAATAAGAGTACCTTTGTAGCAAAATAAACACAGTTGTGTGGAGTATCGAGGAAGAATTTGTCACACTGTTCTCCTCTTTCTACTTCCGAACCCAATATCACTCGAACTGTTAGCAACTGTATCAAATAGTACAATTCCACCATAACACTAGGTGCCATATTATACAATATAAGTTCAGCATATACCTCACTAAGAATGTCAAGACAGCTTCTATTGCTGACTAGATCAGGAGATGCTTGGATGTAATTGGTAGTCTTATCTGGCAATTTTTGTTGAATTTGGCTTGTAGGTGACTGTTTCCTTTTATCATTCTTTACACTGCCACTTACATCTTCACCAGTTTCAATCCGCCTGAGTCTTTCCTGCCGCAACAACTCCCGTTCTTTCTCCATACTTTTGCTGCTTCCTTCTTCACTTGCCAAAAATGAACTGCTTGGTGATTTGCTCAGAGGAACACCAAATACTGTCTTGGGATTCTGAGAAAACAGAGAAGTCTTACTTTGCTGACTTGAGGAAGCGGCCACAATGCGAGTTGGGTTAATTCTTCGTTTCTGCTGTTTATCTTGAACTGGAGTGCTCCCTACCATAGGAAAAGCTTCTTCATCACCAATATCTAGGATCTTAGGCATTTCTTGATGACGAAGTGACCACCCCACACTGGCTCTTCCAACAGGTGATCTATTTTTATCCCTTGGTAATGGACTCTTCCTTTTATCTGCAAGTTTTATGTCAGTAGTGATGAAATCTCCTAAGCTAAGTCTCTGCTCACTGTGTTTTACCTCAAAACTGTGATCCCACTTTCCTTCATGATCACTGCCTTCCAAGTTTTGGCGCTTGCCACGATGGTGACGTTCATGAGGTGAAAGTCTTAGAGAGTCAAACTTGGGAGTGATGCCATATCCATTACGACGAGGCGTAGACGTGTTATATCTCCCTTGTTTTGAATTAGTACGAGAAACAGGACTAGAAGAATTTGATGCACAGCCAGAAGGGACCATTGCAGGAGGACTGGTATCCACAGTGGAATTGAAGGCAGAGTTGGTCTCAAGAAGTTGGTCCACATTTGTAGACTGTACTTCTTGTTGAGCATTTGATGGTGTACCCTGCAGAAAAAAATTAATTAGTAACATTATCATCACAACAACTCCTTCTTTTACTGGGTAGGAAGGAACCTACCACAGAAGATGCAAGATTATTATAGATGAAGATGCTCAGATGATAACTAAATTAATACCTTCTTCTTCTTTCAACAAACTGGCCGTATCCCACCGAAGCAGAGTAGCACAAAAAGAAAAACAAAAGTTTATCTTTTTAACATTAGTAATCTATGCCTAGAGCAAGGGGTTACTAGCCCCTTGCTCCAGGCATTTTAGTCGCCTCCTACAACACGCATGGCTAATGGAGGAAGAATTCTGTTCCACTTCCCCATGGAATAAATTAATACCTGTCATACCAAGTTACCTTCCACACACCATGCCATCATCCTCTTTACAGTGTGTTACACACCAAGGTGTCATTAAAGTAAACCATTCATTCCCTCCTAACAACTTGTTCCCACTGGGCCCTGTTCAGCGCTGCTTCTGTGTTGTTCAAATTCATTCCAAATTTTCCAATACTGACTCACCATATACTGTATATAGATTCTTGACAAAATTCTTGTCCTCTTACACTTAAAATCACCTAACTATGCTTTCTTCACCACACTGCAACATGGCAATATTATCTCAGTACATACTAACACACTCCTTAATTTACAAATCACAGACTTTTGCCCTCTACATCAATCTATTTACCATACATGTTTCTCACATAGCCCATCTCTACCAATACTACTACTGCTACTTGATTTTTTTTTTACATTATTATTGCTGTACATTAAAATTGCTGTACAGTACCTGTTCACAGGTACATGTACTGTACAGCAATTTTAAGGCTCACCTTAATGTCAGTGTCTGAGAACTGAAGTGTTTTGCCCTTGAACACCAAAGGATGCTTTCGCGAGCGAGTGCGGAGACTATGGTCCTTGCCAGGAGATACATATTTAGTCGCCCGAACTGAGCTTGGGGCTTTGGTGGGAGTTGTGCCAGAATGGATGCCAGCTTGTAGCACACTGGATAAAATAGAAACATATAAACAGTTCATACAAAATTATCAAAAGAACTTTTAACAGTGTAAAGTATGAATTATTCATGAGAAAACTAGTCAGGTGTAATGAAATTTGGACAATAATGTGAATAGGTGTAGAATGACAGTAGAGGTGCAAGAGGATATCACTGTTAATTTGGAGAGAAAGAAAACCTTTGATACAGTGCTACAGAGAAGACTGCAGCATAAACTGTAGTCACCAGCTAGAATACTGTATCAGTTTAAAAAACATTTATACATAAGCCATACATAACATTGAGTACAATAAAGGATTACGAGTCTGGTGCGTGTTTACAATGTACCAAAAAGTTTTGCATTCCTATATCGTTTGCAGATGATGCAAAAGTCATATAAAGAATAAAATAGAAGGAAAGAAGTCTGTAAGAGGCTTTAGATCCTCTTAAGGAATTATTTAAAGAAGTGCTACCAGAGGTTTAACTCCATTAAGAAAAAAACATGATGAAATAAGGACTGGGAAGAAAACTAGAGACAGAGGGAGAGGGTTGGATAAATAACTGGAATCAAACAAGTAAAAAAATCCAGCAATAATCATTACCCCAATCCTGCATCCTAACACTGTATACAACTATACATATAACATCATTATTTAGACTAGTATACATAAAAGCATTTGGAAAATTCTGAAAAAGACTTTTTTTTTTTTAGACACTTTAGCATATGAGGTGTTGCATGGCAGAAAAGAATAAGCACCACAACGGACAAAATACAGGTAAATGAACAAACTGCTTTCTTATTTCATCTGTTCATGGGAATGTGTAGATATTGTCTTCTGCATCTGTAAGTTAGGTTCAGAGCCCCCTAACTTGAGTTTCATAACGCCAATCTCTCCCCCACCTACATTTTTCTTTAGTGTTTGAATTTGGCACTTATTCTTTCTTGCCATGAAATGCCTCGTATACATGGTGTCAATCCCTAAGTGTAGTACGCAGCACCTTCTTGGAATCCTCGGTGATGTTAAAAGCTGTACTAGTACACACATATATACTGTATTATATCCTATGCAGCACTCACATGCTTGACTGGTCACGAAGGAAGTTCAGGAAAACTGGAACAAATTCCACTCTGAGATGTGACAAATCCTCTAATACTCCACCCTGAAACAAAGTTTGGATATTATTAATATTAGCATTCAGTTTTGAGATGAACTAAAAATTGATTTAAGGGGTCACATAAAGTAAGAATGAAGTGATAAGTAGACTTGAGGTAAACTAGGTTAAGTCATCTTAATATGTTATTTTTATACACAGGCAAGTCCCGCTTTACACTGCTTCGTTTTACATCATTTTACCAATACAGCGGTTTTCAATTACACCCATTCTTTATTTATTCAGGCTTCCTGCAATAAATATATTCATCACTCACTATAAGCTAAGGATGAAAATATTTTAAAATAAGTAATGTGTGTACTTTATATGCATGTTTTAGGCCTAGCTATATTGCTCATAAAAGCAGGTCACATGTGAGGTCATGAAATTGAGAGATCAAGTACACATAAGGTCAGGTATAAGTGAGGTCTGGTATAAGTAAGGGTAGAGAGTAGGCCTAAAGTGATAGGCTCATAATGCTTATTATATAAATCACATACAGTAGTACATAAAATTTATATGAGAAGAACTGCACTGTTGTTGTGGGTTATTAACTAACATGAAGACGTTTTAAAAAATCACATAGGTAAAAAATTCTTAAAGTTTAATTATGAGCCAGAAATGTGATAAATTTCAAAGTTTTACTCAACAGTAACCCAACAAAGCCAGACAGAAAAAAAAGAATTTTATTAAGGCGTAGGCTGGTGATTTTTTTTTCTTGCATTACAGGCATACATAGGTAATAAATTCTTAAAATTTAATCATTATATGCCTGAAGAGGTGATAAATTAAAAAGTTTTACCCAACAGTAGCCCAACAAAGCTAGATAACAATTTATTTTCATACAGAAGGCCTTGGTTGGGGGACGAGTGGTTTTTGAGTTTTTTTTCCTCCTTCCTGCCACCGCCACCAGTAGAGGCGACATTAATGATTGTGGTGGGATTATTGTGGCTTACCACAGGAGTGCCATGGAGCCAGAGCAGCAAGTGGTGGGGAGAAACATGACCCTGCAGTAACACCTCCAACACGGCCGCCATCACCAACACTCTCGTACCAGGTGTTGTGTTGGGGGTGTTAAAGCTACCAACACTGACGCCTTTTTTGAGTTAATAAGTTGATTTAGGTATTGGTAAGTACGTAAGTTTATTCAGGTATACACAGATACTTACATAGATTATCATATACAGCAGCATATATGTAAAGAACTTAGGATAACAAAAAGTCAGACAAAGTGACTTATTTCTGTTGGGGTCCTTAAGATACACAACTCTAATTATCAAACATAATGTATGGTAATTGTGTCCATGTGTAAGTACTATTGTAAGTAAGTAAGTAAGTAAGTTTATTCAGGTATACACAAATACAGTTACATAGAATTATCATACATAGCAGCATATGTGTAGAGAACCTAGGATAACCCAAAAAAGTCAGAGTGACTTATTTCCATTGGGGTCCTTTAGTGACTTATTGAGGAGTAAGTTTATTTAGGTACAGGTACACATAACTACAATTACCATACATAGTGTATGGTTAAGAACTCCAGTGGAAATAAGTCACTTTGACTTTTTTGGGTTATCCTAAGGCAGTGCATGCCCAGTAAGTACCAGTGTCTCTTGGCAGTCTGGAAGCTAGTGTTCGTGTCTGCATAGTTATACTAGGGGATACATACCCTCTTGGATATAGGAATTTCTGAGGTGCAGGCAGGTCACTAATAACGATTGAATATTGCAGGAATTAAGGCTCCCGGTTGCACGTGGTTTCTGAGGGGAAGTCCAAAGGGGCTAAGGCTAAGCTTAGGGAAGTTGAAGATCAGGATATATGCTGCAACACCAAGTAAGTTAGTCCTTTATACGTGCATGCAGGCGAGTTTCTTGCAACATCAATCATTTGTGAAAACCTGTCCTATAAGCCACTTGTGAGGCTGAGGTATCCACCTCAGAGCTCGGTGTCAACAGAGTTTGCCAGGGTAGGCGACTCACTTGGAGGCAGTCCACACAAATTTTCACATGAGGTGTTGATGGAGTTATTAACAATATTTAACATCTTGCAGGAATCAGTCCTTCAGTGTACGTGGCGTCTTGCATTGAGGGAGAAGCCATTATAAATTTGGGTAACCGGGTAGAATCAGGGGATTTCTAGCTAGTATAGACTTCACAAACCAGGTCTGTTATATTTCAGGCATGGAGGCAGGAATTTCCTGCTTGTGAGAACGGGATTCGAGGAGTCTTGGTTTATTTGTCAACAGTGACTGCTACAATGGGCATCCTACAAGTTCCCACAGACTTATATCCATTGTGTTATACTTCTAGGGAGTCCGGGAAAAATGTTCCCTAAATCTGGGAGGAAATTATAAAGGAAATAAAGTTTATTCCTGTGGCTCAATTGATAATGCACTCAGCTTACACTTGTTGTCCCTGTTTACCTAGCAGCAAGTAGGTACCTGAGTGTTAGCCGACTGGTGTGGGTGGCATCCTGGGGGACAAGATTAAAGGACCACAATGGAAATAAGACAGACAGTCCTCGATGACATACTGACTTTATTAGATTATCCTGGGTGGCTAACATTCCCTATCCCGGGTTAAAACAAATCTTATCTCTTATCTTTCTTAACAATAAGTTCCAAAATAGATCAGGTGGACGCCCTTTGCTAAAATCTTGCAGCCAGACTCCTACGCAACCCTCCACCTGAGTCAACAACAACAGGAACTTCCCAGGCACAGATTATTATTATTATTATAATCAAGGGGAGAAGCGCTACACCTGTAGGATTATACAGCGCCTGTGGGGAGGATGGAAGGTATTCAGGGTTAATTCAGAGAGCTGGAGCACAGATCCAGTTCCCTAGATCAAGAGCCCCTCACCAGCATCAAGGAACCTTCCTTGAGGGGACCGAAGCACAGAAAGATCTAATACGGCGCCTAACTAATTACCCAGCAGCGGCTAAAGATCGACACCCTCAAGAAGTCCAGGAGCTACAGATCAGCACTATCCAGAAGCCCAGGAGCTACGGATCAATACCATCCAGAAAATCAGGAGCTATAGACCAACACCATACAGAAACCCAGGAGCTACAGATCATCACCATCCAAGGCCCAGGAGCTACAGATCAACACTATCCAGAAGCCCAGGAGCTAGAGCTCAACAGCTCTAAGAGGCCCAGGAGCTGGAACTCAACGTATGTACGTACCGATGGTGAGAGGTTCTTGTTCCAAGGAACTGGATATATCCACCCCTTCCTTGGATCAAACCTGATTACCTCCAAGGCCTTGTTTGACCCCTATTGGTTTAGTGTTTCTCGTAAACATCATAATAATAAAGTATAATGTATGGGATATTAAAAATTTAGTGTAAATCCTGAGAGTTTTATTCAGTGCTCCACCACATACATTATCCACCTACATGAAGTATATACGTATATATATATATATATTATATATATATATATATATATATATATAATATAATTATATATATATATTATAATAATGATAATAAATAATAATAATAATAATAATTGACTAATTAGTTAAGTTTGCTGATGATGTATTAATGAAAGTTTTAAGTTACAGACTGAATACTAGCAAGACTTAACTTACATTGTGCAGGATATTTCTGCCAGAAATGCCTAGGCATGCTAGTGGCCCTCTTTGTAATTAATATTTTTTTAATATGTAAACCACACATTCTAAACTTTGCAAGGAAATAAGCATTTTCATTTGCATATTATACACTTGTATGCTGAGAAACATACAGAAAATTATAAGTGTTGTTCCTTGTACATGGAATGTGTTAGAAATACTATGTAGTGAGGTGAAAGATTATTGGGGCATCAAACTGGTTTTTGTGTGCAAGGGGCTTGGGCATCCAGCAGGCATGTGAGAGCGTGATAGGAGTGAAGGCAAACGGCTTTTGGGACCTGACGAGTTTCTGGAGTGTGGGCAAAGTAACATATTATGAAGGGATTCAGGGTAACCGATTAGCCGAACTTAGAGTCCTGGAGGTGGCAAGTGCAGTGCCTGCACTCTGTAGGAAGGATGGAGATATTTGCTGTTTGGAGGAACATCTGAACTGCCGTATCTACGCGCCTCTGGCAAGACAGTGATACTGTGAATGATGTTGAAAGTGCTTCTTTTTAGGGTCACCCTGCCTCGGTGGGAGACGGCTAGTGTACAAATATGAAATTTAGATTTAGGAATTTGTAGTGAGAACACTAATTTGTTAATTATATATGAAGGGAACACCCTCTCAATGTCAGTGGAGCAAATATTTTGGGTTAATTTAAAATTAGGTTGGCAAATATATGAGTGGGACTAGATGGATGCGAGTAGGATGTGCCTAGCATGGTCTAGTGCTCCTCTCTTTTTATGACTACAAAAGTAGTCCTAGAGAATTCAAAAGGCTTAGAAGACTTGTTCACATATAGCAGTATATGAATTGGTGCAGAAGGTGTCATAGAAGTAAAAGAAAGCGAATCTGTTGAGGATAACACAGTTTCTGTCAGTTCCTCCAGAAGGTTCCTGTACATCATCAGTGTAGCCCCAGTAGGGTGTACCTCTCTTAACCTCACTTACCATCCAGCCAGCGGTAGTTGTCCTCCTCATCTCTGTCTGAGGCTCCTATCCAGTAGGAGTGGTAGTGTAGACCTGTGTCAACAAGTGTAGTCACTCTTTTATTAAAACACCTGTGTAGTTTTAAGATACTGAGGCAACGTTTGTAAGTTAAAACACCTAAGTAACTCAACTGTGTCAAAACAAGTTACAATAAAAGAAGATATACTAGGAATAAAGTAAACTGAGTTATTTACATTAATATTAAAGAGAATATCAGCTTACAATAATAGGTACATGAATGTTAGCTATACAAGAATCACTCTCCTCCCTTTCTGTAGGTTCATTCACTAGGTACCTTGCAGCTCTCTTGCTGAACTGGTTCACGCTAGGTCCTCGTACTGTGATCTTTTTCAATCAAATAATTGGATTAAATAATATCTCACTATATAAACGTCTCCTTAATAAACATCCTAGTATTGAACATGTTTTATTAACAACCTGCAGGTATTTCAAACCATATCTTTCATCTAAGCTTCAGATTTACTATCGTTATGCGCACGGGAAAGCACTAAAATCAAAAGGGCCATACAGCCCCAGCAGAAATGGGAGGTAATCATGTTACAATCCAGACTGGGGAGGGCAGGTAAAATGTCTTGAATTAGAAGAGTTCCACCTCCATCAAGGAGTCTTTCTTTTATCTTTTGCAGGTTTGAAACTCTAGCCAGACATTGTTCAGCATTTTTGTAACATTAAAACAGAGGCGATGTACCAACTTTACAGGTTTACCGCTTTCCCACAATAATAATAATAACAATATGAGAACATTACTAATATAATGATCTTTGGGAAGAGATTCATCATATTACTAATATTGGCTTCATAATAGATTTTCCATTCAGTGGTAACACACTAACTATCACCAGCACTTACCACTGTCAAAGATGTACTTGACAAGGTCACTATCACCAGCACTTACCACTGTCAAAGTACTTGACAAGGTCACTATCCACCAGCACTTACCACTGTCAAAGATGTACTTGACAAGTCACTATCACCAGCACTTACCACTGTCAAAGATTACTTGACGAGGTCACTATACAGCACTTACCACTGTCAAGATGTACTTACAAGGTCACTATCACCAGCACTTACCACTGTCAAAGATGTACTTGACAAGGTCACTATCACCAGCACTTACCACTGTCAAAGATGTACTTGACGAGGTCACTATCACCAGCACTTACCACTGTCAAAGATGTACTTGACAAGGTCACTATCACCATCACTTACCACTGTCAAAAATATACTTGACAAGGTCACTATCACCAGCACTTACCACTGTCAAAAATGTACTTGACGAGGTCACTATCACCAGCACTTACCACTGTCAAAAATATACTTGACAAGGTCACTATCACCAGCACTTACCACTGTCAAAAATGTACTTGACAAGGTCACTATCACCAGCACTTACCACTGTCAAAAATATACTTGACAAGGTCACTACCAAAAGCACTTACCATTGTTTTCAAAGATGTACTTGACAAGGTCACTATCACCAGCACTTACCACTGTCAAAGATGTAATTGACAAGGTCACTATCACCAGCACTTACCACTGTCAAAAATGTACTTGACGAGGTCACTATCACCAGCACTTACCACTGTCAAAGATGTACTTGACAAGGTCACTATCACCAGCACTTACCACTGTCAAAGATGTACTTGACAAGGTCACTATCACCAGCACTTACCACTGTCAAAAATGTACTTGACAAGGTCACTATCACCAGCACTTACCACTGTCAAAGATGTAATTGACAAGGTCACTATCACCAGCACTTACCACTGTCAAAAATGTACTTGACAAGGTCACTATCACCAGCACTTACCACTGTCAAAAATATACTTGACAAGGTCACTACCAAAAGCACTTACCATTGTTTTCAAAGATGTACTTGACAAGGTCACTATCACTAGCACTTACCATTGTCAAAGATGTACTTGACAAGGTCACTATCACTAGCACTTACCATTGTCAAAGATGTACTTGACAAGGTCACTATCACTAGCACTTACCATTGTCAAAGATGTACTTGACAAGGTCGTACATGGAGACATCACTGTCGACCTTGACCAGCTGACCTCCCAACTCATGACAAAAGTTATTCATCTCGTCCCAGGTGCCTAATACCACTGTCTCTATCATGAGACACGATCCTGCGATCTCTTGGAAAGGTAGATGACATTCTGTGGTAGAATAAACCAATTAATGTCATTGTTCATTATATACATAAACATAAATTTCCTGAAGTGAACAGTACAATGCCTGGGCTCTGGAGGAGGGGATGTTGCCAAGTGTACTGTGATGTCTGTACACCTTTACCTATATATTGAATGAATACTGTCAATATAAGAATAAACGAGGACTCGAACCGTGGTCCTGATAGGTAGAAGGTCAAACAATATGCCAATGAGCTACAAGGTGTAATTACAAGAGGCAGATTTCACAGATAGCTTCTGTGACATGTCTGCGTCAGCAGTACCAGCTTGTTTTTTCATTAATAGTCTTTCATTGTGACTGATTTGAGTATGTCAATCAGAGATTAAATTTACTGTTTGATTAACTAGGTGAAATTTGGCCTTAAAAATCATGAAATTTTATTTACAATTTTAGTTAGCTGCAAGCAGCAATTTATATTATATCTCTTATATTTTAATCCCTAAAAAAGTGCAGGCTTAAAGTCAACTTTGATTGTATATTGTAATATGTACACAAAGTCTGCGTTCCAGTGTACACAGTGTCTAGGATGTCTAGGATGTCTAGGATGTCTAGGATGGCTAGGATGTCTAGGATGTCTAGGATGGCTAGGACGGCTTACAAGGGATAAACACAGTAAGGCAATGGTTCACGTTTTTAAGTACTTAGACCCCATGTAACACAAAAATGACAGACCATGTATGTTAATTATTTGTAATTTTAGGTTGTTTTAATTGAGAAATTTCAGAAGTGAGTTGATTTGCAGTAGTTGTAGTGAAGCCTTGTGCATCTAGGTTAAGTTAGGTAACTACACTACCTTGGGCACCACTAATGTGTGCTCATATATACCCTCTTACCAAACGTAACTTAATTATACATAAATATAGGCTAATTCACGCTTACATAACCAAAAATAAAATAAAAATATGGGAGTTTTGATGTTACGTAGATCGGGAAATACACACGCTGCAAAGTCTGCAAAAAACTGCAGGATGTATTTGAAGGAGAGGTATGAGGTACTTACCACTGACACTCCCACCATCCTCTACCTTGAACTCAGTGGTAAGTGTGGTAGGTACTTCAGCTACGTAGGTCACCTCAGCCACGTAGGTACCGTTCAGTAAGTCAGTGAATGTCGCCTCACAAGCTGTACCTATGAAGAAACAACACACTGTAAACCAAGCGTTGAGCTATACATTGTCAGTGTCCCGTGGCCTGGTAGGCAACGCTCAAGCTTCACACACTGAGTGTCCGTGGTTCGATCCCCGGCCAGGTGGAAATATTGGGGGTGTTCCCTTACACATCCTGTCCCCATTCACCTAGCAAGTAAGTAGGTACCTGGGTGTTAGTCGACTGGTGTGTGTGTGTGTGTGGCATCCTGGAGGACAGGATTGAAAGGACCCCAGTGGAAATAAGATAGTCCTGATTTTCTTGATTTATCCTGGACGGCTAACCCTCCAGATTAAAAATCCGACCAAAATATTATCTTATTAACGTGAGTCTCTCTATCAATATTGTCGTCAGCACGACACACTGACGGGGATCATGAAAAGTGTTAGTGTCAGCGAATTCACCTCTACGGGCACAGTTTACGGTGACTGATGGTGGTTCATGACCCTCTTGTGGCAGGACTCTGACGGTGTACTGTGAGGCCCATGATGACCTCTCCCACGCCACTGTAACACTGCCCTTATCTGCCCACCTCACACGTACCAGCAAGTCTGTAAAGAAGAAACCCACGAGCGAGTGACATGGATCTTAACTTAAGGGAGATGGATCATTCTGTGAGAGTTGTGAGGGAGATGGATCATTCTGTGAGAGTTGTGAGGGAGATGGATCATTCTGTGAGAGTTGTGAATGAGGTGGATCATTATATGATAGTTGTGAGGGAGGTGGATCATTCTGTGAGGGTTGTGAGGGAGGTGGATCATTCTGTGAGGGTTGTGAAGGAGGTAGATCATTCTGTGAGAGTTGTGAATGAGGTGGATCATTCTATGATAGTTGTGAGGGAGGTGGATCATTCTGTGAGGGTTGTGAGGGAGGTGGATCATTCTGAGAGTTGTGAGGGAGGTGGATCATTCTGAGAGTTGTGAGGGAGGTGGATCATTCTGAGAGAGTTGTGAGGGAGATGGATCATTCTGTGAGGGTTGTGAGGGAGGTGGATCATTCTGAGAGTTGTGAGGGAGATGGATCATTCTGTGAGAGTTGTGAGGGAGGTGGATCATTCTGTGAGAGTTGTAAGGGAGGTGGATCATTCTGTGAGAGTTGTGAATGAGGTGGATCATTCTATGATAGTTGTGAGGGAGGTGGATCATTCTGTGAGAGTTGTGAAGGAGGTGGATCATTCTGTGAGAGCTGTGAAGGAGGTGGATCATTCTGTGAAAGTTGTGAGGGAGGTTGATCATTCTGTGAGAGTTGTAAGGGAGGTGGATCATTGTGAGTTGTGAGGAAGGTGGATCATTGTGAGAGTTGTGAAGGAGGTGGATCCTGCCTCTCACAACTACTGGATCACTATGATATGGCCTTGGATGCACTGGAAGAAAATCAGAATGCAGATGTAATACACAGACTTTGCAAAAGCATTTGACAAATGCGATCATGGTGTAACAGCCTATAAAATACGTGCTAAAGGAATAACTGGGAAAGTGGGGAGATGGATCTTCAACTTCCTAACAAATCGAACACAAAGAGTAGTGGTCAACAGAGTTAAATCGGAGGCTGCCATAGTGAAGAGCTCTGTTCCACAAGGCACAGTACTCGCCCCCATCTTATTCCTTATCCTCATATCAGACATAAACAGAGATATACACCACAGCACCGTATCATCCTTTGCGGATGATACTAGGATCTGCATGAGGCTGTCATCTGCTGAGGACGCGGTTAACCTCCAAGAAGATATAAACAAAGTTTTCCAGTGGGCAACGGTAAACAATATGATGTTCAATGAGGACAAATTCCAACTACTCCGTTATGGAAAACTGGAGGAGATAATAACTAGAACAGAGTATACTACTGACTCCGGCCATACAATAGAGCGGAAAAATAATGTAAGGGACCTGGGAGTAGTAATGTCTGAGGATCTCACTTTCAAGGATCACAACAGTGCCACGATCGCACGTGCAAAGAAAATGATAGGATGGATAACGAGAACGTTCAAAACGAGAGATGCCAATCCAATGACGATCCTTTTCAAATCACTTGTTCTCTCTAGGCTGGAATACTGCTGTACATTAGCATCTCCATTCAAAGCAGGTGAAATCGCAGATCTAGAGAGTGTACAGAGATCCTTTACTGCACGTATAAGTTCTGTCAACCACCTTAACTACTGGGAACGCTTGGAAGCACTTCGACTTGTACTCGTTGGAACGCAGGAGGGAGAGATATATCATAATCTACACTTGGAAAATCTTGGAAGGAATGGTCCCAAATCTGCACACAGAAATCACTCCCTACGAAAGTAAAAGACTGGGCAGGCGATGCAAAATGCCCCCAATAAAAAGTAGGGGCGCCATTGGTACACTAAGGGAAAACACCATAAGTGTCCGGGGCCCAGGACTGTTCAACAGCCTCCCATCAAGCATTAGGGGAATTGCCAATAAACCCCTGGCTGCCTTCAAGAGAGAGCTGGACAGATGCCTAAAGTCAGTGCCGGATCAGCCGGGCTGTGGCTCGTACGTTGGACTGCGTGCGGCCAGCAGTAACAGCCTAGTTGATCAGGCCCTGATCCATCGGGAGGCCTGGTCATGGACCGGGCCGCGGGGGCGTTGATCCCCGGAATAACCTCCAGGTAACCTCCAGGTTGTGAGAGTTGTGAAGGAGGTGGATCATTGTGAGAGTTGTGAGGGAGGTGGATCATTGTGAGAGTTGTGAGGGAGGTGGATCATTGTGAGAGTTGTGAGGGAAGTGGATCATTGTGAGAGTTGTGAGGGAGGTGGATCATTGTGAGAGTTGTGAGGGAGGTGGATCATTATGAGAGTTGTGAGGGAGGTGGATCATTGTGAGAGTTGTGAGGGATGTGGATCATTGTGAGAGCTGTGAGGGAGGTGGATCATTGTGAGAGTTGTGAGGGAGGTGGATCATTGTAAGAGTTGTGAGGGAGGTGGATCATTGTGAGAGCTGTGAGCGAGGTGGTTCATTGTGAGAGTTGTGAGGGAGGTGGATCATTGTGAGAGTTGTGAGGGAGGTGGATCATTGTGAGAGTTGTGAGGGAGGTGGATCATTGTGAGAGTTGTGAGGGAGGTGGATCATTGTGAGAGTTGTGAGGGAGGTGGATCATTGTGAGAGTTTGAGGGAGGTGGATCATTGTGAGAGTTGTGAGGGAGGTGGATCATTGTGAGAGCTGTGAGGGAGGTGGATCATTGTGAGAGTTATGGAATGTGAGTGGAGGAGTGGATCATTGTGAGAGTTGAGAGGTGTCATTGTGAGAGTTGGAGGGGTGGATCATTGTGAGAGTTGTGAGGGAGGTGGATCATTGTGAGAGTTGTGAGGGAGGTGGATCATTGTGAGAGTTGTGAGGGAGGTGGATCATTGTGAGAGTTGTGAGGGAGGTGGATCATTGTGAGAGTTGTGAGGGAGGTGGATCATTGTGAGAGTTGTGAGGGAGGTGGATCATTGTGAGAGTTGTGAGGGAGGTGGATCATTGTATGGAGAGATATTGTGAGGGGAGGTGGATCATTGTGAGAGTTGTGAGGGAGGTGGATCATTGTGAGAGTTGTGAGGGAGGTGGATCATTGTAGAGTTGTGAGGGAGGTGGATCATTGTGAGAGTTGTGAATGGGTGGTCATGTAGATGATGAAGCAAGTGATCTGGTGGAGTTAAGTACATTTAAGTATGTAGGTGGTGGTATGTGTGATGGTGGTAGTATTTATGATGATGGGGTATTAGTTTGTAGGATGGTTGTAGTTATGTAGGGTGATATTGTGGTAGTTATGTATGGGTGGTATTATGTATGCTGGTGGAGTTAAGTATGAGAGGTGGTATGTATTGTTGAGGTGGTATGTTATGTATGAGGGTGGTAGTATGTAAGTGGTGGTAGTTATGTGATGAGTGTGGGTGATATGTAGTGTGATGGTGGTAGTTATGTAATGATGGGGTTAATTTATGTATGCTGGTGGTAGTTATGTATGATTGGTGGTAGTTAAAGTATGCTGGTGGTAGTTATGTATGACTGGTGGTAGTTATGTATGCTGGTGGTAGTTATGTTGATGGTGTAGTTATGTATGCTGGTGGTAGTTATGTATGATGGTGGTAGTTATGTATGCTGGTGGTAGTTATGTATGATGGTGGTAGTTATGTTGATGGTGGTAGTTATGTATGATGGTGGTAGTTATGTATGCTGGTGGTAGTTATGTATGATGGTGATATTTATGTATGACGGTGGTAGTTATGTATGCTGGTGGTAGTTATGTTGATGGTCAGTGACTACTCACCAAAAACAGTAACACTGGAGGAGACAGCCTGGTCGTTGTTAACCATTAGGAGCCGCAGGTCGTCCACTGGCCCTCCATTAACTGGGTCGTTCAAGGTCTCCAGGTCTTGAATAACACACCCGTTACTGTGAACACAATAACAATTTTCACAACACAACGGGAGAAAGTGAAAAACTCTGCTTAATTTCCACAGGTAAGGTGTAATTATGTGGAAGAGTTACTAGGCTACAGTACCACGTTCCACCAGCTACAACGATCTTCTGGCAATAGGCTATTCGTATTTTCCTAATAAGTACATAATTTCTCAGCGTACCTTAATCATGTTGTTAGGTATGACACATGCAACAGTTAGGTATCTTTATTTCGAAACGTTTCGCCAACACAGTAGGCTTCTTCAGTCGAGTACAGAAAAGTTGACAGAAGCAGAAGAGACTTGAAGACGATGTAATCAGTCCATCACCCTTGAAGTTTTGAGGTGGTCAGTTCCTCAGTCTGGAGAAGAGTATTGTTCCATAGTCTGAAACAATATGGAGTTGAAGTGACAGGATGGAGCCTTATATACCGCCAGGGGGTGAGATGTAGGCCACTGGTAGAGGTAAGAATGTAGTCGTTGGGAGGTCATGTCCCTCTCAAATCCAGCCATTCTCACTAGTAGAAGTTGTCCAAGTTGATTTCAGTTCTGTACCAAGATACCCTTGTGTTGCAGTGTCTGACAGAGTGAACATTAAAATGGTATAAAATACCGACAGGTTGTTAGGTATGATACATATGCAACAGTTAGGTATCTTTATTTCGAAATAAAGATACCTAACTGTTGCATGTGTCATACCTAACAACCTGTCGGTATTTTATACCATTTTAATGTACCTTAATCATCTTGAAGTCACTACTAACACACGTCGTGACCTTATAGCCCCATGCAACAATATTATTAAGAAACTCAAGTAAAAGAATACAAGTCATGGCCCTACAACCACATACACTGAAAGTGTGGAAGAGATTGCGTTGTGTTGCAGTCACAAACCCATCTTGTGTTTGTTAGAGACGATGTTTTGAAAAACATAGTGACAGTAAACGTAAATTTCTTTTGTGTGAGTGTGTGTGCACACACTGACGCTGACAGCTGGAAGTTGAAAACTCAGATTAGTCACAGGGATGTTAGGAAGCGTCTATTCAGCCTTAAAGTAGGAAGTGAATCTAGTAGAACCATCGAAGAGGCGGGCCAGGAGCTGTGAATCGACCCCTGCAACCACATATAAGTAAGTATATAATTCCCAAAATCTCCCCAAATCATTCACTAAGCATCATTGTGGAGACAAATGACACAACGTCAACAAATGGTGACAAAGACACAACTGCAGTAAGGAACTTTACTGAGAGGTTTCGCCTGAGGAACAGTCTTCTTCAGTCAATGATCTGAAGATCATTGAAGAAACTCATTGACTGAAGAAGCCTAGCCACAGGCGAAACGTCGTAATAAGGTTCCTCTATGCAAGCAGTAAGCATGATTGACGTGGTGAGTGTGTATACCTGAGAGGAAGACACTGTCCTGGGAGGGTCTCCACGGCTTGGCTGTGATCGTAACCATTGATCACCAAGGCTGTGAACTCTCCTGTATCACTTATATCGCTGTCAGTTATCACAGTCATCCTCTTGGGCCTCGCTGCTGGATCAGGATCAAGACCCACGCTTTCAATGACTACTTCTGCAATATTCAAACCTGTAAACATAAATGAATTTTATATAATAGGTTATTCATGTAGAAGATTTGTTTCTAACCACTAGTTTAAGCTACTAGATATAAAATTTTGAGTAGTAACCCATCTTCTCAAACATTAAATAGTGGATTTATTGGGTTTAAAGTCTATCAACTACGCGATGGTTACTGTAGAGGAGGATCGAGGTATTACTGACCCACAGGCAACAGAATTTGCGTAAGTGGAATGCAGTCAGGATGAACATAAGTCACGGAAAAGTGTGTGTACATCTTAGTGTATATACACCGACAGGTGTATATCTCTCAGTGTATATACACCGAGAAGTGTATATCTATGTATATACACCGAGAGGTGTATATCACTATTCGAGGTATTAAAGTATTCTTGAATGATGGTGAACAGTTTACATGCAGCATTCTTCAGTATACCATGCGCCTCCACATTTTGATTCTCTCCATTTCAGTGCGGTGAATTGATGATGGTGAAGGACTCTCGATTCAAGGATGGAATCAAGAGATGGAATCAAGGCTGATTATCAAGACCTGTATTATTTATGATTTTGATAGTGTTTGAAATGCCATTAGATACTGTGATGACCTTCCTAGACCACAGCACAAATGCGACACTACTGCTAATGCTCACGAGATTCTTAGTAAACTCTAATACCTTTTACATAGGCTAGACTTTCGGAGACCTCCAGCGTTAAGGACTGCAGAATGCTTGGAGAACCCACAATATTAAGAACACCTGTGTGAACGATCAGGACCAGCTCTCTCATGTCATGAACTGAGATACGATAACTGAATGAAATCAGATGTTTGGCAGCACCAACAAATCAAACTCTTAGATCATAAAGAAAAACATAAGAGTATTCAATCTGGTGTGTGATGTTCTCGCCTCTTGTTCTACGCTGTTGGGTTTAGAGAAAGGACAGCCGAGGTTATCTGGGCAAGAGTGGAGGCGGGGCATGGATGCTTGCATAGTCGGAGTGGAAGGGTCAGGGATGGGTTTATAGGTGGGGAAAGAGGGTGCAGGATGTGCTTAGTCTTAAATGTTCGTTTTAAAATGGGAGGGAAGAGTTGACGTTGGGTAGCACTGCTTAAGACCGAGCCGGGACTTTGACCAGTAGTGTATTTATGGTGGCTGGGTTTCTGCTCCTAAATATCCTTTCTCTTATTGTATTTACCCTCGTTTTGTCTTCTCCCTCAACTGTTCTCTCTCCTTTACTATTCTGTCTCAACGTAAGCATACCCAACAGCACCGTATTGTTTTCCTGTTCCTCTAATTCTTCCCACTCAGTATAATTTTGCAGCATTGTCAGCAGCTAATTTTTGTTACAGATGAGACCTCAGTGTGTAAGATGAATTTATTATTACCAATTGACATCATCCTTGGTGTGCTGTATGTGGCTTATGATGCTTCTCTCCTCTCACTGCTATCTACTAGTAATGCGCTTCAATACCTATTAATGTGTATCAGTACCTGGTAATGTGTATTACCATGCAGTAATGTGTAGTAATCTCTAGTAATGTGTATCAGCATCTATGATGTCTATCGGTGAAGAATAGTGGCAGTTGGTGGGTTCAGCAACTACTTACTGTCCCGGTATAGATCCAGCTGGTGTGTGCTGCCCCTGCACGAGTAGACAACGCCCTCTGTGACGTCGAGCACCTCGCCCAGGTAGTCTCCTGATTCTGGCATGTCCAGGAAGTAGTAACGACAACGTCCGTCTGGACAGCTCACCACGCCAGAGATCTCATGTATAGTGGGAGCTCCTGGCACTACCAATCCACCAGAACGATACCAATAGTGCGTGTGTTTCCCCTCACCCAGGAAATTCATCATTCGTCTGTGTAAGGGAGACATCTCGTCTCTACGTATGATTTCACGGTGAAAGACGGCTTCAGGAGGCACAGTATTGTCTCCCAAATGGGAGTTCACCCACAGCTGTACCTGGTAGATTCTGTCAAGTTGTGGCTGCCATGCGATCTCCACCACTGTACCACCTCTCTGTGTTGACGTCACTTCCACACCTTTCCATAAAAGTGGGCCATTAAGCCTTGGTATATAAAATAATTCTCACTTATTTTAAATTTTATGCTAATTATATGATTATGTCATAGCTAATGATTATGACTGATTTTGCGTATTTAATTATATGCTGAAACATATATTTGATAATGTATTAACAACATTCACAGCCAAGGTTCATTTATCATGGAAACGTCGAGTTTTCAAAAGCTTTCTTAAATTTTCACGTATAGTTTTATTAATGCAACTACTGGACACTATCATATTTCGAAATAGACTATCCGATAGTGACTGAAGACCGGCTGTACTGACAGCTACATTATATATTCTGCCTTGAGGCTTCGTGTAATTTATTATTTGCAAAATTAAAACAAGAGGCTCTCAGTAAAATCTTCAAACTTACTCTTAAAACTGATGGTACTTTCACCATAGTGAACAGTCACACCATCAGAATCGCGACCTGTGACGATGATTATCTCCCAGTCTGAGAAGTGGTAATCCTCGAGGATGGAACACGGGGAGAAGCAGTGTATGGTTCCTTCACCTGTCTCGTCAGGTTCAGGATGTAGCACACCTGAACAGCTTTTTTCAACAATATTGTCATGAGTTATAAATGTTGCTGTGTAGGTGAGAGTTGGGTCAGGTGGTAGACCTTCTTGTCGTACAATGCAGGAATATACTCCCTCACCTGCTATGTAGCCAACACGTCGCACTGTTAACGTCTCCATCATTTCTAAAACCAATAACAAAACAAAAAATCTCTAAAACCAATAACAAAACAAAAAATCTAAGTCTTTTGAATAAGGAAAGTGAAGGCTGAAAAAATACCACATTCGGATACTTAACAGAAGAATCAAAATACGATACAGATAATGTAATAGATTAAAAAGACAAGTGAGTAAGGACTAGGATATATTTATTAAAAAACGTATCGGTCCTGATACCTTGATCACTTCTAACATACAGAGGTTAAAATGACATTTTAACCTGTGTGTTAGAAGTGATCAAGGTCCCAGGACCGTAACGTTTTCTTATATGTGCTAATGTTTGCTCACGTGTCTTTTTAAACCAATGTGTCGGTATCTATAACCAAGGTTTATACCACAGATAATGATTAAATATTTCGTGCAGATTGACAGTACTTATTAAATATATCACAAAGACCATATATAAAACTTACAAATTATTACAATATTAAAAAAATAAACAAAGGCCATTAAAAATTATAAGGTACTCTTTGTACTCCAAGGAGTAGAGTACCTTATAATTTGTACTCCAAGGAGTACAAAGAGTACCTCCCAATCATGAGAAGCCAACACACTTGAGATGAAATCAAATGTCGGGGAAGAAGCTGATAAAACTTAAATCGAGGCAGAAAAGGGCAAGTTCAGAGTTCAGAGTTCTTTGTTGTTTTTTTTATGCGATCGAGAAGATTGAAATTAAGTAGAATATAGAGGAAAAAATCTGAGTACTGGACTTTCAGGTGGTGGATCAGTCTGACAACTGGACTTCCAGGTGGTGGATCAGTCTAACAACTGGACTTCCAGGTGGTGGATCCAAGTCATCCGACTACCCGACCTCCCGGAAGTAATTCCTTCTACCAAAAACAACAAAACAAAAGCCGAATTGCCTCCGCCAGAAGGGAAGATAACAGCAGCAGGTTGATAAGAGAACCCAATAAGCTAATATGTACGAAGGCGGCGGCGCGTTCTAGGAAATATGCTAAAAAAAAACAAGACTGATAAGACCACCGTGAATGGTAAACAGACCAGTGAGAGTAGGATAATGAGAGTGGGGAGAGCGACTCTTGCTCTTAGTTTATTATTCAAGGAAAATCTCTTGACAGCTCTTATTTATATGCTGACCTGCTCACTGACTGCTTGGAGGACTGAGAGTGGGAATATGTTATGCCAGGAGCCAGTACTAGGACCGGCTCAGATGGTACCAGGAGACTGTACTAGGACCGGCTCAGATGGTACCAGGAGACTACAAGGACCCGCTCAGATGGTACCAGGAGCCTGTACTAGGGCCGGTTCAGATGGTACCAGGAGACTGTACTAGGACCGGCTCAGATGGTACCAGGAGACTGTACAAGGACCCGCTCAGATGGTACCAGGAGCCTGTACTAGGGCCGGTTCAGATGGTACCAGGAGACTGTACTAGGACCGGCTCAGATGGTACCAGGAGCCTGTACTAGGACCGGCTCAGATGGTACCAGGAGCCTGTACTAGGACCCGCTCAGATGGTACCAGGAGCCTGTACTAGGACCGGCTCAGATGGTACCAGGAGACTGTACTACGACCTGCTCAGATGGTACCAGGAGACTGTACTAGAACCTGCTCAGATGGTACCAGGAGACTGTACTAGGACTGGCTCAGATGGTACCAGGAGCCTGTACTAGGACCGGTTCAGATGGTACCAGGAGACTGTACTAGGACCTGCTCAGATGGTGCCAGGAGACTGTACTAGGACCGGCTCAGATGGTACCAGGTGATTGTACTACGACCTGCTCAGATGGTACCAGGAGACTGTACTAGGACCTGCTCAGATGGTACCAGGAGACTGTACTAGGACCGGCTGAGATGGTACCAGGAGACTGTGCTAGGACCAGCTCAGATGGTACCAAGAGACTGTACTAGGACCTGCTCAGATGGTACCAGGAGACTGTACTAGGACCTGCTCAGATGGTACCACGAGACTGTACTAGGACCTGCTCAGATGGTACCAGGAGACTGTACTAGGACTGGCGCAGATGGTACCAGGAGAATGTACTAGGACTGGCTCAGATGGTACCAGGAGACTGTACTAGGACCGGCTCAGATGGTACCAGGAGACTGCACTAGGACCAGTTCAGATGGTACCAGGAGACTGTATTAGGACTGGCGCAGATGGTACCAGGAGATTGTACTAGGACTGGCGCAGATGGTACCAGGAGACTGTACTAGGACTGGCGCAGATGGTACCAGGAGACTGTACTAGGACTGGCGCAGATGGTACCAGGAGACTGTACTAGGACTGGCCAGATGGTACCAGGAGACTGTACTAGGACTGGCGCAGATGGTACCAGGAAACTGTACTAGGACTGAGCAGATGGTACCAGGGAGACTGTACTAGGACTGGCGCAGATGGTACCAGGAAACTGTACTAGGACTGGCGCAGATGATACCAGGAGACTGTACTAGGACTGGCGCAGATGGTACCAGGAGACTGTACTAGGATTGGCGCAGATGGTACCAGGAGACTGTACTAGGATTGGCGCAGATGGTACCAGGAGACTGTACTAGGACTGGCGCAGATGGTACCAGGAGACTGTACTAGGACTGGCGCAGATGGTACCAGGAGACTGTACTAGGACTGGCGCAGATAATACCAGGAGAGTGTACTAGGACTGACGCAGATGGTACCAGGAGACTGTACTAGGACTGGCGCAGATGATACCAGGAGACTGTACTAGGACTGACGCAGATGGTACCAGGAGACTGAACTAGGACTGACGCAGATGATACCAGGAGACTGTACTATGACTGGCGCAGATGATACCAGGAGACTGTACTAGGACTGGCGCAGATGGTACCAGGAGACTGAACTAGGACTGACGCAGATGGTACCAGGAGACTGTACTAGGACTGGCGCAGATGGTACCAGGAGACTGTACTAGGACTGGCGCAGATGGTACCAGGAGACTGTACTAGGACTGGCGCAGATGGTACCAGGAGACTGTACTAGGACTGGCGTAGATGGTACCAGGAGACTGTACTAGGACTGGCGCAGATGGTACCAGGAGACTGTACTAGGACTGGCGTAGATGGTACCAGGAGACTGTACTAGGACTGGCGCAGATGGTACCAGGAGACTGTACTAGGACTGGCGCAGATGGTACCAGGAAACTGAACTAGGACTGACGCAGATGGTACCAGGAGACTGTACTAGGACTGGCGCAGATGGTACCAGGAGACTGAACTAGGACTGACGCAGATGATACCAGGAGACTGTACTAGGACTGGCGTAGATGATACCAGGAGACTGTACTAGGACTGGCGTAGATGGTACCAGGAGACTGTACTAGGACTGGCGCAGATGGTACCAGGAGACTGTACTAGGACTGGCGCAGATGGTACCAGGAAACTGAACTAGGACTGACGCAGATGATACCAGGAGACTGTACTATGACTGGCGCAGATGATACCAGGAGACTGTACTAGGACTGGCGCAGATGGTACCAGAAGACTGAACTAGGACTGACGCAGATGATACCAGGAGACTGTACTAGGACTGGCGTAGATGATACCAGGAGACTGTACTAGGACTGGCGTAGATGGTACCAGGAGACTGTACTAGGACTGGCGTAGATGGTACCAGGAGACTGTACTAGGACTGGCGCAGATGGTACCAGGAGACTGTACTATGGACTGGCGTTAGATGATACCAGGAGACTGTATAGGACTGGCGTAGATGATACCAGGAGACTGTACTAGGACTGGCGTAGATGGTACCAGGAGACTGTACTAGGACTGGCGTAGATGGTACCAGGAGACTGTACTAGGACTGACGCAGATGGTACCAGGAGACTGAACTAGGACTGACGCAGATGATACCAGGAGACTGTACTAGGACTGGCGTAGATGATACCAGGAGACTGTACTAGGACTGGCGTAGATGGTACCAGGAGACTGTACTAGGACTGGCGCAGATGGTACCAGGAGACTGTACTAAGACTGGCGCAGATGGTACCAGGAGACTGTACTAGGACTGACGCAGATGGTACCAGGAGACTGTACTAAGACTGGCGCAGATGGTACCAGGAGACTGTACTAAGACTGGCGCAGATGGTACCAGGAGACTGTACTAGGATTGGCGCAGATGGTACCAGGAGACTGTACTAGGACTGGCGTAGATGGTACCAGGAGACTGTACTAGGACTGGCGCAGATGGTACCAGGAGACTGTACTAAGACTGGCGCAGATGGTACCAGGAAACTCTACTGCATATATATGGCTCTGGCTAACGTAATTTCCTTCGTTGCAAATTCATTAATAATGTTTCTCGTTCTACTCATACTCAGAATGAATACTGTATTTCCTGTTAATCGTGTTTCACCCATTTTTTTATCTATTTCAGAATTTCTGTAGTGATCCCATGTGACTGAGGTCGTCGGAATAATCTCTTGTCTGATACGTGTCTCCCACTGTCTTAAAGATGTGCAGCTATAACTTACCAACAAGAAAGATGTTCTCAGAACTCTTGGTAAATATTTGTTATAATACTCTGACCAGACTATGTGGGAATAAGACATATGTGCACACTTAAGACATTTGTTAGACACTTCACCACTGTTAGCTTTATCAACTCTAATGACCCAATTGGCCAGATTAGGTGCGATATGGGAGACGTTTAATGGCTGGAAAGACTGAACAGTGAAAGATAACACTAACATCATTATATCCTTCAGATATTAGTGAAGAAGTTGTATACGGAAGTCTACAAGAATATCCAGTTAATAAATTAAGATATTTCCTTTAAAATTTACTATTTGTATATTATGGTAGAATAATCTGAACGTTTGGTACCTGCTGCATGAAGTTTTATATATACTGATGTAAATTGTTGGCAGTGTTATAAGTCAGCAGGTGGAAGGTTCCCACGACAGTCACCTGGGGTAACATGATTACTCGATATTAACCCTCACCTCCTACCACCTCTCTCTCTCTCTCTCTCTCTCTCTCTCTCTCTCTCTCTCTTTCTCTCTCTCTCTCTTCTCTCTCTCTCTCTCTCTCTCTCTCTCTCTCTCTCTCTCTCTCTCTCTCTCTCTCTCTCTTCTCTCTCTCTCTCTCTCTCTCTCTCTCTCTCTCTCTCTCTCTATATATATATATATATATATATATTTATATATATATATATATATATATATATACATACGTATATATATATATATATATATATATATATATATATATATATATATATATATATATATATGTCGTGCCGATTAGGCAGAACTTGCGATCTTGGCTTAAATAGCAACGTTCATCTTGCCATATTACCTGGAGTTTACCTGGAGAGAGTTCCGGGGGTCAACGCCCCCGCGGCCCGGTCTGTGACCAGGCCTCCTTAGGTCAGTGTCCCAGTATGCGACCCACACCAGTCGACTAACACCCAGGTACCCATTTTACTGATGGGGAACATAGACAACAGGTGGAAAGAAACACGTCCAATGTTTCTACTCTGGCTGGGAATCGAACCCAGGCCCTCACCGTGTGAAGCGAGAGCGTTAACCACCAGGCCACCAGAGCCCTTGTAAAATTTGCGATAAAGTTTATTACGGTCAAACTGGTAAAAATCTCGAACTAAAATTAAAACAACATAAATATAGCATTAGAACTGGACAAGATTCCAATGCTCTATTTATTCATGTAAGAGATTTTAACCATCCAATTGATTTTCAAAAAGTTGAGAAAGTAGTATCAAGCAAGTCCATGGTCGACAGGAATATAATTGAATCTTGTTTCATAAAAAGCAGTTTTGACAATAATATGAATATTTCCTTTGGTTTATATAAATTAGATCCATTTATAATTAATAGAATTTGGGAAGAATTTAATAATACACTGGACAAATAATAATTTTTAAAATTTTCTTGGGTAGAATAGTTTGTTGGTGGGTTGTGCGTAGGACCTGTCCAGTTGGGTCGGCGCGCATCAGGTGTTTAACTGTTGTGGGATCTGATAGTGAGGTGTTGGCCAGACCCCTTATATACCTTCCTTGGATGCTTTACTTTCATAGTTCCTTGATAATGTGAGTAGTCACTAAAGCTCTTGGAATTTCTCTATTCTTTCACAGTGGTTGTTTTGCATATTCTGAAATCACCTGTTTACTGTGATCTTATTGCATATATATATATATATATATATATATATATATATATATATATATATATATATATATATATATATATATATATATATATATATATATATATATATAAATATATATATATATATATATATATATATATATATATATATATATATATATATATATATTGTGTGTGTGTGTGTGTGTGTGTGTGTGTGTGTACAAGTCCTAGCTCCTGGCTCCGCCTCTTCACCGGTTGCTACTAGGTCCTCTCTCTCCCCGCTCCATGAGCTTTATCATACCTCGTCTTAAAACTATGTATGGTTCCTGCCTCCACTACATCACTTTCTAGGCTATTCCACTGCCTGACAACTCTTACTGAAGAAATACTTCCTAATATCTCTCTGACTCATCTGTGTCTTCAACTTCCAATTGTGACCTCTTGTTTCTGTGTCCCCTCCCTGGAACATCCTGTTTGTCCACCTTGTCTATTCCTCGCAGTATTTTATATGTCGTTATCATGTCTCCCCTGACCCTCCTGTCCTCCAGTGTCGTCAGGCCGATTTCCCTTAACCTTTCTTCATAAGACATTCCCCTTAGCTCTGGAACTAACCTTGTCGCAAACCTTTTTACTTTCTCTAGTTTCTTGACGTGCTTTATCAAGTGCGGGTTCCAAACAGGTACTTCATACTCCAGTATGGGCCTGACGTACACGGTGTACAGTGTCTTGAACGATTCCTTATTAAGGTATCGGAACGCTGTTCTCAGGTTTGCCAGGCGCCCATATGCTGCAGCAGTTACCTGGTTAATGTGTGGTTCAGGAGACATGCTCGGTGTTATACTCACTCCAAGATCTTTCTCCTTGAGCGAGGTTTGCAGTCTTTGGCCACCTAGCCTATACTCTGTCTGCGGTCTTCTTTGCCCTTCCCCTATCTTCATGACTTTGCATTTGGCGGGATTAAATTCGAGAAGCCAGTTGCTGGACCAGGTGTCCAGTCTGTCCAGGTCTCTTTGAAGTCCTGCCCGGTCCTCATCTGATTTAATTCTCCTCATTAATTTCACATCGTCTGTGAACAGGGACACTTCTGAGTCTAACCCTTCCATCATGTCGTTCACATATACCAAAAATAGCACTGGTCCTAGGACCGACCCCTGTGGGACCCCGCTCGTCACAGGTGCCCATTGTGATACATCATTACGTACCATGACTCGTTGCCTCCCTGTCAGGTATTCTCTGATCCATTGCAGTGCCCTTCCTGTTATATGAGCCTGATCCTCTAGCTTCTGAATTAATCTCTTGTGAGGAACTGTGTCAAAAGCCTTCTTGCAGCCCAAGAAGATGCAATCAACCCACCCCTCTCTCTCGTGTCTTACTTCTGTTACTTTATCATAAAACTCCAGAAGGTTTGTGACACAGGATTTTCCTTCCATGAATCCATGCTGGTTGGCGTTTATACTCTTGTTCCGTTCCAGGTGCTCCACCACTCTCCTCCTGATAATCTTCTCCATAACTTTTCATACTATACACGTCAGTGACACAGGTCTATAGTTTAGTGCCTCTTTTCTGTCTCCTTTTTTAAAAATGGGAATTACATTTGCCGTCTTCTATACCTCAGGTAGTTGCCCAGTTTCCAGGGACATGTTGAAGATTGAGGTAAGTGGCACACACAACATATCTGCTCCCTCTCTAAGGACCCACGGGGAGATGTTGTCCGGTCCCATTGCCTTTTAGGTATCGATGTCCCTTAGCAGTTTCTTCACCTCCTCCTCATCTGTATGTATGTCATCCAAAACTTGTTGGTATATTCCTTGCTGGTGTCCCCATCTGGTCTGTCCCCCGAGAGGCCTTCCTGTCTCCACTGTAAATACTTCCTTAAATATCATGTTGAGCTCCTCACATACCTCTTGATCGTTTCTTGTGAGTTTTCCACCTTCTTTCCTCAGCCTTATCACCTGGTCTTTGACTGTGTGTGTGTGTGTGTATTGAGAAATATACAAGGTGTGTGTTTATCTTTCAGTGTACATACAGTATATATGTATGTGTGTGTGTGTGTGTGTGTGTGTGTGTGTGTGAATTAGAGAGGTGGTAGGAGGTGAGGGTTAATATCGAGTAATCATGTTACCCCAGGTGACTGTCGTGGGAACCTTCCACCTGCTGACTTATAACACTGCCAACAATTTACATCAGTATATATAAAACTTCATGTAGCAGGTACCAAACGTTCAGATTATTCTACCATAATATACAAATAGTAAGTTTTAAAGCAAATACTATCTTAATTTATTAACTGGATATTCTTGTACACTGTTAAGTAACTGATTAACTAACTGACTGTTAAGTCTGTTAAGCCCAAGGACCTGTCAGCTATTTTTAATGTGGAGACAGGAGTGAACAACACTGTGGTGATGAAGAGCCATGAGTAACGTAAGCTTTAAACGTCACGATGTTTCGTTCTGCGTAGAGCTTTATCAAGCCGTGTTTCCCTATGTATCGAACTTTATCAAGTCATGTTTCTCTCTGAGAAGAGCTTCATGAAGCCATGACATAGTGAAGCTCTACACAGAGCGATAGTGTCAGAAGTAAAGCTTGCTTTCCACTCGTTTCTTTTTTTTTTCATGTTCTTACAATATATGTAAAGACGAGGAGGAGGAGTATGGAAGAAGTGAATGTTTTCAGATATTTGAGAGTTGACGTGTCAGCGAATGTATTTATGAAGGATGAGGTTAACCATAGAACTGATGAAGGAAAAAAGGTGAGTGGTGCGTTGAGGTATATATGGAGGCAAAAAACATTATCTATGGAGGCAAAGAAGGGAATGTATGAAAGTATAGTAGTACCAACACTCTTATATGGATGTGAAGCTTGGGTTGTAAATGCAGCAGCAAGGAGGCGGTTGGAGGCAGTGGAGATGTCCTGTCTAAGGGCAATGTGTGGTGTAAATATTATGCAGAAAATTCGGAGTGTGGAAATTAGGAGAAGGTGTGGAGTTAATAAAAGTATTAGTCAGAGGGCAGAAGAGGGGTTGTTGAGGTGGTTTGGTCATTTAGAGAGAATGGATCAAAGTAGATTGACATGGAGAGCGTATAAATCTGTAGGGGAAGGAAGGCGGGGTAGGAGTCGTCCTAGAAAAGGTTGGAGGGAGTGGGTAAAGGTTTTGTGGGCGAGGGGCTTGGACTTCCAGCAAGCGTGCGTGAGCGTGTTAGATAGGAGTGAATGGAGACGAATGGTATTTGGGACCTGAAGAGCTGTTGGAGTGTGAGCAGGGTAATATTTAGTGAAGGGATTCAAGGAAACCGGTTATTTTTATATAGCCGGACTTGAGTCCTGGAAATGGGAAATACAATGCCTGCACTCTAAAGGAGGGGTTCGGAATATTGGCAGTTTGGAGGGATATGTTGTGTATCTTTATAGGTATATACTTCTAAACTGTTGTATTCTGGGCACCTCTGCAAAAACAGTGATTAAGTGTGAGTGTGGTGAAAGTGTTGAATGATGATGAAAGTATTTTCTTTTTGGGGATTTTCTTTCTTTTTGGGTCACCCTGCCACGGTGGGAGACGGCCAACTTGTTAAAAAAAAGGGGAGACCATCAGTGGTGTCGGACCACAGATGGTAAACACATTATAAGAAGCATCTCACCTGCTACCTGGGCGACCATCACTGCCCGGAACACCAGCAATAGCAGTAGCAGCTGAGAGGGCATCCACATGTTCCTCATGGTTGATGGTTACTAACTCAACCTGTTCTTATCTGGGGGTTTATACACACACACATACACACACACACACACACACACACACACACACACACACACACACACACACACACACACACACCACACACCACACACACACACACCACACACACACACACAACATACACACACACACACACACACAGTCTGGAAAGTGACGTAGTGTAGGTAGGAACCATACATAGTTTTAACATTTGGTTTGATAAGCTCATGGAGCAGGGAGAGAGCGGACCTAGTAGTAGCGACCAGCGAAGAGGCGGGAATCGACCCCTGCAACACCATATAGGTAACTATATACACACAAACACGAGCTCACTCTCCCTTTGTTCAGAGTAATACAACAATTACCTTCGTTATTTTAAGAGTCCTTGATGCTGGTGAGTCTTGATCCAATGAATTGGGGATACCTTCCTCTTCCTCGGATCAAACAGACTCCCTACCATTTCCCAAGCATTGCATGGCCCCATTATATTAATACTAACTGTGCCCTCTTGCCTGTCTGTGAAGATGACAGTAGTCTGTGAAGATGACAGTAGTCTGTGAATATGACAGTAGTCTATGAATATGACAGTAGTCTGTGAAGATGACAGTAGTCTGTGAAGATGACAGTAGTCTGTGAAGATAACAGTAGACTGTGAAGATGACAGTAGTCTGTGAAGATGACAGTAGTCTGTGAAGATGACAATAGTCTGTGAATATGACAGTAGTTTGTGAAGATGACAGTAGTCTGTGAATATGACAGTAGTCTCTGAATATGACAGTAGTCTATGAATATGACAGTAGTCTGTGAATATGACAGTAGTCTATGAATATGACAGTAGTCTGTGAAGATGACAGTAGTCTGTGAAGATGACAGTAGTCTGTGAAGATAACAGTAGACTGTGAAGATGACAGTAGTCTGTGAAGATGACAGTAGTCTGTGAAGATGACAATAGTCTGTGAATATGACAGCAGTCTGTGAAGAGGACAGTATCCTGTGAATATGACAGCAGTCAGCAGTCTGTGAAGATGACAGCAATCTGTGAAGTCACTCTCTCTCTTGTCTGTGGCCACAGATTACGTTAAAGACTCTTCCTACAGAGGTCACATTTCTAAGACTTTGAAATTAAATTAAAATCTTGGCGAGAACATAAAAAACAGAGAACATTGAAAAATATCCTTTGCGAAATTTTAGCGTCCTCATTCATATAGTTTGTTTGATAATATCCAAACTTTATAAATTTAGGGTAAAAAGTCTGGTAGGAACGCTCACAAAAGCTCACCACAAACTTTACTTAGACTAAACTTCTGGCATAAATATAGAACTTGGCAACAGGAGTTCCGGTAGTGGGGAAGTGGTGGTGGTTGTGAGTGGTAGTGGTGGGTAGTTACGTTGGGGGTGGTAGTGGTGGGTAGTGTTGGGGTGGTAGTGGCGGGCAGTGTTGGGGTGGTGTAGTGGTGGGTAGTGTTGGGGTGGTAGTGGTGGGTAGTGTTGGGGTGGTAGTGGTGGGTAGTGTTGGGGTGGTAGTGGCGGGCAGTGTTGGGGTGGTAGTGGTGGGTAGTGTTGGGGTGGTAGTGGGTGGGTAGTGTTGGGGTGGTAGTGGTGGGTAGTGTTGGGGTGGTAGTGATGGGTAGTGTTGGCTGTGGTAGTGATGGGTAGTGTTGGGGGTGGTAGTGGTGGGTAGTGTTGGGGTTGGTAGTGGTGGGTAGTGTTGGGGGTGGTAGTGGTGGGTAGTGTTGGTGGGGTGGTAGTGGTGGGTAGTGTTGGGGTGGTAGTGGTGGGTAGTGTTGGGGGTAGTCAGTGGTGGGTAGTGTTGAGGGTGGTAGTGTTGGGGGTGGTAGTGGTGGGTAGTGTTGGGGGTGGTACTGGTGGGTAGTGTTGGATGTGGTAGTGGTGGGTAGTGTTGGGGGTGGTAGTGGTGGGTAGTGTTTGGGGTGGTAATGGTGGGTAGTGTTGAGGGTGGTAGTGTTGGGGGTGTGGTAGGGTGGGTAGTGTTTGGGGGTGGTAGTGGTGGGTAGTGTTGGATGTGGTAGTGGTGGGTAGTGTTGGGGGTGGTAGTGGTGGGTAGTGTTGGGGTGGTAATGGTGGGTAGTGTTGGGGGTGGTAGTGGTGGGTAGTGTTGGGGGTGGTAGTGGTGGGTAGTGTTGGATGTGGTAGTGGTGGGTAGTGTTGGGGGTGGTAGTGGTGGGTAGTGTTGGGGTGGTAATGGTGGGTAGTGTTGGGGGTGGTAGTGGTGGGTAGTGTTGGGGGTGGTAGTGGTGGGTAGTGTTGATTGTGTGGTAGTGTTGGGGGTGGTAGTGGTGGGTAGTGTTGGGGGTGGTAGTGGTGGGTAGTGTTGGGGGTGGTAGTGGTGGGTAGTGTTGAGTGTGGTAGTGTTGGGGGTGTGGTAGTGGTGGGTAGTGTTGGGGTGGTAGTGGTGGGTAGTGTTGGATGTGGTAGTAGTGGGTAGTGTTGGGGTGGTAGTGGTGGGTAGTGTTGGATGTGGTAGTAGTGGGTAGTGTTGGGGTGGTAGTGGTGGGTAGTGTTGGGAGTGGTAGTGGTGGGTAGTGTTGGCAGTGGTAGTGGTGGGTAGTGTTGGGGTGGTAGTGGTGGGTAGTGTTGGATGTGGTAGTAGTGGGTAGTGTTGGGGTGGTAGTGGTGGGTAGTGTTGGGAGTGGTAGTGGTGGGTAGTGTTGGCAGTGGTAGTGGTGGGTAGTGTTGGGGTGGTAGTGGTGGGTAGTGTTGGATGTGGTAGTAGTGGGTAGTGTTGGGTGGGTGGTAGTGGTGGGTAGTGTTGGGAGTGGTAGTGGTGGGTAGTGTTGGCAGTGGTAGTGGTGGGTAGTGTTGGGGTGGTAGTGGTGGGTAGTGTTGGGAGTGGTAGTGGTGGTTAGTGTTGGCAGTGGTAGTGGTGGGTAGTGTTGGGGTGGTAGTGGGTGGGTAGTGTTGGATGTGGTAGTAGTGGGTAGTGTTGTGGTGGTGGTAGTGGGTGGGTAGTGTTGGGGTGGGTAGTGGTGGGTAGTGTTGGGAGTGGTAGTGGTGGTTAGTGTTGGCAGTGGTAGTGGTGGGTAGTGTTGGGGTGGTAGTGGTGGGTAGTGTTGGATGTGGTAGTAGTGGGTAGTGTTGGGGTGGTAGTGGTGGGTAGTGTTGGGGTGGTAGTGGGTGGGTAGTGTTGGGAGTGGTAGTGGTGGTTAGTGTTGGCAGTGGTAGTGGTGGGTAGTGTTGGGGTGGTAGTGGTGGGTAGTGTTGGATGTGGTAGTAGTGGGTAGTGTTGGGGTGGTGTAGTGGTGGGTAGTGTTGGGAGTGGTAGTGGTGGGTAGTGTTGGGGTGGTAGTGGTGGGTAGTGTTGGATGTGGTAGTAGTGGGTAGTGTTGGGGTGGTAGGTTGGGTAGTGTTGGTAGTGGTAGTGTGGTAGTGTTGGGGTGAGTGGTGGGTAGTTGGTGTGGTAGTGTGGGTAGTGTTGGGGTGGTAGTGGTGGGTAGTGTTGGGGTGGTATGGTGGGTAGTGTGGGGGAGTGGTGGGAGTGTTGGTGGTGGTAGTGGTGGGTAGTGTTGGGGTGGTTAGTGGTGGGTAGTGTTGGGGTGGTAGTGGTGGGTAGTGTTGGATGTGGTAGTAGTGGGTAGTGTTGGGGGGTGGTAGTGGTGGGTAGTGTTGGGAGTGGTAGTGGTGGTAGTGTTGGATGTGGTAGTAGTGGGTAGTGTTGGGGTGGTAGTGGTGGGTAGTGTTGGTGTGGTGTAGTGGGTATGTGGGTGGATGGTGGGTAGTGTTGGAGTGGTAGTAGTGGGTAGTGTTGGGGTGTGGTAATGGTGGGTAGTGTTGGATGTGGTAGTAGTGGGTAGTGTTGGGGTGGTAGTGGTGGGTAGTGTTGGATGTGGTAGTGTAGGTTGGGTAGTGTTGGGGGTTGGGTAGTGTGTGTTGGGTGTAGTGGTATGTGTTGTGATGTGGTAGTGTTGGAGTGGTAGTGTGGGTAGTGTTGGTGGTGGTAGTGGTGGGTAGTGTTGGATGTGGTAGTAGTGGGTAGTGTTGGGGTGGTAGTGGTGGGTAGTGTTGGGATGTGGTAGTAGGTGGGTAGTGTTGGGGTGGTAGTGGTGGGTAGTGTTGGATTGGAGAGTGGTAGTGTTGGTGGTGGTAGTGGTGGGTAGTGGGGAGTGTGTGTGGTGGTAGTGTTGGGGTGGTAGTGGTGGGTAGTGTTGGGGTATGGTGGTAGTGTTGGATGTGTAGTGTGGGTAGTGTTGGGGTGGTAGTGGTGGGTAGTGTTGGGAGTGGTAGTGGTGGGTAGTGTTGGGGTGGTAGTGGTGGGTAGTGTTGGATGTGGTAGTAGTGAGTAGTGTTGGGGTGGTAGTGGTGGGTAGTGTTGGGAGTGGTAGTGGTGGGTAGTGTTGGGGTGGTAGTGGTGGGTAGTGTTGGGGTGGTAGTGGTGGGTAGTGTTGGGATGTGGTAGTAGTGGGTAGTGTTGGGGTGGTAGTGGTGGGTAGTGTTGGGAGTGGTAGTGGTGGGTAGTGTTGGGGTGGTAGTGGTGGGTAGTGTTGGATGTGGTAGTAGTGGGTAGTGTTGGGGTGGTAGTGGTGGGTAGTGTTGGGAGTGGGGGTCGGGATTGTGGTGGTGGTGCAAGCTGTGAATGACATGATGGTAACTGTGGTGGTCTGGCTTATATCCAGCGGGTTATTTCCCCCAGAATGTGACACACACCAGTGGAATCACACCCAGGTACCTGCTACTGCTGGCTGCCCTCAAGCACCAGGTGTAATGACACATCAATACCTCTTACCTCATCTGGGAATCGGACTCGTGTCATTTTAGTTATAAGCCGAACCCTTTATCAATAATCTACAGGCAGTCTCTCACCGTAGCGAAGTTACACTGATAGTAGTAGTAGTAGTGGTAAGAGAAGTAGTGGTACTAGTCGTAGTAATATATGTACCAATGAAAAATAAACAACAGCTGTTAAGTGCAAGTAATGATCGTAATGATAATGATATACAATACCCAAAATATGACTATTAACCCTTGTATATGTTATGAAGACCTTTCACAC